GAGACCACCACTGAGATCTGGAAGGAGGCCATGGGCAAGATTAATGAGTGGGGTGTGCAGGCGACAAACAGCTACAACGCAGCCAGGAAGCGGGAATACAAACGCGCGGTGGACAGAGGTCGTCAGGTACCGAGGCCAGTACCCATACACTGGTGGCCCCCTTCGGATGCAGATCATGTACGAGGATTTTCCTCCATCGGTGGAGCTCGAGCCGTGCACAGCGGTAGTCCAGCTCTCGATCGAGACGAGAAACCGATGTGGAATGTGTCGGATCTCCTCCGCGGCATCACCCCCTTGAGCATGTTGACTGAATGGTCCGCGGTCTTCCGGACCCCAATGTCCATCGCCAAGACAGTCCTTCACAAGTTTGTTGGCTACCTGGAGGCGCAGGCCTCGGAGCTGATCTGGAAACCTCGGTGCTCCGCGACGATCGCGTGGGAGCAGACCCAGGGCATCTCTGCCAAGGACAAGACATCCAAGTACACAGGCCCCCGAGGTGACTGGAGTCAAGGATACGGTTACATCACGCATGATGGTTTCTGTCCGTGTGGCGCTTCGCTAGCCACACATTGTGAAGGAAGGTGCCCTGGGGCGACCAAGGACCCACGCGCTGCTGACGAGCGTTTGTTGGAGAGTTTGTTAGGAAGGAGGAGGTTGTCAATGATGGAGAGGATGGGAAGAATCCCCTTCATTCGTATCTAGTTTTATTTTCTTCCGTTTAAGCTGTGAAGAGCAGCGACAATTGTTGCGCAGAGCCAGGTTCTGGACCGGACTGCGACTGGTGGATGGTGCACTGAAGAGTTTGGTATGTAGTCCCCTTTTACTTCCAAATAACTTCTCTATGCTGTTTGTTAGAGAAATAAAATTGTGTACGAAAAAAAAAAAAAAAAGGCCGAATACGATGCCGAGATCCTTCGCATCAACAGCGACACCAGGAAAAAACAGTCGGCAGACAACACAAAGTATGATGGACTCAGAAGCCGATACCGGAGTCAACTTGCCAGGAAACCACAAGAACTGGCTGCCATTCTTTTGATGACCAATACTCAGGCCGACAACGCAGCCGCCCGCATCAAGTCAATTTCTAGTCGTCGCAAGACCGTCGCCCTTGGGATACGTCGCCGGGCCACCGAGGCCGTCAACGAATACCGTGCTCATCGCCTTGTCTCTCTTCGCTCGGATTTGGAGATCAGGCTGATCAGGAAAGCAGAGGACTATCGACTGAGGGTGCAACAGCTGGAATCCTCCCAAGCCAGGAGACTGCAGCAAAAAAAGGAAAAGGAAGCACTCCGTCAACAACACCGCTTGGTCGTCGCCCGCCTAAAAGAGATCCTATCCAGCCTCAAGGAAACGAAACCACGATACAAGCCAGCCTTTGACACAGATGCTAGCTTTCCTTTGCAAGAACGCCATCAAGTCCAACCACCGCCAGTACCAGGACCCCCGACCACACAGATCGGCCCCCTTTGCCTGTCTCCAGTAGAGGCGGCGTCCATGCGCGTAGTTCAGGACACACACGTCGACAACTCCACCCCTCGCGCCCTGTACTCTGACGGATCTCTTCTGAACTCGGGAACGCTAGAAGTATCCCAGGCCTTTGGAGTGGTGGATCTCACTCAGGACAACCCTCTGACAGTACAAGGACGAACGGACGGTCACGCATCCTCGGCTAAGGCCGAGCTCATGGGCTTATTAGCCGCAGTCTTGTCAGCACCACCGGAACAGGACATTGTGGTCAAGCTGGACAATCAGTCAGTGGTGGAACAGTATAGTCGCCTGGTGAAGAATCGTCGGGACACCTTACCGAGGAAGCGATTCAGGAGTACATATGCGGGTATCTGGGCGGTGCTTTGGCAGGTTGTGGAATCTCGGCCAGGCGGGGTTGAGGTGGTGTGGATCAAAGGTCACAGCAACATCCACGGAAACGAACTTGCGGATCAGGCGGCGAAGGTGGCAGCACAGAGTGGTTCAGTGCCCTGGATGGTGGATCTCACTCAACAGACGGATATCACGACCTTTGCACATTGTTACGGCGGGATTGTTGAAATCGATCTACGTCAGCTCCTCAAACAACAATCGACAATCCGTCACCATCAGGCCTGGACGTCACAGAGGCGGGTCAAGAGGGCGATCGCTGACATCGATGACGTGGAATGGAACTCGACCTTGGCTTATGTCCACGACAGGCACGCAGTCTTCACCTTTTACAGCAACAGCAAGGACTCTCACCAACGCACACATCATATCAAAAAGCTGCATGGAATGCTGCCCACTCTGAACTCCATGCAGGCTCGCAAGCCCAACCTGTACCCAACATGCGTGTGCCGACGATGCGAGCTCGAGAAGGAGGATAACGATCATGTCTGGAAATGCCCTTCGGCAGCTGAGACCACCACTGAGATCTGGAAGGAGGCCATGGGCAAGATTAACGAGTGGGGTGTGCAGGCGACAAACAGCTACAACGCAGCCAGGAAGCGAGAATACAAACGCGCGGTGGACAGAGGTCGTCAGGTACCGAGGCCAGTACCCATACACTGGTGGCCCCCTTCGGATGCGGATCATGTGCGAGGATTTTCCTCCATCGGTGGAGCTCGAGCCGTGCACAGCGGTAGTCCAGCTCCCGATCGAGACGAGAAACCGATGTGGAATGTGTCGGATCTCCTCCGCGGCATCACCCCCTTGAGCATGTTGACTGAATGGTCCGCGGTCTTCCGGACCCCAATGTCCATCGCCAAGACAGTCCTTCACAAGTTTGTTGGCTACCTGGAGGCGCAGGCCTCGGAGCTGATCTGGAAACCTCGGTGCTCCGCGACGATCGCGTGGGAACAAAGCCAGGGCATCTCTGCCAAGGACAAGACATCCAAATACACAGGCCCCCGAGGTGACTGGAGTCAAGGATACGGTTACATCACGCACGATGGTTTCTGTCCGTGTGGCGCTTCGCTAGCCACACATTGTGAAGGAAGGTGCCCTGGGGCGACCAAGGACCCACGCGCTGCTGACGAGCGTTTGTTGGAGAGTTTGTTAGGAAGGAGGAGGTTGTCAATGATGGAGAGGATGGGAAGAATCCCCTTCATTCGTATCTAGTTTTATTTTCTTCCGTTTAAGCTGTGAAGAGCAGCGACAATTGTTGCGCAGAGCCAGGTTCTGGACCGGACTGCGACTGGTGGATGGTGCACTGAAGAGTTTGGTCTGTAGTTCCCTTTTACTTCCAAATAACTTCTCTATGCTGTTTGTTAGAGAAATAAAATTGTGTACGAAAAAAAAAAAAAAAAAATTCCCTTTTACCCGCAAACGCGACTCCTACCTCTTTTACACTTTCGTTTACACCTTTCCCCTTTGTTGATGACAACTATCGTCGCCCCGCTCGCTCTCAACACCCAGTGACACAAGGAGCCATCGCCCCGAGTCACTTTTATTATTTCCTCTTCTTGTCTTTTATGTTGTTCATCCCTTTGACAAAGACCCTCTTTGTCAAAGGCCCTTTCTTTGTTGTTGATGGCCCCTTCCTACTTCCTTTCGTTGTCCATCAAGTTGTTAACTCTTACACCAGTTAGTAGTAGCTCCCCCGGGCCATCTCTTTTTTTACGTCTTCATCTTATTCTCTTTCATTCAGTGACCCCACAAGTAGTAGTTTAGCGACCTTAGTTAGATAGTATAAAAGGACACCTGGAATGGATGATTGAACAGTATCTTCCCCCCACTGTTAATCATACCATTCTAGGTAAGTTCCTCTCCTCCTCCCCTGTCAACCGCTGTTCTCGTTGTCCGAACAGCCACTAAATAAAGATCTTCCCCCCACTGTTAATCATACCATTCTAGGTTGAGAACCTCGAACCCGTTGTCCCCTTTTTGCGCCGAAGATCCGCATTCATTCCCCTGTCGTCCCTGAGCGTGATCTAGTTGAGATCACTTCCTCTTCCTCTTCCTCCACTTCTTTGCCAGTCTAGTTGAGACTGCGTGGTATCTCCTGCAGACGTTGCTCGAGTCCCCCACACAATCTGTCAGAAACGATATACTTTTCATCTGACGTCGCCAGCTAGAGCAGCAGAAGCGATCAAGAGAAGCGGTGACGTAGTCCGAGCAGTATGTTAGTCCGCCTGGGAAGGTATATCTGCCAAGAACAAGATATCCAAGTACACGGGCCCCCAAGGTGACTGGAGTCAAGGATACGGTTACATCACGCACGATGGTTTCTGTCCGTGTGGCGCTTCGCTAGCCACACATGATGAAGGAAGGTGCCCTGGAGCGACCAAGGACCCACGCGCTGCTGACGAGCGGTTGTTGGAGAGTTTGTTAGGAAGGAGGAGGTTGTCAATGATGGAGAGGATGGGAAGAATCCCCTTCATTCGTATCTAGTTTTATTTTCTTCCGTTTAAGCTGTGAAGAGCAGCGACAATTGTTGCGCAGAGCCAGGTTCTGGACCGGACTGCAACTGGTGGATGGCGCGCTGAAGAGTTTGGTCTGTAGCCCCTTTACTTCCAAATGCCGCCTTGGTGATTTTTGTCAATTGTGTACGAAAAAAGACCATGTGCCAGACCCTACAATCATCACCAAGACGGTCCTACATAAGTTTATGGGATACTGGAGATGCGTTCCCAGGGACCGCGATAAGCCTTGTTCTTGACGAACATGATATCGCCCCTCTCCTTTCTTCATTGGTGAAGAGCATATCAAAAGACCAAAAGAATAATCGTTAGCAGCACAATGTATCACAAACTTAGAGAGGATGAAAATGCAAAAAACTTCCGTGTTTATTATAAAATTGTTGGTACAAATGAGCAAAAGGCATATGAAAATGAGACAAGAAAATGGAGTAGAAATCGATCGAGCTCCCTGGTATCAGCGTCGCTTGAGCATGGCAAGGACTGGAGGTTGAGGCGGTGAATGGATGATACAAGTATATACAAGTTAGGGTAGGGGAGAGAGAAGAGGGGAGTGCAGCGATCGAAAATACGAGACGTTTCTTGAGAGAGAGTATTTGTGAATGACAGACCGACTTAGTAGTCGTCGTCCGAGATGGACATATCGTTGCTCGAGACATCTCCGTCGCATGATTCAAAGTCTGAGCAATCCTCGGCTGCTGCTGCTGCGGCATAGGTATACTTGGCGCAGGGCTGCTCAAAGAACCGATCCTCGTTGGGGTTCACCTCCGAGTTGAGGGTGTTGTAGTCAAACGGGACATAGGGAGGCGTGTCATCACGGCGACGGCTGGGTCCAGACGTGGTGGCGGAGAGCTGTTGCTCGAACCAGCGAGTCTCCTGGGGATCCATGGTGGGATTGAGCTTGTTGTAGTCCTGAGGCTGGTAAGGGGGGGAGTCCATGCCTTCCAAACCAAAGCGAGTCTCGAGTTCACTCAAGGTCTCGTCTCTGCAGTCAATGCCCGACCAGCAACTGCTGTCAGAGAATGCAGTCTTGCGCTCATCCTCGTCAGTACTTGATGCCCAGTCGTACTCCACAACTTGTTCGCGCCACTCATTGTCGTTGTTGGGGAATACATCAGCAGGGTAGTAGGGTGGAGAGTCCGAGATGCTGGGAGGAAGAGTTTTTGATGAGGCGGGGCTGGAGGGAGAAGGGCTTGAGGAAACGGTATCGTCGGTTACTGTGTCGCTGACTACAGTTGAGTCATCGTCGTCTGGAAAGGAACGGCGGAAGCGCTTGGTCTGGTTCTGGTCGAGATCGAGGCTTGATCGTCTGCCAAGTGGGCGAGAGCTGTATTTGTAGCTGTAGCGGTGTGTGTTGTCGTCCAGAGCTGCGATAAGGTCATCATCGAGGTCGCTGAGTTCTGGGGAAGGATAGACCGAGGCCGAGTTGGTGGTGGCAACGAAAGGGAGAGAGCACGTGACACAAGTGGCTGAGGAGCACAAAGCTGCAGTTGCACTGCCAGTAGCGGAGAAATGGGCGGTAGAAGAAGTGGCGGCGGTAAAGTTCTTGGAGGAGCAGCAGCGGGACTTCAAGTCTTGCTGGACTGAAGAGGAGCTGTAGCTGTGTTTGTTTTTGTGACAAGAATACATATGTCTAGAGCTGTTAGTGTTGTTTCCAATCAACATTTCATTGAATGGCACAACAACTGAATCAGAATCATCCTGCTGCTGAGAGAGGAGGGAGGAGGGGGAGGGTGAAGGTGCAGCGGGGGTCTTACCATCAGCACCAAAAGCACACTTCGGACTCATATTGTTATCTTTTGTTGGGGTGGAGAGGGAAGGAAGAAAGACAGGAAGGAAGGAAGGGACAGTCAAAGAAGGATGGTTATTAGTAGTGCAGAGAGAAAGAGAGAGAAAGAGAGAGAGGAAAGAGAGAGGAAAGAGAGAGGAATGAGAGGGGGAAGGAACGAGAAAGGAGAGAGACAAAAGAGAGGTGTAGGAGGGGTGTGGTAGGATTAGGGTTGATTGGAAGTGTAGAGAAGAATGGAGAAGAAAACAAAAAGAAAAGAATGTAGCCTCCTTTTTATTACGAGTTTGTGCCAAGCCATCATGACGATATGCGGACTGCTGACTGCATGTGCAGTACAAGCAATTTCTTTCGTTCTCCGATGCTGCGCCTGGCACAGTTGGCGCCACACAACAACAGATGCACATGACAGGTATTCTTCTTTCAATCGCATATGCTGCCGTGCCAGAAAGTGCAAACACAACGTGTTACCAGTTCCTATCTACTACAGAAGAAAGAAACGTATGCATAGTCGATCCCTTTTTCTTATTCTTTGTCCTTTACTCTTTGTTCTGCTGTGTCTTCGACATCCTCATATCCTCCTATCCTACCAACAAGACAAAGGGATAAAGAACAGGAGAAGGTTCGGTCCAAGTAACGATTGTCTCTCCTATCTCTTTTACTTCTTTTTCATTTCCAAATTAAAAAATGTTCCCATGTCGTCGCCTTTCATCATTTCTTGTTTATCGCACTGACAGGCACAGGCATCCTCTACCTCTGCTAAAAAAACTAATCTAGCACATCATTGGATTCAGCGAGCACGCACTCAACCAAGGACAAGAAAGAAAGAATGACTGTAAAGAAGGCACCTCTCAGAAAAAAAACGAGGACGACTGCCGTTTTCAGTGCTTGGAGTTTCTCATATGTCTTAATCCCCGAGGAAAAAAAATGCGTGAAAGAACGCGCAATAGCTGCCCTGCTGATGGGAATTGAATGTGTAACATCCTTTGTCAGTTGCGATCATGTGTGGAATGGGACAGGGATATGATTACTTCCTCAAATGAAATCCTAGCTAATGTAACCGAGGTCGCTGAATAAGGTCATGGTCATGGATCTAATAATTTAACCTTATCTGATACATATTAGTACGGACCATGTAGGACGATTGAGGTGTAAAACTATCATGAGGTACGAACAAAGAAGCAAGACAATAATACACGAGTTGCTAGCTGAAAAGATAATGGCATACCACAATGATAAGAAGAATTGTTATTAATATTTATTCATCAGCCACAGAGTGCGTATTGTCCATGGTTCTTTGTCCACAGGGTTGTGGTTGTGGTTGGGGGTATACTACAAAGAGACGAACAGCACCATGCGACATAGTACGAAAAAAATGGAAGGATCGCTTCCAAAGATAACAAAAAAGAGTTAGCAGTGCTGACCAGAGCAACTGCGTTTCTATCTACAAAAACTGAAAGGACGAAAAGGAAAGGAAAAAAACGATAAAAGAGCAAGATGATAGTGTAGTGTGAATGAAAGGGAAGAGTGGGGGGTTGTCAATGTACGATGACAAGAAAAAAAGGTATTAGTCGCGATAAGAAGGAAGAAAAACTGAAAGAGGCAGGGCAACATCGCTTAGAAGACAGCGCGCTTGAGCTCCTCGAGAGAGTGGACGCGGACGGGAGTCTTGATCGACTTTCCAGCAACAATCTCGGCAAGACCCTCGCCAGAGTAAGTCACCAGGGGAGACAACTCCAGAGTAGGGGTACCCTCGGCCTGAATGTCGTCCTCGCCCACAACGACCTTGCCACCAGCAGCTTCGAAGAAGCGAACGTTTTGCTGCAAGATGTCGCGACGGGAGGTCTCGGGGCAGTCGACGCCGGTGCCGGGGGCATTCTTCAAGGGAGAGAACTCCTCGCGACGGTCAACCTCAAAAACGGCCATGCGCTCGGTGAAGGGGAAGACGTCAAAGACAAACATCTCGAGCTTCATGCCGTTGACCTGCTTGGGCGCAATGACGTCTCCGGTCTGCATGTCGACGGTCTTGATCTTCTTGCGGGCAATGTGGTACTCGAGATCACCCTCGAACGACTCAACCTTGTTCAAAAAGTCGGTCGTGTAAAAATGGTTGACAATGTTGGCGGCACTGTAAAGAAGCTGGCCGTTCTTGGGGTTGGTGGCATGGGCAACATCTTCGTCAATCTCAGAGTACTCGACAACGTTGAAGGCAGCGTTGCGGAGGCAGACAACACCGACGGGCTCATCGGGGGTGTTCTTGCGGACGACCTTGGCACCGCAGTCGGCGTTCTTGGAGACACAGTATCCAATAAAGACGGGGTCAGCAACGCGGACGAGGCAGTTGTCAACGCAGTAGGCGTGGAGGTACTCGATCTTGCGCTCGGCCATGTTGGCGAGGACTCCTGTTCCGCGGAGGGCGGCATAGACACCTCCGTTGCCATCGGGTGCTACAGCGACCTGCGACTTGGACTCCATCATGATCTTGCCATCGAACGTCAAGCAAGGGAGGGTTCCTAGCAAATTCAAGAAGGAAATGCGTACTATGGTTAATTTACTATGCGACTTGAGTTGGAAAGGGTCTCCCTTCTTCCTTTCTTCTCGTCATGCATGCTTGTATGTATTGTACTCCTTGTCTTTTGGACCCCCTATTGCTCTGTTGGTTGTAATTGGTGCAATCCCATGAGGGAGGATTCCTTTATCCTCCTCCTTTTATTTTTGTCCTTCCTATTCCGAATGCGCATGCTGGAAGGCGAGTTGTTGCTGGTGAATTACTGCTTGTTGGTGAATGTCTGGCTGTGGAATGGCGAGTTGTGGTTATAGTTGTGGTGCTTGTTGAAAAGTGCCCAACAACAATAATCCAGTCCAGTTCAAAAATAAAAATAGCTGACCCTACAACTCTTTTCACACCCCCGTTCCTTTCTCACTCTTTCTTTGCTCAAAGCAAAAAGAGAGAAAATAAAGAGCAGAGAAAGTAGTTGTTTGTATGTCTCTCCTCTCCGCTTGCTGTTTTGTTTACCGGACTGGTTGGTGCCCTGAAAGGAAGTGGTCGTGTGCCCATTCTCTCCTGGTTGGTGTAATTTGTGTTGGTAAGGTTGAAGATAAAAAGTGGGAGACACCAGTCGGTGTTCTCCTCACTTCTCTCATGCATTCCAATTCTCCCTCCCTCTCACCCGTATAAATAACAAAAAGCTGGCCAAAAGAGACGTACCTTGCTCGAAGAAGACAATGTTATCGGAGGAAAGGCCAAAGTAGTTGTTCTCCTGGAAAAAGGCGACGGTGGCGGGGCGGGTGGGGCCAGAGGTCATGACGTACCAGGGGATGATGACATTGGCCACAGCACCGGGCTGCTGCTGGGCGAGCTGCTGGAGCTTGAAGATGCGCTCGGCCTGGATCTGGAAGAGGGACTTGTTGGAGGGCAGGTTGATGTCGTAGCAACCCTTGGGGGCAGACGAGCCCAGACGGGTGCCCTGGCCACCGGCGAGAAGGATGACGGCAACCTTGTTCTGGCTGATCTGGTTCAAACCAACGGTCCGCCACTCCTGGGTCTTGTCTTTGGAGGCCTCGAGGACAGAGTCAAAGCACTCTTCGGGCAAGGGAGCCAAGGTCGCGGACTGGTTGTTGAGCATGGGCGAGGGGCAGGTGGTGGCCTTTTGGTGAATCCTGTTGACGCGTTCGACGTTCAAGGCCTCGAGCTGGGAGACGAGCTTGGCCTTTTCGTCGTCGTTGAGGTCGTCGTAAAAGTTGAAGAGGTGACCCTGGCCGGCAGCCTGGTAGCGCTCGATGAGCTGGCGGACATCGTCGCTGTTGCTGTTGGAAGTGTTGACGCCGGTGTTGACGTTCAAGGACGCGGTAGGAGCAGCAATCATATTATTGTTTGTCTGTGTCTGTCTGTTGGTGGTGGTTTGTGTTTCTGCCTGGTGTGTGTCCGATTGGTTGCTTTGTCTAGTTGTTTTTTTTGGGTAACTTGTTGCTGATGGGGTGAGAGGGTATATGTAGTGTGTGATGAGGAAGTGTGTTGATGAGGAGGAGATGATGAGGAAAGGAAAAGAGCAAGAGAGAGGGGGTGCCTTCTTATATGCACACTGACGAATTCAATTGAATTCAGAGAGTACAATATATTAACACTCTGTTGCGGTGGTTATTATTAGCGGTGAGGCGCGAGCAGAGAGAGGTGCCCTTTTGTTGTTATTTTGGGACTGAATTGCACTCAATAAACAGGCAATCCCAATGGCATTATTATGTGTTGCACAGTACAGTACAGCCGATGAGGTCCGTATTGTTGTTCATAGCCAGGCATCATGGGGCCATGGATGGTTTATAAAAAGTGATATAGTAGTTGTCTATGAATCACCTTGTCCATGCCCGCATCCACGCTGCCATGTCGATTGGACATCACTCTCTCGTCTCTATCAGATTATGGCTGTCTGCGCTGTTCTAGCATTGTTCTTTTGAGTCGATCGAAGCCTCCGTGTGCCTGTCTGCCTGTCCGCTCTCTCCCTCTCATATATCCCACAGTAGTTGCTCAATTGCTCCCTTTCATTGTCATCAGGAATATCTATGAAAGGCGGAGAGAGAGAGAGAGAGCCAAACTAACAGCAAAACTAACTAGCCCTTGGCTTTGTTTCGGTTGACCAGTGCATACTCGAATCCTTTTTTTTTTTTTGTTCCCATTATCACAACTAGCCGGTCCTTTGTTCCTTTTCATCGTTTCATGAGTGATGAACCTGATGAACAACAAAAAAAAGATGATGAGCTGAACTGTAATGGCTGGGATGAGTAGATTCTGATCACTTTCTCTCTTGTTTGAATAGGGTTTTGTTGTAGCACCACCTCCGAAGGCAGCATAATTTTTTTTGAATTACATGGAGTGTGAAGAATGATGTTTAAAGTTTTATTTTTAGGTATATGAATGTTTAAAAAAAAAAAAAAAGGCAACAACAGGGGAGGCATATGAAAGAGACGCAGAAAGAAATACTCTCTCTTCTTCCTTTCCCCATTCTTTACTCTCGTTACTCAATGAATAAAGTGAATGGTGCCTGACTCTATGGGAACAAGGCAAAGAAAGAGACCATGCGTCATCGTTCAAATGAGGTTTCTGATTCTGATTGTTGCTTGTGCCTGAGACGATTAGGACATGAACCCACCTTTCTCGTCTCGGTTTTATTATCATGAAATGAATAAGTGTGTGTGTTGTGTAGCCCTATCTATGAGTGTGCTCTTCATCGCACAGCATTTGCACGTCAAAAGACACACATCTCCTAAGAACAACTCTTCCTAGAGACGCCTCTCTCGCCTTTGTGCATTCGATTGGCTAAATCCCGAAAGAAGAGCGCGATCGACTCCTTTCCACTGCTTGCATTTGAGATGAGGCAATGATCAGGAACTGATCTGATCAGTTCTATCCTCACTGGCGTGCAGAGGAACACAGCTACATAATCACGTTGTCAATGCATGACAAGGACAGTCGAAATCAAGCAAGGTATTCATCATGCTCAATCACCGGCATCCTACTCGACACCGACTACCATCCTTATCACTACCGATTGATTAGATAGATCGTCGCCTACTGCTTCAAGACAACGGAAGAAGTTCTCTCTCTTTCTAGCTCTCTCTCTCCGTGTAAGAAAGAGGCATGGAGTGAGAAATGAGAAGGGATAAAGGAAAAAAAGAAGAAAGGCAATGCACAGATAACAGAAGGAACGTATCCTTTGTAAATCAAACTAAGGAAAAAGACGGATGACACAAACAGGAACACAGGCACACACACATCTCATGCAATCTAATCTCTCTCTCCTGTTCTCCCTTGGTAATAATAAACACTAGGCGCTCTTCTCTCTCTTTCACTCTCTCTTTCACTCTCTCTTTGTCCTTCTCAATCTATTATCTTTGACAAGAATAGCCTAAGAAGAGCGAGAGAAGTAGAGGTCGAGGGAGAATGATAGAGGATAATGAGAGAGCCGAAGGAAAAAGTGTGTTTGAGTGTCTGTTTATCATTGCACAGCTCAGTCCTAATAATATCAACAGTTGACATCTTTTTCCTGCAGCCATGCATATCGCTTTTGATTTATTATTTTTGCTCCGTGTGCATTATTCCCCGTTTGCATTGAGGACACAACAGCACCTTTTCCGCCCTTTGAAGGAATGAGGGTAACGCAAGAAAGAAGGAGGGTCGAGGGGTGTAAGGGGCAACTTCGTCCTCGTTTGTCACACACTTTAATGCCTATCATTCTTCGGTGCATTGTTGAACACACACAAAAAAAAGAAAGGTACTCTCCTAAGGTTGCACCCAGGCCAACAAAAAACAAGATTAGATGCGAATCAGGTGGGGCATATCACTAACGCGTAAACATCAACCTACTTTTCGATGACATGCAACCATAGCTTACAGGCTGATCTACCCTTGGCATTTGCTTAAAAACATGTGCCGAGGCACATTAATACCTGTCAACAAACAAACTACAGTCTAGAAAACAAGGTCCAAGTGAGAATGGAGCAAATTGAATAGTGATTTAATAGATATAAGCTCATGAAAGGAGCGAGAGAGAAAGAGAGGAGAAATGATATTTAGGGCTTTGGGGGTCCCTTATGGGCAAAATGAATTCTTCGGCATCCTCCTCGGCAGATGTGGAGTGCTCTTCTGAATCCAGGCAAGGTGTGGTTACGGAATTGGGTCCAACTCGTCTGGTTGAATCCATCCTTTTTCCAGTTAAATCCCTTGGCGAAGTAAACATCCTCATTCTTGGTCAGAGTCTTGGAGTTGCACAAAACATATGCCTCAAAGCTGTCCTTGGTGACCTTGGAGGCATTGCCCTTCAACTTTTGGAGTTGCTTGATGCATGGCTATAGGACATTGTGTTTGAAAAATTAGTTCAAGCGAAATGAGAAAAAAAATAATATAAGAGACAGATGGGTGTTAAGCATGGACTGTACCTTGACAATTGGCTGCATATTTTTGATCATATAGGGCATTTTGCCGTAGTCCTTGACTTTCATGTATTCCTTCACGTTGATGTCTGGTGGATGGCCAAATGGTGGAACGAGGGAGATGCATTGCGTTTGGCAGTCGATCACTTGGGACATCTCCTCTGGTGAGTATACAGGGACAGGGGCAGGCGTCTTGGTGGGGGTAGCGGCAGGGACAACTGTCTTGTTAGCAGCAGCACAGGCAATAGCTGTTCCCAATAAAAGAAGGATGGACTTGGAGATGGCAACCATGTTTAGAAGTGTACCGGAAAGGGAGGAGGGCGGAGTGTGAGTGAAAGCTGAGGAGGACTGGTTCACTTTGTTCTTCCTTTATATATGTTATCTGGAGGAGTCAAAGTGTCAAGAACAAAGGTTATTCATAGCGCTCTGGTTTAATCCAATTGCCCATTATTGTCGAGAGCTTTCTTTTGATTAGCGAGAGATAGCAGTCTGTATTAGTCCTGTTGTCCGTTATTGCACTGCTCTGTGGCTAACGAGAAGGGAGAGAGCTCTCTTTTGATTAATGAGAGCTGTGTCAGGCGGTCCAGACTGTATCACCTCCATTGGCACTTGCACAAACGGGCACAGAGGGAAACTAAAGAGTAGCAGAGACACAGACGTTCCTCCAGGATAGCTGTTGTGCGAAAATGGAAAGTACCATCCATCTGGCCTTCCCAACGACCCTCACTTTGATGTGTCATTCAACAGGTCACCAAAATGAATGAGGAAGAGCAAGTATCCTCCACATTTTACAGTTTGGAGGCTTGCATGAGTGACAGGTATATAGCACCACTTGGCGACCTTCTGGTGACTAGCCTCCATAGGGCCTCCAGAATCATTTAACCGTTACATTGCTCGTCTTTCTCGACTTTTTTTTTTTTTTTTTATCTTGAGAGGGTCCCCTCCTCAGCAAGGTCCCCCAGCCAAACAATTTTACTCGTTGGCTCCTTTTCCCAGCCCACCCACCCACCAAGTACTAGCTTCGGACTTCATCCTCAGAACCCGCGCCTGTCCTACAGAACTCTCCTCCTATTCGCCCGCCTTCTCTCTCTCTCTGTAACCAACAAAGTGGCGGGCCTAAATTACAATTTTCATTTTGCTTTGGGTCCTCTTTTTCATTCTCTGTCTCTCAAGAGAATCATTGTCTGCAAATCAAATCTCTTCCACGGACACCGCCAATTTTACTTCTGGTTTGATATGTTGGGCAAACAAAGAAAACATGGATTGTGGGTTTGCTGGTGAGTGGGAATGTATCCGTTTTTTTTTTTTGTTTTGTTTTGTTTGGGCTTTGGGCTTTGGGCCTGCTTTTTGTTTTGAGTTTGTCAATGGTCCGTTGAGTAGCAAGAACAACAACATCAACAATGGTCCATGGATCGGGGCACAGGCGCACATACATACTCATCCAAACTTGTTATTCTTTGATGTTGTTCATTAGTTTCTCCTTTGCCTCATTCTCTTGGTCTTGATCTCGAATCTTATCACCATGCCATCGCCACCTGCTCTCCGTTCTCCATTTTCCATTCTCCGCACGCGACCAAAAGAAAGAGAAAAATAAAAAAAAAGAGGACAACAACAACACTCAAGCCTGCTTCTCTCCTTCCACCACCAGCACAAACTCATATTCACACTCCAACATGCACATGCTGTTGTTTTTGTTTATCGTTTATTGTTTATCGTTTGTGTGTGCTCCATGGTTAAGAGTGTGCTATAAATAGGATTTATTGATTTTCCAACGGATGAGTTTTGTGCACCCTCCCAGTCCTTCAGCTGTTTTGATGTGATAGAGATTGATAACAAAAGGAGACGCCACACGCGGAGAGGTATAGAGGTTGTGAGTGAATTAGGTCTACATCTTTTTTTGATTTTTCTACTGCACACTGTACTTGCTACTCGCCACTCGCCACTCGCTACCCATCATCAAAAAAGAAAAGAAAGAGTGCAGTGTCTAATCACCTAATCATCCCTTCTTTGTTCCATGAGGTACCACGAGGGGTACCAGAAAGCGGTAGGTAAGCGAGCACCTCCTTCCTTCACTGTCCAAATTCTCTTTCTCCCCCCCCGCAAAAAAGAAATTCCCAAATCCATCAAACAATTTTACTTTCCCACAAACTCCATCCCTCTCTATCCATTGCCCCATCCACCCCTCTCCACCACAATAATGTTCATCCGGCTCTGCTCACACTGTTCATTATTCTTCAATTGATGCCCCATACTGTAATTTTTTTGCCAACATATTTACTCCATTGTTCCGAGGAATTAGATCCACGCAAGCAATAACGCAGAGCAGAAGTCCATCATCAACAAAAAGCATCTATCCATCCATACCCACCCATGTTCCACGCTCAGACAATCCATATGCGTTCGCTATTAATACTCGTCCCTCCTCTGACAACCCCTAGACGGGAAGAAACTGTCTTGATGGTAAATTGTGGATACGCGAGGCGCTGGCATGCATCCCTAATTGCACTTATCTATGATGGGATCGCAAGGGTGAGAAAAAAATTGCAATTGCATACAATTGGGAGCATTTCAGGATAATAGCACTAAAGAGGACAAGAGGAGGGAGAGCAGACAGTGATCATATCGCCGTTTTATTTTGGCGTTGACGAAAAAATAATGAACAGATCTAAACGAACATGTATAATTCTGCGTTCGGGTGAACGTCTTCTCTTTTGGATACAAATCCCCAAAGCTCCCCTTCCTTCTCTCTAGTCCTGGTCAGGATGCTCGCTCCTTGATACCCTGCCTCCTTTTGTTGTTCCAGCTCTCCATTCCTGAATCGCTTCTAAAAAAAAAAAAAAAAAAAAAGGGTCCACCATTCCACACAAAGGTTTATGATTGCAGGTCGCGCTCAAGGAGGGCCTACATGTGCCCGTCGTCAATTTTGCCCTCAGGGAAGTGGTCGCTGACAACCCCCAAATGCAAGATGCGACATCCACTCTGACAGACAGGGTCGACAGACTTGCCGACCACAATTCCGTCCTCAGGCGCAAAATAGCGGTGCTCCTCCTGACCAAAAATGTTGTGCAGTGTTGCGATCAATTCGCCCTTCCGCACCCACGTATTCACATCCGGCAGGACGTTCAATATTCCTCCTCCCTTCGTGAAGATCCAGTACTAATTGGGGATGTATATTAAAGAAAGAAAAGCACGTTTCATTAGTACAGAAAGAAAGAAACAAGCTGGTCAACATCATACAATCGGGAACTAAAACAAAAAAAGAGTACTTACACTCTTAGCGCAGACAACGGGGTCGTAGTCTTGGACTTCATGCTCATCCTCAACCATCTTGAGATGACTCAGGATATTGGTAACGCCCAGGATCGCAGACTTGACAAATCGTTTCTGGAACCGGGCAGGGTCACCAATCTCGACAGTAATCGCAGGAATGTTGTACTGCTGCATCGCCGCGCCTCTCAGCGATCCATCTGGAGAAGTGTTGTGGACAATGATCTGGGGGTTCTGGAGGCGGGCCATGTGTCGCGTGGTCGGGTTCTGCATGTTGGCGCGCACGTAGAGCGAGTTGACACGTCCCTTGGAGGCCGTGTGAAGGTCAATCAGGTGTGTAAAGTGTTTCACCAGCCTCGTCATCAAGTTGTAAGAGTACACCTGCGATGTCGTTCCATTCTTCTTTCTATTTGTTATGGTAAATAATTCGTCGACTGAGGGTTAATAACAAGGTAGTCGTCTGACGTGAACTATCACAAGTATCCAAGTTTTTGACAGTGAAAAGAATGCATACCCGGGCATGAGGCGGTTGAGATCGGTGCCGTCGGTGAAACCACGCTGCTGGGCCAGATATCCGGGAACATTGGCCACAGGGACCGCGACCACAATTCCGTGAAGAGCCTGACATTGAATCTCCTGTAACACAAGACGATGTGTCAATGGGATTCCGTTCAGCTCATTTCCATGCAACGCCGCCGTCTAATACAAAGGGTAATCAAATTGTAAGCAAGGTCAGTGGGTGCGTTCAGGACTCACTGTGACAACACAATAGCCTAGCAGAGCTGTAAAACTGGGCCAAGAGCAACTTACAAGGCCGACGACAGGTCCGGGACGGACTCCCTTGGCAACAATGACAGGGACCCGAATGGGGGTACTCATGGCATCCTCTGCAAGAACCACCCATAGTCTGGAGATCCGACCCGAAGGAAGAATGTCCAAGTCCAGGTCGTCCCATACTGGGTAATCCTTGGGATCCACACTCAACAGCAAAGGCGACAAGCGCTCAGCTACCACAGGTGTGCGTTTTCTCCAGAGCTATCGATGGGAATAAAAAGAGACAGCATGGTATGTTGGCTAGGTAAACAACTCTTTTTTCTTCTCAGTCCCATCCCCGACTCGTACGGTGTATTATGATCGCATAAGTATCATCCGCGCTGTCCGTCACTCCCGCATGTCAAACATTCACCGTGCCCTGCTGAATGCAAAATCCGATCAAACAAGAAAGATAAAGGGCAACCGCGTCATGAAGAAGACAACAGACAGACACATGAGACTTACAGTTCTAGCCTCGGCAAGGAGTCGCTCGTCCTTTTCACTCTTGGCAAAGGTCCGCTCCGTCACCATCTTCCAAAACTCGAGACTCAATGCTGACACGCCTTCATAGTAATTGTGATAGAAGACGCTCTTGGAGTGTGTCCCAGGCGAATGCACATTGCGGATAAAGGGCTCCTGGGGGTGCAGACTTGACGTCGGCTCGGGGTAGTTGTGAGGCAGGTATATAGTAGGTGTACTCCGCCCATGGATCCCTAGAGCATTGAACATTGACAAAGGCCCTGCCATCTCGGGATCGGGTGATGTACCATGGTAGGTGATAGCATTGTTGTTGCTGCGAGGACTACCGCTGGAAGAGTTAGGTTGTCCACTGCCGTTGTGATCCGCAGCGAGTAATTGCTGTTGCTGGTGGTGTTGGTCGGGGAGATGGATCGTCGATCCCGAGATGGATGCGTGGCTCGAAGGGTGGCATCCCCTGTAGTGCTTGTCAAATTTCTTGATGATCTTTTTGAATCCCGTAATGTTTGTTTGGCTGAACTCGAGCAAGTACTCAAGGTTTAAGATGAGCACCGTCAGATCGCTTCTCCTATTATGTCCCGGGATAACAGCAGTTCGCGGTTAGTGTATCAAAGTCAACCCTCTTGTTCTGTCGTTCTAGACCATGGTAACGTACCATTGCTTGAGTTCGGCAGGGGTAAAGTTGCCCCTCCACTATGGTAAGCAGAAAGAGAAAAGGGGGGACAATTCGAATGTGTTGTTAGATGCGTGCGTGTGTGTGTGTGTGTGTGTGTGTGTGTGTGTGTGTGATGTAGTCAGTCCTTCCGCGCATCGCACACCCCTTGTCAGCAAACTGCATCATCCACATCCTTCTTTCTCCAAAAGGGGTCGAGGGAAGGAAAGAAGGAAGGAAAAAGGCACACGCATGCACGTCCTTCAAAAAATTAAAAGAAAAGATGAGGGAAGAAATCACCTCAGCCTGTCTTCCTCCATCTGTCCGTCTCTTTCTCCTTTGCTTGCCTTGTCATCCTAACGGTGCCACCCTCAATGAATCCCATACATCAATGTGCTGGACTAGAACAAAAGGAGGAGTCAACGAAAAGAAGAAGAAGAGAGAGACTTACGCTGTCGTTGAGCCGATCCATAGTGACGCCAGCAATCCGTTCCTGGGCCTCGTAGCGTGCATTGACCTTTTCCAGCTCAGCCCAGAGCAACGCCCTGAAGCCATCCACAATGATGTTGATCGATGCCTCCCGAGCTGCCTCTTCTTCATCCGTCTTCTTGTTGTTGCTTGTTGAAGGCACGGCCTCCTTGACAAGAAGCTCGTTCTCCTCCTGTGAGGTCGTTAACGTAACATGATGATGGTTTTCCTGAGAGACGACGGGACTTTCACTGTCGTCATCGGTAGCAGCAGCGACGCTCTCGGGGGATGCTTTTGGAAGGATGGATGGCTCTACATTCTGGTCGGTATCTCCTTGCTCATGGTCCTCATGGTCGAGGCTCTCCAGGGACTCCAAGGGCCCTATTGTCAGTGAAGGAGTAAGGCGAAAGGGGAGAATAGCATTGGAACGAGTGCTTGTTTAGAGGAAGGAAAATAAAGTTTGTTTGCCTACACTTCTCAATTGCTCAAAGTGTGGCAAAGAATGAACACTCGATCCTTTCCTCTTTTCCCACCGACGTCCACTGCATTGATGCTCTACACAACATTGACAGATCAAGCAGCATTGCTGCAACTCCTACTACCTCCTTCTCTCCTCCTTCTGCTTTCTCATTCTCCTCGTCGGAGGATATGTGCAGAACGCCAACACACTGAAGATGCATGAGGACACATCCAAAAGAAGATCTCACTTACCGGCAAAGTCCTTGAAAGCGGTCTTGATGTACCCCTTGAGGGACTTGTAGTCGAGGTAGTAGGGCGCCCAGCTTGGGATGCTCCGAAGTCCGAGCTGCTTTGCAAACTTCATGTCTTGTTTGAGTGAATGAGGGTCGGCTCAAGAGGAATGCAAAAAAAAACCCCTGCGAGGAATGAGTGTGCGAAAAGAGAATGAATGCAAGCTGATTCAAAGGAAGGAAAAGAGAAGGAGGGAGTGGAGAATGTGTGTTGTTTTGGGAAGGAAGAAAAGAAAGAAGAAAGAAGAACGAACCGCATTCACAGCGCACAGATTAAATACTCTTCCTGTGCCCTTGTTGTCCCCTTCCCCTGGCATGTATACTTCGTTCATCCTCCCTTCTTCTCTCCTCTTCGTTTTCTTCTTCGGGCAAAAGGAGGGGAGGAGGTGGAGTTGATCATATACTTCCATTCGATCGCTTGGGAAGAAAGTAGCACCTACATCCACACACCCATTGGACATCATACTATGCATACTGTAGGCACACATTAAACATCTATCTACAACAATCCCATCTCCTCCTCGTCTCGTGTCCTTCTTCTTCATTTTCATCTCACACTCGTTGTAGGTCTTACTTGTTGCATACGCATCGCATTCTGAACATCTTTTCAACTCCAATTGAACAATAAAGGGGAGGGTATCGAACATCTACCACACAGTTGCTTTCTAATTTATTCTCTTCATTGATCCGTCTGCCCATCAAGACAAAAAAGAGGACAAGAAGAAGAACGGGGATGCCGTCATTCACCCCTGTCGTTCTTCATTTTCATCTGATACAAACGACAACAACCTGGTCAAGAAGGATGGGGTAACATCCTTACCATTAGCGATACATTGCACATTTTCCAAGCTCCAATGCCTGGCTGTGGTTGTACCACGCCCCTTCTTTCGTTAAGCATATCATTTTCATCAATCAAGCAACGTGCACATCCACACGCGAATTGTCATGATTTTCTTGTTGGACCTAGAGGCACGTGACCTGACCCTTTCGCCGCGTTTGTTCTCGTTGTTGAACGACGAGGTCCCTAGAAGAACATCACATAGAATAGGATGTTTCTCTCTCTCCCACCTTTCCTCTTACTTTTTTCCCTTTCTTTCAGAAAAAGGCAAGGGATGACTAGAGCAGCGATTGAAAAACGAACCAAGATGTGAAAGGCCTTTATGGTAGCTCGACCCAGATCCCGTCAAGGGGACAAATGATGTACCACACGTAAAATAGAAGGGATAAACGTGAGAGAATATGCAAGGTAAGAGGCGAAAAGAGGTAAGCTAGTATGGCGACAATAACAAAATCGGATCTTACACACGATAAGCCCCACTGGCTCAACCTCAAAAGAGACCATTCTTCTTTTTTTTTTTTTTTTTTTTTCCCTCCTCTTTTTGTTTTTGTTATCATCACTCATTAACCAACATTGACATTATTTTCACAACCTTTCACTCATGATGACTATTCGATTCCGCTCTCTCGTCTGCGTCGCCTTCATCACATCTCTACTCATCCAATTGCTCAATCCAGTCTGTGAATAAGTTGTCAAAGTGTGTTACAATCATAGCAATTCGTGGGCATAATGATAGTCTTGCAATGCTGTTGGTGATGAATCGGTATGTAGGATGAGCAGCAACATAATATACGAGGATTACTTGAATGGCTCTGGAAACGCTAGTGCGCGCACTAGCGTTTTTCTTTTGCAATCACCGTTGTGGGCATTATGTCTATTTCTCTATTTACATGTTTTCAAGAACATCAACATACAGAAAGAGGACACTTCTTGACCTCCTCTCCTCTTGTCGCCATGAAGATTGAAGAGGCACGTCAGACTAAAAGCACCCTGATCTTTGCCACAGACACTTCGCACTGCATGGTAATAGTAATGGTATGGGTGCTATCACGATTGTGTGTCAGAGGCATTACGAACAGGCGTAGCTTTCCTATGTGGATCAATATTGGCGGCAAAGCCAGAAAAAAGGAAAAGCTACCGCATCACATCACATCAGCCAATCAGATGGCAGGAGAGATAAAGACTGCTCTTTTTTTTCTTTCTTTATTTGACCGCTGATGATGATATTTGTTATGCAGATCATCGCAGCCCTCCTTCTCGGATTTTTTATTTTGAAGTGACACAGTCCTAACACTGTTCATCTTTCGGAGAAGTAAAATCAGACGGAGGAAGGTACTGGGACAGGTGGGGAAACAAGCCCAGTTGGGCAAAGCAACCTTTTTCTTCATCCTTGCTCGTGGGAAGAGCGAAAGGACGATCTCGTTATGAGGTGTGCGTGGACTACGGTAGTTCAAGTTCTCAGTGTTCCTCTGTGTTATCCCGATTTAACGCAACCAAGAATAAAAGAAAGGATCTGTTCGAGCAATAAAAAGAAGGCGAATGGCAGAAGAGAGACGAAGAGAAGAAGGGGTCCATTCGCCACTAACACTAGGAGGCCAAGTGCCGAATCGACCGGTGAAAGGCGAATCGAATCCATCTTGCAAGCACAACAGTGACCCAAGAAAAAGGGAGAGGAAGGGGATGGTGATGGATCTTACGCCCCTTTTTATATGTTTTTATCACATCTGTTGACACCTGTTTGTGAACAAGCAGAGAGATTGATGGTTTCTTTTTTTTTCGAATTGAGCACGAAGCGACAAAGCAACCCATTAATCGACTGTGCACTGGTAGTGGAGAGGAGTGTGAATGGATCTGATTACATGTCTCCATAGTGCACTGGGGACCCCTCCCGTAGAAACAATAAAAAGAAGGAATAAGATTTTGTCCCTTGGACAGTCAGTCATATCACATCGCATCGCATCACATCGCATCAGTCCTCCGCCTGTTATTCGCTCTCGTTAAATTATCTTTTTTTGTCTTTTGCACGGGTCTAGTACGGTCAGCATTCTCTTCTCTGTCACTTCCAACTCACCTCCACTCACAAAATGATCCCCTTCTCAGGCAATGGAGTGGAGACGATCCCATGTGCTTCTTACCAAGACTGACAGCAGAGAGAGCCGATCGAACACTCACCCACTTCGCACGGAATAAATTATCTCTCTGTTCATAATCCATATCATATCTATCCATCTCTTGTTTTCTTCTTGCTCCTTCGGTCTGCTCCTGCCTCTTTTTGTCATATCATCCATCGCTCCCTCTTTTTTTCTTTTTGTATAAAACGAATCCACTTTCCCATTCTACCCTTTCTCTTTTTTTCTTATCCTTCACACTCCTTTCAACACTACAAGCGCACGACTCTGTCTCGGACCCTCACCAACACTTAACCAACACCCCCCCCCCCCACTCTCCTCCACTCAACCAACAACTCACCTTCACCACCCACACACACAATAATAAACAAGATGCCACCACACGCAGGTCCAATCGCTAACGTCTCGTCGAGCCCCTATGCGCCCAAATATACCGACTCGCTCTCCCGCCTCACAAACTGGTCCATTATCGAGTCCACCCTCCGCGAAGGCGAGCAGTTCGCCAACGCCTTCTTTGATACCGCCAAGAAGATCGAGATCGCCAAGGCCCTCGACGATTTCGGTGTCGAGTACATCGAGATCACCTCCCCCGCTGCTTCGGAGCAGTCTCGTCTTGACTGCATTGCCATTGCCAACCTCGGATTGAAGGCCAAGATCTTGACCCATGTCCGCTGCCATATGGACGATGCCCGGATTGCCTGTGAGACCGGTGTTGATGGCCTGGATGTCGTCATTGGAACCAGTTCCTACTTGAGAGAGTTCTCGCACGGCAAGGATATGGAGCGGATTATCAAGGATGCGACCGAGGTGATCAACTATGTCAAGTCCAAGGGTCTCGAGGTCCGTTTCTCGTCTGAGGATTCGTTCCGTTCGGATCTTGTGGATCTGTTGAACCTGTACAAGGCTGTTGACCAGCTGGGTGTGAACCGTGTTGGTATTGCCGACACTGTTGGCTGCGCCAACCCCCGCCAGGTCTATGACCTCGTCAAGACTCTTCGCTCTGTCTTGAAGCCCACCACCGACATTGAGTGCCACTTCCACAACGGTAAGCCCCTCCTTTTCCTTTTGCCTGTGCACCCATCCTAGATGGATTATCTCGAGTGTGCATATTTTTTTGACATGTCTCTCCTTTTATCGCGATGTCTGATTGGGCACGGCCCAAACAAGACAGTCACCTCAATCATTTCCATGCTTAATTCCACGTACATCCATCTAATCTTGCATCTATCTCGGTCACGTACACTCTTTACTCACTCCAAACCTTTCCTTTCCCTCCATTTCTTCATATGTGATCATTAGACACGGGATGTGCAACGGCAAATGCATACGCAGCGCTGGAGGCCGGCGCAACACATATCGACACCTCCGTCTTGGGCATCGGCGAGCGTAACGGCATCACCCCCATCGGAAACCTCATCGCACGCATGTTCACCGTCGACCCCGACTACGTCGCTTCCAAGTACAAGCTCCACCAACTCCGAGACCTCGAGAACCTCATCGCCGATGCCGTCGAGATCCAAGTCCCCTTCAACAACTGTATCACCGGCTACTGCGCCTTCACCCACAAGGCCGGTATCCACGCCAAGGCCATCTTGAACAACCCTGCCACTTACGAGATCTTGAAGCCCGAGGTCTTTGGTATGACCCGCTATGTCTCGATCGGTCATCGTCTCACTGGCTGGAACGCTGTCAAGAACCGTGCTGAGCAGCTTGGCTTGGCCTTGTCCGATGATGACTTGAAGGCCATTACCGGCAAGATCAAGAAGTTGGCCGATATCAAGAACCAGTCCATGGAGGATGTCGATGGACTCTTGAGGAATTTCCATGCCTACAAGGTTGCCGGTGATCATTCGGCGATCGAGCAGTTGTTGGTCCTCCCTAAGGCTGCTGCTGCTGCTGCTACTCCAGAGGCTGTTGCCGCTTAAAGCACTGATTCTTCCCCCCCTTTTTTTTCTTTTTGTCTTTACTCTTATTTCTGCATGTTCACCAGCATCTCTCTCCTTCTCCTCCTCCTCTCTTTTTCTCCAAAAAATAACGAGCATCATGCTCATTGTACAGTAGTGGTTCAAAATAAACACACAAAAACATTCATCCCACAAACAACAAAGACTTTTTTCTTGGGTTTCCTTTTATTCGTTCTTTTGCTTATGGCTATGTCGCTTATTCATTTACTAGTGGGCTTGGTCAAACAGACAACGACAGCCTCGCCAACACCAATAACCATAAATGACCAAAAAGAGAAAAATAGAGCAGCAAGGAAGAATAGCAGAAAGGCAACACAAAAGATAGAAAAAAGGAAGCCTCAGACAGCAGATGAAAATTTCTCTTTATATACCAATGCTGAGGCGCAAGATATTCAGACCCCCAGTCGTCGACGATTGTCTCTACGAATATCCGAATATCTACTACGACTCATATGAACAAGGCGGCCTCCTCACTTCTGCTTCTTCAAGGTAGAGCCGCCAATCTTGAAGTCCAAACGAGAGAAAACAATCGAGGTGGCATAGATGGCCATGAGCATAGTGGCAGCAGCCAGGGGCTTGGTCAAGTACGACGTCTGGGAGAACTCGTACTCGACGAACAAATCCTGTGCATGGTCCTCAATCAGGTTGCTCGCCAAAATCGTTACCGTCGACCGTCCTGCGCTATCCATGTACGTCTTTGTCGTTGAGTACTCGATGTCGTCCACCTCGTATGGCAACACCGCCTTCACATTCCTTTTATGTAGGAAGGGTAAAAAAAAGGAAGGAAGTAGGGGTTAATAAAGTGCACCAGCCATTCAATTGACCTTGCAAGAACAAGAAAAGATAGAATGAGAACAAAAAGATGAAGACGTACTTCGCGCCCTCGGGGAGGACGATGCGGATCTCGACATCCTCATAGGTAGTGTCGGGCATGGGTGAAATGACAGGGACCTTGAGGATATGCTTATCAGTTCCAGCAATCTTGCGCAGGTATCCATCCAAAGGAGTGTTATATCCAATGTACCAGGTGGTGTTCCAGCCACCGAAGAGAGGGAAACGGGGTTTAAGCATCAATTGAATATGGTCGGGGTGGTGGGCAATGACCGAAGTCGAAATGTTGCCAATCTCGTCGCGGTAGTAGATGTCGCGTGCCAACTTGGGGATCTTTGTCTGGAAGCCCAATGCGCCATTGCCCTCGCGGACTCCCATGGGGTTACGCTGGTAATCGATTCTGCTGAACTGTCCTTTCAACCTGATGTAATTATTTCCGTTGATGAAGAGAGGGAAGAGTCAGTAGATGTTTTCCATGTCACGATAAAAACAATGTTCAAGCATAACCAATTCTCCCAATAGAAAAAAAGTAAAGGGGGACGTACTCGGCGCCACGGTTGACAAAGTTGTAATGCTCTTCGACGGCAAGGTTGTTGCCCCACTGGGAGACCTCGATCTCGCGACGGAGGCGGCGGATATGGGGGATAGCGCCGGACAACTCATACTGGACCTCAAAGATTCCGTGCTCCAACGAGCTGACGTCGTTGTAGGGTCCCAAAATCACCTGGTTGTTCTTGATCACCAAATCGACCTCTTCGGGGTGCTCATGGACCTCCAACACGCTGTTAGGCGTACTATTTTGTTGTAGAAAAGTAGAAAGGGAGAAGTGTGAGTATGATTGAGGGATAAATAATAATGAAGCAGAGATTTGGTCTTTGTCTGGTAAAGAGCAATGGGCGTGCCCTGAATACAAACGTACATGACTGTTGTTTTCTGCTTGGTGGCGGGGTAAGCGGTGAGGGCAAAGGGGTTACCGAAGAAGACAAACTTTTGCTTCTCGGCCTGACCGACGTGGGTGGGGAAGGCGCGGATGACGTTGGTGAGGGAGGTGCGGACGGTGATCTGGACCTTTTCACCAGGGGGCAATGGGGTCGCCAACTTGATCTTGTAGTACTGGAACTGACTGTTGTCGTTTTCGTGTTTCAAAGCGGAGTGGGATAATCGGAAGATGAAGATGAAGATAAAGAGGATGAAGTGAGGAAGACAAGGACGAGAAGGAAGAGGAAGAGATGTGAATGAAGAACAAGAAGAATTGGCAGGAAAGAAAGAAGAGAAGGTATGGAAGAGGGAAGAGGAGGAAGAAAAAGAAAAATGACATAAGCGTGAGTTCAAAGACGCGACTATTGCTATTGCAACCACCTACAAGAACATCAACATACAAAGAACGATCAATCCAATGACATGAAAAGCATGAAGAAGAGGGAAACGTACGGGTCGTAGAACTCCTCGTCCTTGGTGACCTCAAGAACCTCCTTGGTCTTGCGGTTCTCGGCCGAGATGAAAGCCAAGTTATCCGAATAAGCCTGATCCACAGGGAAATAGTAATCGGTCTGGTCCTGGTCGGCGTGGGTGTTCAGCACGGCGGCTGAGGTGATCTCTCTGATGATGGGCTTGGACAGGTCGAGGGTGCGGAGGAGGTTGGTGATTTTGAAGGTCTGGGGCACGATTGGCACGTCCTTCTCGGACCAGAACTCTTCTGCATGGACTGAAGAGGTGAGGGAGAGGGCGGCGATGATGGTTGCGACGAGGGTGGTTGTTGTTGTAGTGAGACGCATGATGGAGCGTTTCTGTGTTCTTGACGCGTAGTGGGACGTGTTTGTTGGAGTGTTGTTGATGAGATGACAGGGAGAGTCGTTCTCTCGGTCTCTGAGGTGTGTCCGTTGTTGTTGAGTGGGTCGAAGAGAGTCCTTGTTGTCCGAGATCCTGCTTGAACGAAGGAGAGGGTGGTTGAATAAAAGGGGTCAAAGAAAGAAGAGAGAAGAAAGAAGAAAGAAGAAAGAGGCAAGAGGAGAGATGAGATGGCGTCCTTCTTTTCTCTGTGCCTTTGCTTCAACCTTCGAGTGCCACTGTAATTTCGCACACCCCTGTTGTGCCTTCGAGTCCATCTACTAGCCAATTGATTCTTGCGACGAGGCGATAGTTCCAACTGACAACTGACAAAAGAAAAGCCGTCACATCCAATTTGATCTCTTCCTTTCATCGCAATTGCTACTCTTTCTTGGTTTATCCTCTCTGTGCTATTTCCTATTCTATCAGTCTTCCAAGGTCCTTCCTGCCTCGGCATTTTGCTTGGTCTGCAAGAACCCTAGGCTGATGTCTGTCCTGTCTTGTCCTGTCCTGTTTGCCTCCCTGTCTATATCCCGTCTCCCACGTTTTCTTTTCCACTCCACCCCGCCCTCTTGCACATAGTCTCATTCTAAGCTTGCGTTCTTTCTTGCCTCTTTTCTTTTTGCTTCTTTTTTTTGCATCAATGAATAAAAACAACAACAACCATTCATATCATGTAAACATGTCCGTTGACTGTTGTTTTAGCTTGTTATGCGTCTCTTCTCTTCTTTTCTCTTCGGCGATAACGAGACTCATCAATCCTTCGTTCATTCAATGTTATTCATGCTAAAATAATACTTTTGGGGTTTATGTATGGGGCAACAAAAAAAAAGCAAAAAACTCATATATATCCTCTTCCACTCTCGTACTCTACGTCGTTCTACTCCAACACCATCAAAGACATAGAAAAAAAACACCAAAAAAGTAGTTTAGACCTTCTTGATAATCTGGACGACATCCTCATCGGCCAAGACGTGCTCTTTGCCGACCTTCTGGGGGTTGTGCTTCGCTGATGATCCCCAGACCAGTGCGCTATTAAAATAATGGAAAGCGAATGAAAAAAAAGTAGAAAGGGTCAGTAACAAGAACAGCAAAAAAAAGTGAAAGGGCAGTGGTTTATCGAACCGTGCCGATATCGTGGCTGTTGTTCTTTCGACACTTTTCTTCCAGCTTTCCTCATGCAAAGAGTTGCATAGTGTCCACAGGTAACCTGTGGCCTCCTTGTGTGTCGCGTGTCGTGCATTTGACGGAAAATTTGTCGATTGTCCAGACGGTAGCACAAAGAGAGAAGAGGGTGACTTACTATTTGAGCTCGCGGAGAATGGCCTTGTGAATGTTGTTACAGAATCCTTCAATGGTAGCAGTCTCGCGCCGCAAGACAACAGGTGACGAATAGTCGGGCAATTGACCCTTGGGCTTGGTGTAGATACGGGCCAGATCAAGGTACTCCCAGGTCTTGGACAGCAACTCGTCAAAGTTCCACTCGTGATGGGCACAGATAGGAACCGCATGGGGAATCTTGGACACAAGGTCCAACTCCTCAATCGAGATCTGGTCAATCTTGTTGAGGACATAGATGCAGGGCATGTAGACACGGTTGCCCTCGATGACATCAATGAGGTCATCCACCGTCGCGTCGCATTTGAACGAGATATCGGCGTTGTGGATCTTGTACTCGCTCAACACTGCCTTGACCTCGTCCAAGTCCAGATGTGTCAATGGCACAGTGTTGGTCATGCTGATACCACCCTTCTCCTTCTTCTTGTAGTAGATGTTGGGGGGCTTCTGGTTCAGGCGGATACCGAATCCTTCCAATTCCTTCTCGATAATGCGCTTATCTCCCAGTGGCTTTAACACATCCAGCACCAAGAAAATCAGCGAGCAGGTACGCGCCACAGCAATAACCTGGCGACCTATTACGTTGTTCATGGTAATTGCGTTATTAACGTGAGTTCCCTTGTCTATTGTGTTCAAACATCAAAGAATCGTATCTGTCTCCAATCGATAAACGTTTGTTTGTGTCCAAGAGCCCACTTCATTAAAGTATGAAGACCTGTCTCCGTGTGTCCAAAGTCAAAACTATTGTTTTTGTCCCGGAATGTCCACTATACAAAAAACGCCACATGTCCATGCTATTCCTGAAAGTGAAAATTCTACTAGTAGACATATATCTCCCGAGCGCCATGACGACATAACTCTGAACTATCAGAGACAAAGAGAAACGTACCACGACCCTTGCCGTCCTTGGCACCCTCGATAATTCCGGGAAGATCGAGGATCTGGAGCTTGGCACCGTTATACTGGACAACACCTGGCACAGTAGTAAGGGTTGTGAACTCGTAGGCGGCGACTTCCGAGTGTGTTCCTGTCAACTTGGACATCAAGGTCGACTTTCCGACCGAGGGGAATCCGACGAATCCAATACGACCCACTCCTGTCTTTGCCACATCGAAACCCACTATTTTTTTTTTTTTTTTTGGTTCATTGGAGATAGAAGTTGATTGAAGGTGAGTGCATTGTTCCTTTCCTACGTTCCAATTGAAGAGACGTAACGTTTTCACCTAAGTATACAAGAAAGAGAGCTCTGACTTACCACCTGGTCCTCCACCGCCGGCGCTGGTGGGGGCCAAGAGCTCACGTCTCAACTTGGCCAACTTGGCCTTGAGACCTCCCAAATGTTGGGAAGTGGCCTATTATTGTGTCCGATGATAAGTATTCTCATTGAGTTAGTTCAGTTGACTCTCTTTTGCACGCTTCTGTCCAATACTTTAACGGAATATGTCCTCTTTGTGTTTGCTGCACTACTTGTTTGTTCCAACGGCAAAATAAAAAAAGACGATCGCTCTCCCTCTTTTCTTTTGTCGTTTATCGAGTTGATTCCATGAAGTGTGTGTTGACAAAGTGAGTCAAAGGAAGAAGGGTATTGAATCGCACCTTGTTCTTCTGGGTACGAGCCATCTCGGCCTCGATTTCCTTGATTTTCTCGACAGTCGTCATGTTGGCTAAAGTCCTCCTGTGATGTGGGGTTTGGGCGAAAGTAAAGAAACGATGATCACTTGGGCCTTCTCTTTTTCAAGGTGTGTGCTCCCAGGCTGGCTTCTTTCAATATTTTTTTGAACACTGATCCAAGCCACTTCGCAGTCACTCTGTTCCGTTTGAGTTTTCGTATGTTCTCTGTGTACTCTGGCTGTGCCCTGAGGTTTGAGGTTTGCGTTCGCTTTCATCCTTCTTCCCTCACTTCATCCTCTATTGCTGCTGGAATCACACCCCCTCCTTTCCTTCTGCAAGTTTGCAGTCTGTCCAGATCATACATAGATCAGCTCTCTCCCTCTCAACTCGCCCGGTCCGCCATACCACACACTGGGTTGCTTACTTTACTATCTTCCTCCCTTTTGAATGTTAACCTGCCTGAAGGCCACTATTCATATACCCGTCGTCCTCCGCCGACCGCCTTGTCTGCGCCACGCCTCGCTTCTTCCCCTCCTTCGTCCCTCTTCGCCTTCCCTCTTAACTTCATACCGACCACTCTTTCAGAAAGGACATAATAACCCTGTCCCTACGACAGCCCTTTCTCCCGTTCTCCGCTACTTTTCAACCTCAAGACTATTGTCTTCCGAGTCTGCTGCCGCAACAGCAACAACCACCTCCGCACCCCTTCTTCCTATCTCTATCCCCGCTCCTAAAAAGCTTTCCAAAAAGACCCTTAAAGCCAGCAAACTAAAGCTCAAGTACAAGGCTAAAGCCAGCATTTCTACCGATCCCCTTCCTTTTACCAAGCCTCCGCCGCCGCAGCCGCAGCCATCCCAGCACTCTTTGGACGAATTTATTTCTGCTGTCAAGAAACCTAAAAAGAGCGCATTGTCAAAAGAGACTATTGTCACTGTCAAAAAGTCCAGGGATCCCACCCCTCTACCCACCTCCAAGCAATCCAAAGTGAAGAACAGCAAGGTCTCCAAGAGTGCAGCCACTGGTAATTTATCACTTGTCCAACTGACACCACTGACCTTTCTTTTTCAAAGTGTTTGTTGTATCAATTGGCCCTTAAGATGGTGTTGTTCATCAAAGAGACTCATCGCCTTTCTCCCTTATTCATCATATGTAGCACCGCAACAAGCCCAGGAGGGTTTGTCATCGTCATCGACAGCACCAGGCTTTCAAACAAGGACAGCATTCAAGCGCGACCAAAAGAAGAAACACAGGATACAACCGCACAAGAAAGAACGGGCGCCGTCTTTTCACAAAAAATTTACTTCAACACCACCCGGATTCGATGACGGAACCACAATGAGCGCCAACGAGACCATGTCGGATCAGGTTCAGATCCTGTGCGAGGCCTTTGCCGAGGCCAACATCCGCCGTGTCCGTCAATACCCACCCGTCTTCTTGATCGGTACATATGAGCATGCCGAGCTGGCCATGCAGATCTTTACGGAATACTACGAACTCACCACCCAGGGACTCGGACACGTTGGATTCGATACCGAGACTGAATGTCATTGGGACAACCCGGCGGCACAGAGAGACGAGGTCTCGATCATCCAGATGGCATCTCAGGATATTTGCCTGCTCTTCCAGATCAACCGCATTGTCAATGTTGCACGGTGCCCCTTCCCATCCCGTCTCAAGGCATTCCTGGAGGACCCTACTCATCTCAAGCTAGGAGTTGGTGCCAAACGGGATGCTAAGGATCTGGACCGAATTTTTAACATCGACTGCGATGGAGTTGTTGATCTGGAAGTCATGGCATTGGAGAAGAAAGTTCTTGAGCGGTCACTTCAGGATTTGGACGAAAAGTACGGTCGGCCGGGACGAGAGGTCCTTAAGACTCATGCGATGCTTCGATGGAAATGGAACGCCGTGGAGTTGCAACCCCAGTGGGTGTGGTATGCTGCCAAGGATGCCTTTGCTGGAATTGCTATCTATGAGAACATGATGGCCGATCGGGTCAAGGATACCTTCAAGCCCTATGAGGAAAGATTCCCTATGACCGACAAGGAGCTGAAAAGGGACATCATGACCTTCCTCGAGCGTGCCATGGGTGGCAAAGGCAGGGTATGTTCTTCTCTTCTGACGTGCATTCGAACGTGATGAAGAATATTGTAAGCACATTCTTCGTACTAACTCTTAATATATAATTATCCTATTGTGAGTAGCAAACAACGTTGGGAGCGGTGGAGACGACGTTGCAAAAGGGCTATGGTCGATTCCAAAAAATGTACCAACCTAAGGAGAGAAACGCTCAGGTCAAGGAGTTGGTTCGTCAACTGATCACGGATAATCGTTTGACTCGAGTGGCCCAGACACCCTTAACCGCCGCCAACAAGGACGACGTTCTCATTATCACAGGCGAGCGACTGGAACGCGTGCTCAGGACTCAGGAAGCGATCGATGTTCTCCGGCCGTACTTCAACAACTCGCCTGTTTATATTCACAGCCTCAGCACCAAGGGTATCACTCTCCCTAGGACTCTGGATAACTCTGCTGGTTCTGCTGTGGACGAGAATTACGAGGATCTCCGACTTTTTGTTGAACTGGGTTCGATGTGGCAGCAACCGCGCAAGTTGAACGGGATGACATCTTCGTTCTTGTTTGAATTGGAGGCAGCAGGATACCATGGCCTACCCCCTGTGGCGAAATCTGAACCTGGATACAAGCTGCCCGAGAAGAAGATTGTCCAGGCGAATATGGAGCGGGCTAAGGCGAACGATGTTGGGAGCAAGTGGAGAGCGTATGTAAACCGACTGGTTCGTCGACGCGTGCTTGTGATGGAGAGTGGATTGTATATGATGGATCACGATCTGGAGGATCGATGCCGTGAGGCTGCACCCGAGTTACCAAGGGAGATTGTTGATCCTGCGGAAAATAAGCGACAGAAGGCATTGCGCAGGACAGCGATCACGGAGGGGCGTTTGTCGACGGTCAAGGATCTGACGAATGCGGAGGATTGGGGACATGGAGCTCAGAAGCGTGTTCGTCTAGTTCCTGACGAAGGTGATGATGATGTCGCCGAGGTTGAGAACGACAACGAGCAAGAGGATGAGGAAATGGTTGCTGCTGCTATATAGAACTTTTCAATTGTATTCCTATTTATTATTGCCCTTGTGCTTGACAAGGGTGATCATGGATGATCTTTTAATCCTTTTCGGGGGTGTGTATGTGTCTGTGTGTGTGTGTGTGTAGGAGTGTCAAGATGATGAAATGATTCTTCCACTGTCGCATTTGCTACACTCTGATCTGGTCTCACTACCCTTGTTCTCATGGCGCTGCCCTTTCCACTCTGCTTTCCAACTTCCTTCAGAACACACCAACCCACCCATCCACGAAGCACAGAAAACACAACACAACACACTTAACATACTTAACATACACCAACCACCACAACCACACCCACACTTTGTCCTCTATCTTCATTCACACCACTCGCCAAGCAACCATTCAACAGCCACAACACATAACAATGACGCAACAGAAACGTCAGCCCACAACCTCCAAGCGCACCGCATCTCCCCACGTCGACTCGCCCTCTGCAGCTGGGACAAAGGAGGAGCCGCCCAAGAAGCGTGGTCGTATGACTCGTCGGTCGATGGCCGCCCAGGCCGAGGAGGATGCTATTGCCGCTGCCAAGGAACGGAGTGAGGAGGATCAGGAGGAGAACGGTGATGATGGTGGGGATGCGGGTGAGGAAGAAGATGAAGAGGAGAGTTTGATGGATGGGAAGGGGGAGAAGACTGCTGCTGGTGAGTCTGACAAGAAGGAGAGCAAGAAGGTCGAGGAGGAGAAGGATGAGGGCGATACTCAAACAAAGGCCAAAAAGGAGGAGCCTCAAGGAAATGACAAGAAAGCAGTCAAGAAGGAGCCCCACGACGATGATGAGACCAAGCCTACCACCGTCAAGAAGGAGGAAGACACGGAGGACAAGAAAGAGATACTCGATATCCCACAGCAGATGGTTCTTGAGAAGGGCCATGTATATTTCTTTTACCGGCCCAAGATGAATGTCGACCAGCCCTCGGGCGTGGATGACGTGCAGAAGTTGTATATGTTGTTGAGTCCCGATGATGCTGTTGGCCGTGTCTCGACTTCGGCCGATTCCAAACACGACGGACCATCATCTGTCGAGAAATCGAAGGGTGACGTTGACGGTGGTGATGAAGGGAAGAAAGTAAAGAAGGAGGACGAGAGTGAAGGCGCGTTGCATCGATTGCTGATCATCCCTCGCAAGGCCCTCCCCGTCTACGACCCCAACGCCAGTGGTGGCAACAACAAACCCGGATCTAGGAACTGGGCATTCGTCGACACTGCTTCCTCCAACCTGGCGACCGTCGAGTCCCATCTCCAAGAATACAGCTACACCACCAAGACCCGCGGCGACCGGACTCAGGCCGCTGCTCGGTTCATTGCCCAAGCCCGCTACGAGTTCATCTTGGACCATGTCAATCCAGAGCACCCTCAACGACAGACTTCGTATTTTGTCTACGAGCTCGAGGTGCCTACGACTCCAGGCGCGGTCCAGAAAGCGTTCAAGATTGCAAATGAGGGACAATTTTTGGTCCAGGTCAAGAATCCTAGAATTCAGACACCCGCCACCGAGAGAGGAGCAGCGCGGTACGCAACCCTGAAGGGCAAGGCTCCCCAGTTGCCCAAGCACCTACAGGAAAAGTTCAAGGGTGTCAGGAAGGATGAGGTCCGATATGCGCCGATAGATTCGAGCGAGTTTTTGGATGTGGCACACGTAGAGTTGGTGTTCTTGGCGGTGAAGAGGGGGGCGAGGGAGGAGTTTGAGGAGTTGCTGAAAGAGTTGGAGGAGGAGGTTGAGGAGGATACGGCTGGGTGGAGCGAGAGTGAGGGCGAAGGTGAGGGCGACGGCGAAGGGGGAGTGGATCATGTGTACAAGGAGTTGGAGATTGATGAGAAGACCATCCCTGCTGCTGTTGACGAGTTCAAGTGAGCGCGAAGGCGGGGGAAGCCTGGAGCTAGTTTTTGGATTATACTTGTCCCTTAGCACAACAGCACGCACACATTCCTTCCCTATTTCTCTGTACATACATTCACAATCTCACTCTCATGTTTCCTCTTTTTTGAGAACATGGTTTACTGTCGCCGTGTCACGAACAAAATATAGTCAATTTTTTGCACGAGAAAATGCGCGCAGGAAGCAAAGAAACAAATGATTGTTGATCGTTGAGTGCGCTGCGGGGTTAAAAATAGCTCTTCGATAGACGTGCGACGGCAGTCAAGGGTGTTGATCAGAAGAACGAGCCAGGGTGTCGGTACAGGGTATGCATAAGAGGTATACACAGGCAGGGTCGAAAAATGATAGTAAGGGGTCGTTTCTGTGAATCGTGAATGGGATGGAAAAGGAGGATAAAGGAGAGAGAGAGAGAGTAGGGGATGAAAGATATGATATGAGGGTAGTGTGGCTGCGAGAGGTGGCTGTAGCATCCTCTACTCATTCTAGTCTTTGGGAAAAGGCTCAAGGGGGAAGCAAAAAGGGGAACATCTTTGACGTCTCTGCCCTACCTCGGCTGCATCTCTCTTCCTTCTTCACCCATGAAATGTGAAAAGGGAACCCCGTCTTTTATTATCTGTAGTGGTCCAACTTCTGTCAGCCAGAAGGTTAGCTGCAACGGTGTTTTACTCACACAACCTTTCTTTCATTCCTTTGCTTTGTCCATTCTTCTCTTCCTCCTTTCCTTTGCTAATGTCAACTCAGTTTTATCCCTTCTGCTCTTATTCAAAAATCAAAAACTAAACAGCATGAAAATACTCCACATTGCCTTCTGCGGTGCTATTGCTGTTGTAGCTTGTGTCACCGCCGCTCCAGGCACGTTTCACTTCACAGAATGTGCACATTTGCACGACACGTTCATATCGCTATTCTCAACTAAGTGGGATGCTGTCTGTCCTTCAATTGTTTAACCCACAATAACTTCCTTGTTTGCTCTATTGTATTTTACTCCTTTCCTTCTAGTTCAACGACGGGATGGTTCACCAAACACATCAACACCTATTCCAAAACACAATGACCACCGAACCTTCGACCAAGCGACCTGCGATGTTACCTTAGCCCGCTTCAACAATCAAGTACAAACCTGTCTTGACAGCAACAAAGCGCTCATGCAGAGGAAGAAAAGTCTCCGGGGAGTGATGCGTGGACCGTACAATAAGCTTCGCCGATCTGTTATTGATGCTCGACTTGCAAGATATGCCACTCCGACGGCAGAAAATGCGCACGGGGCACTGAGAGAGTTGATCCGGGTGTATTATGTAACTTTCAGTGGTGACGATGCTGTTCAGGACAGGCAGTTGATGGAGCAATGTGAGGCCGCCCGTGTCTCGATCAGCGAATGGTTTCTTCACGTCTGCAACACTACAGTCCCCAAGTAGGCTGTTACTGCTAGATGTTTAGTTTACAATAATTGATCTCTTTGTCAACATATTGATATTGACCATATGATGTTTATTGCGGTTTGGTTGTTTTGACTATACCGATCTTGAAGATGTGGCGGATAGTGGTAGTAGTGAGGATGGGAAGTGGAGCTGGCATCACATTTTGTTCATCCCTGAGAATGTCAAATTTTACTCTACGATGAAAGAAAAGAGAGGGGAGACAGGAAGTTCAGAGTTTGAAGATCTGTATTGTCAATGGAAGAAGGGATCGTGAACGAAAAACATTATTAACATTATTCTTTTCTGTGATTGCTGTCTGAGCAGTACTTGTCAACTATCCCTCCCTCTCTCGAAGAAAACACTTGAAGCCTCGCTTTTTTCAGCCCAGGAATGTGTTCTTGGTTGCGTTTAAAGTAGAGATGAGGGGACACGAGTAATTTTTCTCATGAACATGTGTCTGCCCTTTCTTTTTGAGGTACCGCCGCCCCTTTGATTTACACCAATGCCCTCTTCCCAACCACAAGAATACCCCGAATGCACCATCCAGGCATTCAACAAATCCTGCGAAAGGAGCAAATAATAATAATAAAAAAACACGGAGACGCGTGTGTCCTGCAATACCCCCCCCCTCCCCCATGAATTCGGATGTGCAACCGAGTCAGACCGACTTGTTTATACACATCTTCATCCCTTTTCTTCATCCCTCTACTTCTCTTAATATCCTCTCCGCTCCATTTCCCTTCACTTTTCCCTTTCTCTGCATCCTCACATTCACACATCCTACACGCACACACACAGACAAAAAAGAACAATGAAGGTCTAATCCGTTGCCCTCTGCCATGCCCACGATGACTGCAGGAATTCAACCTAAAAATACAAAAATGATGAAAACAGCGCAGCGCGCCGGTGAATAGAACGCAACGTGCTTATTACGGTGGTCTAAAATCCAATCTTTCTATAAGACTCTCCCAAGGAGCTTGCACTGGGTTGTGTGGCACCTTAAAAAACTCTTGTGTGTCCCCTTTGTTAAGCTGTATGGCATCCACTCTCCGCAATTATTATTTTTTTGGCTTCTATTGTGTCGTCTATTGTGTCTTCTATTGTGTAGGTGCTATTTTTTCTATTTTCCTGATGCGACTACACAGGATTCAACCCGACAAAGCTCCGCAGTTTCTCAAAGATCATCAACGAAAGCATGGTATGTGGACCAAGTCTCAACCAGCACATCAAGAAGCCCTTATACAATGCCAAAGGTCCCTCCCGCTGAACAGTCTTGACCGCACAGTCGATCGCTGACCGGTATAGATGCCCCTTTCCCTGGGCATTGAACTGTTGGTTCATATATCGGACCTTGACAGTATCAATCGGCGATGTTGAGATGGAACAGACCAATCCTGCAACGGTACTGGCACAGAGATGGGTTAAGTATCCCTCGTGGAACTGAGCTTGGCCCTGAGAATCACGGAGTTTGAGGAGCCAATGTTTTGTGGTGTCGTAGGAGGCGAGTTGGGAGGCGGTGACGACCATTGCGCGGGCTGCGGTCGGGATCACGCCGCGGTAGAGGCCGGGGATACCTTCTTCGACGTAGATGGATCTGCAGGCGTCGGCAATTGAGGCGTAACGTGGTTTTCCACTGGGCCAGAATGCCTGCAGGCGGACTATTAAATTTATCAGGGGTGGGATAGAAAGGTTAGGGATGAGGACAGTGGCTGGTGGCCGCACGATTTGCAACTCCATTTGTTGGAGAGGAAACCATAATTCCAGAGACAGAGACAACCCCTTCCCCCCCAATGCGGGGAAGAAGGGAAAAAAAGAGAGCACGTAGAAAGAGGGAAGATAGATGGATAGTAAATCTTGAATCCGCAGTGTGGGAGAAAAAAAAAAGAAGAGCAAAGGCTTACCTTTGATGAGATCGGTGGGGTTGGCAATGGCACTACCAATCATCCCACTCGTGAGTCCAGACATCAGCTTGACCAACGTCGTCGTCTCTTCACCTCCGCGAAGTCCCGCTGCTCCCATCCCGCTGTAGATACCCTTGAAGTAATCGTAGCTGCCTAACCGAATTGTCGAGTAGACACTCTCCCGTAGTACTGCTGGCGCCAATCCTGCAACAAAGACCCTTGGTCCCTCTGTGCGCAAAATCTGTCGTAGTAATGGGATGAGCCCAAGTGTCTGTGTCGTCTGTGTCGCTGTCACTGTTGTTGCTGGTGTTATTGCTGCTCTCATGACTGCACCTCCTGCTGTTGGTGATGAAGTTATGGTTGGGTGGAGAGTATGAGTCGCAGCAAGGACGGAGGTGGATGAGGAAGGGAGGACGACAGAGGTGGTGGTAGTAACAGCGATAGCCTCGCCCTGGAGTTGGAGCCGGGTCTTGATGACATCGACTGGGTGGGTAAAGACGACGGCAGTCATGCAGCCGAGTCCGCCAAAGAGCAGTTTTGCAGCCAGTTCCTGGCCCGGTGTCCACAAGTGTGCTGCCCGTCCCTCCGGGGTTAGACTTGTAAGTCCTGATGATTGTTGTCCTTGAACTGTCATGAGATGGAGTGTCCTCTGGTTGGTGATGCCCTTGGTTGTTTGGTGATGTTGGTTGTTGGATGTGGGATGAGGGAAGGTGTAGGACTGGTTGAGATGGTAGAGTGGAGAGAGGAGAGAGGGGAGAGATGAAAGAGGAGCGGAAGATGAGTTGTCCGAGTGAGAGAGGGAGGAATCATTCTTTCCCTTCGTTTTTCTTCTGTGCTCTCTCACTCTGGCTTACTGTTGGGTGTCTGTGTGTCCGTGTGGAGGGTGGGAAGAAAAACTGGCAGGGGTGAATAATCAGCCAGTCAGTGGGTCATCGATTTCTCTCTATCCTTGTGTCCTGAACCTTGTCCGTCTCTCATGCCCTCCAGTCCGTTCGGTTTGTTCCCACTCTGTACAGTACTAGCACACGAATTGAGCGTCGGTCTAACCTCTTGCCTTTGCCTCTTGGCGACCATTAGAATGTAATTGCTTGTTTTTTTCTTCTTTTTTTGGTTTCTTTCTGAAGGAAACATTGTTCAATAACTCACACCAGAACTCCGCGCTCTCCCTACCGATGTCCGTGATACGACGTTGCTCGAGTCGATTCAAAGGCGTCTCTCGTCTGGGTGAAGGCTGTCCCTCTCAACCTCCTACCAGTTCCATGTCCTGCTCTGTCGGGAACCCGTCGAAATCGTAAATGTTGGTCGACCCCTTGTCGTAGAATACAAGTTGCTCGAGATATGCAGGGTAGACTTGTTTCCGCCTTTCATTGTATTCTGATAGTCGAAGGTTGAGTTCCGTGAGGGACACCAATCGAAACAGTGCCTGAGCGAGAACGTGGGTCCCGAAGGAGCTTCTGAGGGGGAACCAAATGAGCGTGACGGATGTCAGAGAAGGGTTAAGAATGAGCATCCAGGAGATCCAGCCGGCTGCGTCATAGGGTATAGAGTGTTCTTTGATTTTCGTAAGCCGAGTTAAGTGTGGGAGGATGATACTTGGAGATTGACGTTCCTCCGAGAATGGTACAGTAGATATCGAGGAGTCTTTTGGGTTGATCTCGCTTGTGTTGACTACATTCGTTGGTGTCGGTGTCGGAGAATAAATTTGACCTAATGGCAATAGGAACCACCCTGTTCGCGTAATTGTCGTCGTTGTTGGCAATGCTATCGACAACATCCAAAATGACACAATATGATTGGGATAACCAACTTCCTTTATAAACCAATTATTCTTGCGAACAAACGTGCCCGCGAACTCTTGCATTTTGTCGCTGGCCTACTCGCGGTTTATAGGCATCGAGTGTTGACGTCTTCTCACTCTTCTCGGGTACGAGAAGATATTGAGCATTTATAAGGCTTTATTTTGCGAAAGACAATGATGATTCCAATGAGGTTTATTCGTCTTTTGCCTCGTTTCTCTATCCATACTAGAGATTTTAACAGACAAGACAGGCAGTGCTACGCAGAGTGAATGAGATGACGGGTTCTGCTCAGACAGTCCTTAGATAATTACAATTAAAATAAAGGTAGCCTAAGCGACCCGAATAAGGAAGGACGCAGAATATCCTATATGAACCCAACCAAGCTGGTGAGAACTTAGGCGACGAGGCCGACGACAATGATGAAGTAGAACTCGCAAAGTGAGGAGCTGCTTAATATCAAGATGATCAAAGGCTTACGCTGTCACCGATGACTTACGCGCTGGGAGATGCATGGAAACACTGGGATTGCAGTGAGGTGAGGTGCGATCATGGCACAAACTGATAAGGGTCATGACGCGGTTATACCTCACACACAAACCAACGCACGGTCCACCCCTCTCTTTCTTTCTCTTTTCCTTTCACATGATTGTCGGAGGAGAGGAAGAGGTAAGTACAAAGGGAGGAGTGTCCGGTTTTGTAGGGATTCATGCACCTTCTTGTAGATCTTTGATTGGTCTCCTCTCGGGTAGATGGATCCATTTCACGCTCTCATCTACCCTCTCTCATATGAGTCACCACCGTCCAAAAAAATCCATCCAAAATATAATAGCTTGGCAACAAGCGCAAGAAGACCTAAGCCTAAATCCAAAGACTATTCCTGCGACGCGAAGATTCTTTGAGATGTGTTCGAGGGGCAAATAGAGCGTGATCTGCAGATGGATCTTCACTATTACTTCTGATGTTTTTTTTGTGTTTGAGTAGGCTATGTGAACATGTGCTCAATGCATGTAGGCTCTATTTTGCTATGCTACAGCCTCCATCAAACGCGACTGCAATTTCTGAACTGATATTGATGTTTCCTCCGTACGTGATTGCGGATAGTGGTATGCGATACTTTAGTCGATCTATCCAGAGTGTGGTGCACATGTAAATAGTCAGTACCACCAACTCTGCTCTGACCAGTCTGGTATGGAGTTTGAGAGATTTAATCAACGCGTTTATAAAACCGTGTGCGCAATGTTCTCTTTTCCTGCTTTATTTTGTCAGGAGAGGCCGGTTGGCCCTAGGGACCGGGCGTCGTGAGGTCGACGCAGCAAAAGAAAGCACTTTCATGTGTAAATCATATGCTCGACGGAGACTAGTATGGATTCTGAACCCAAGCATGAAGAGGTGACAGCAGAAGTCTTTATCTGTGACCATACGCACATACATATCATTTCCACACCAATCTCCTTTTTTCACACAATTGCTTTCTCCTGCCTCTCCCTTCTTTCATACTCGCAACATCTTACTCTCAGCTTTCATCTTGATTTAACTCGCACTACATACACTTTCTCGCATACACTTTATCATTGCCTGCACTTACAGTGCCTCCCAATTCTCTACAGTGCATAGCGTATGTGAATGTTCATCCATTAACTCTACTAGTGTTAAGGCACTTAACTGCCAGTATCTTACACGTAGAAATCCTTTCACCTCGTTTCTATCTCACCAGCATAGCCATGATGGTTCAACGCGGAGGTCGAGGCCAATTTAACGCCGGCCGTGGAGGTGACCGTACCCGAGGTCTTGGCGACCGAGGCCGTGGCCGTGGGCGCGGCCAACGATATACAACCGAGAACATATCGGAAATTACTACAAGGCGCACCACATCTGCCCAAATTGGATCCGAGGCAACCGACGACCTTCTTATAGCACCCACGTTGGATTCCGAGCAACAACATCTAGCTCATTGGTACCTATCGAAAATAGGGTTCGACGGCTTTAGAACCCAGAAACAAGTTCGGGACTTCGTGCATTCCCTCCTTGTTAACCTGTCCAACCACCACTCGGTTGATACATCTGGCCTACTTACCGACATGGCTTCCTCGACGGGACTTGCGCGCCTAAGAGAGGTACTCCAGCGCAACATGGTCATCAACGCCGGCTTCGAGAAGGATCGCACCTCGTTCCAATACGTCGTCTTGCCATTGATTGGCGTCCTCACGCGTGAAAACGTGTGCCAGTCGACCCTTGTCCAAGAATCTGGTCGCATTTATGCAGAGGTCTATGGCTACCGACAACAGCTCCTCGATCAAGGTGTTCTTCCATGTATGCGCGAGCTCATCAACAGGGGGTCGATGGACGACATAAGCGCTATAGGAAAGCAGCTGCGAGCTGACCGTTCGCTGTTACAAGTAGTCACTCTGCAGCGTGCCATGCTGGCTGTCGTTCGTTTGGTGTACCAACTGGTCAAGCGCATCCAGGGTGCCAAGAAGGAGATGATCGACACCATTTCTGCTGTCCAAGATTTGGCAAAGGATTGTATCGAGCGTTCAGACGACTCGCAGATGTCACGTTTCCTCAACCAGAATCTCGAGCGGGAGTGCCAGCGACTGCGCTACATGGTGTCAGCCCCCGTTCCACCCGTGGTTGACCCCGCCTCGGAGGCTGGGATGCCTCATCCTAGCAGCCAAGCACCAAACCTGGTCCACCTGAGGCTAAACTTTGATCCGCCTGGCCACCTCTCGGCGAAGGGTCCTCGCCACGACAACGATCACGCCATGATCAAAGATATTCAAGTTGTCCCTACGCAAGATGAGCTAACTTGCACGAGGCCCGCATTCCTTCCCTCCAACGATGTTCCTGGCGCTCCACATCACCTTCTGCCAGGTTGGCCGCGACTCTTGGATACCCACTTCCGCTTGAATCGAGAAGACATGATCGACCAACTTCGCCGGGGCATCATGGCCTTCTTGGATGCATTACGCCAGACAACGCCCGATCGGCATGGTACCCTCTTGAATAGGAGGGAGCTGCGCCGCATCTTGGGCCAGGACGCTAGCGTGTACGCTTACGGAAGCGTCGAGTTTCTTGGCGCCAACACTACACGCCAACTCCAAGGATCAATCAAGATCTCCTTTGACCAGCCGCCGCAGATCAAGAGTCAGTCGGGAAGGCAGCGCGAGATCTTTTGGCAGCGTTCCAAGAGGCGTCTCATGCAAGGCTCCCTGGTCTGTTTCATCCACCCGGTCGAGGGCGAGGATACCGACTCACAAGATCCTCCTAACAACCAGGATGTTCATATATTCCTCGGCGTTGTCAGCTTCCGTGACGTTCGCGAGATGGCCAAGGACTCTGAAAAGGCTGTCATTAATGTTTCGTTGACGAATCCTACAGACTATTTTCGATTCGTTAGCGCCACAAAGTCAAATGCGATCACACCTCGAGACTGCTTCATGGTCGAGTCCATGGGAGGATTCTTCGAGGCCTATCACCCGATCCTCAAGACTCTTCAGACATGCGAGCCTGGCGATATGCCTTTTGGCAAGTACCTTGCTCCTGCAGAGGAGCAGGAAGCCGGCGCGACCGTTACAAATGTCGATCCTCCTCTGTACGCGCGAGCACCGGATTTCGAATTCGATCTGACGGTTCTTCTTGCGGCGCCAGCTACATGTCGTTTGGACGTACAAGATCCGCTGTCGCACCAGCAAGCCGTTGTTGCGCTTCGAGACCATAGCAACTTGGATGACACTCAGTCGCAAGCACTCGTAGACTCCCTCTGTCGTGAGGTTGCCTTGGTTAGGGGGTAAGTGTTGTGAAAATGCAGAAAAGTGACTAAAATAGGCTGTCTATGTCGAAGCATGCGCTCTGAACCAAATAAACTCTGTTTTGATAACATAGGCCACCTGGAACTGGCAAGACTAAGATTGGCGTCGACCTCATGCGTGTTCTAGTTCAGAATTCCGAAAGGAAGAACTTTGGTCCGATCCTCTGCATCTGCTACACCAATCATGCTCTGGACCAGTTTCTGGAGCATTTGCTCGATCAAGGCATTACTCGTCTGATCCGCATTGGATCACGCTCGCAGTCTGAGAAGCTCCGCCAATATGGTCTTGGTGAGCTCATGAAGGTCCACGGCAAAGCCTTCGCGGTGCGAGCAGCATTAGCTCAAGCTTATGCAGAGTGGGAAACCGTCGCTCAAGAACTGGAAAAAATTGATAAGGATCTTCGTCGTTCCAAACCTCTGTTGGCGGATGTTTTGAGGCATATCATGATGGATAACGATGATCAGTATTTCGAGCTTGAATGCGGTGACGGCAGGCGCGAGCCTGACAAGGAACCCAAGTCCATCGAGAAGAACCACCAGAGATGGTCTACCGGTGCCGATCTTGCAAAAATGGGAAGGGAGAACCGACGCATACAGAAGAAGTGGACAAAGACCAGACGGCAGGCAACCAAGAGACGCGAAAAGATCCTTGCAGCACTAAGTAAAGAAGACCTGGATGAGTGGGAAGTCGAAAGCGCATTGGCGGACATTGACGGACCATCCGACCACGTTGCTCTCATCGCCATTCCAAACACCAACAGACCTCTCAATACCCTCCGTGACGCTAGCCTTTGGACGATGTCAATGGAGGAACGTGAGCGCCTTCAGAAGTTTTGGACAGCACAGGCTCAGGAAGAGTTGCAGGAGCGGTACACCAAGCTGCAGGGAAAAATCCAGAGCCTGTCCAAGCGTGTCTCGGAAGCGCATGACGAGATCCGGCGAGGCATCCTCCGCAAGGCCTACGTCATTGGTATGACCACTAATGGTGCTGCCAAGGTAAGAATATTCTTCATTCACAATGATTGCTGGTGCTCATGGAAAGTGAATAATGCCTCACCATCCATCCTTACTTGCCCTCCTACTTATCCCCATACAGTTCAATTCCATGATTACTGCGCTATCACCAAAGATTATCATCTGTGAGGAAGCAGGAGAAGTGCTCGAGTCTCACATCTTGGCCGCCTTATCTGGATCCACTCAGCATCTGATCCTTATCGGCGACCATCTCCAGCTTAGACCCCAGATCGCGACCTACGTGTTGTCATCCGATTCACGGCAAGGTAGTCAGCACAATCTGGACCGTTCTCTGTTCGAGCGCTTAGTCGCCACCGACAAGATTCCGTCTTCTCCACTCGCCACTCAGCGACGCATGAGATCCGAGATCTGTAACCTGGTCCGCCCACTCTATCCATATCTCGTCGACGGCGAGCAGGTCCTTAATTACCCTGACGTGTCAGGCATGGCTACGAATGTGTTCTTCATGGACCATCGCCATCCTGAGGACAGCCGTGACCAGTACGGTATCCAATCGTATGCAAACACGTTTGAGGCTGAGATGGTCAAGGCTCTCGTCTTTCACCTCATCAAGAATGGGTACCAACAGTCTAGTATCACCGTCTTGACGCCATACCTCGGACAACTCTCACGGCTTCGAGATACTTTGGGCGATATTGTCCGACTGGCCATTGATGAGCGCGACCAAGAGCAATTGGATGCCCTGAAGGACGAAATGCCAACTGCTCATGATCCATGGAAGGCCGCCACTACCAATCGTACTTTAACATTGCGAACAATTGACAACTTTCAGGTAAATAATTTCGTCTGCAACATGTACTCCACCTTAGGTTTTGTATTCTCTAATATCCCTAAAACTATCATTTCGTCATTTCAATAGGGTGAAGAGGCAGACATCATTATCATCTCGCTCGTGCGGAGCAACACTCGTGAAGACCATCATGGCTCATCGGCGACCATAGGCTTTCTCAAGTCCCGCAACCGTACAACCGTCCTTCTCTCTCGTGCCCGCCATGGCATGTATCTGATTGGTAATGCGTCACTGATGGACCAGCCTCAGAACGGTATCTGGCCGGATGTTATGGCTGAGCTTCATGAGAATGACCGTATCGGCAACGGATTCCTCCTGCGATGCCGCAACCACCCCGAGACGGAGTTTATGATCAGCTACCCTACAGACTTTAAGACCTATGCACCTAACGGAGGATGCACCAGGCTCTGTGATCAAGTCCTGCAGTGTGGTCACGTCTGCACTATGCTATGCCACTCGGATGACAGGGACCATCAACAATTTAAGTGCGCTCAGCCATGTCCTCGTCTGCATCCTCAATGCGACCATGTCTGTCCCAAGGAGTGTGGCCAAGAGTGTGGCGACTGTCAGCAGCCCGTCGGTGCACTTCCTCTTTCGTGCGGTCATGTTCTCGCCAAAGCCTACTGCTTCCAAAGACAAGACCCATCGAGAGCTCGATGCAAAGAACGAGTCGTTCGAAAGCTGCCACACTGCGAGCATGAACATCCCATGTATTGCTACAAGGACACCGAGACCTTCAAGTGCCATAAAAAGTGCGATATCCTTCTCGATTGCGGTCACGCTTGTACCAAGCATTGCTTTGAGTGTCAGGCTGCTTCGCTCCGTGCTGATGGTCTGCCTGATGATCCTCCGCCAGGTGAGATTGTTGATCGTACCGACCACAGCAGCTGTCTTCAGAAGTGTGGCAAACTCATGCACTGTGGGCATTCCTGTAGTGCCTACTGTCACATCGGTGATGAGTGTCCTCCTTGCAAACAGAGCTGCATTCTGACCTGTATTCACTCGAAGTGCAAGCTCCCCTGCAAGACACTGTGCCCGGCCTGCTGCGAGTCTTGTGCCTGGTCTTGTTCTCACCAAGGACGTTGCAAACTGCCATGTGGTGCTCCTTGTTCGAGACTACCTTGCAACCGGCGCTGTGAGAAGACACTGTCGTGCGGTCACCAGTGCCCTTCTGTGTGCGGTGAGAGGTGCCCTCCACTCAAGTTCTGTGTCGAGTGCAAGAGTGACCCCAGTGTCATGGAGATGATTGTCGACCTCATCATGCAGGAGCCTTTGAGCGACGTCGATGTGAACGAAGATCCTCTTCTCGTCCTTCCCTGTGGGCACGCCTTGGTCATGTCATCGCTCGACGGTCTTATGGAGATGAATGCCTACTACGAGGAAGATATCAACCCGCTCACAGGTGAGGTTGCATTTGTTATGACCAAGTCGCTGCCCAATAGTGAGGTCCCCATGATTGGCTGTCCTTCGTGCCGTGCTCCTATTGCTAGTCTCGTTCGTTATGGACGTCGGATCAAGTACAGCCAGCTGGTTATGCGTCTCAAGAAGTTTGAGATGCTTCAGAGCGCCGCCGTCACCGAAGCCGAGAAGAGGTTCACCGCAGCACAAGACTCAGTCCACAAGAATTTGCCAGCCTTCCTCGACAAGATCTCCAAGATCAAGTCGCCAAACGTCTCGAGGCCTCCCAAGAAGAGCAAGAACGTCCGTCGTGGACTGGGTCAGTTCGAGGTTGACGGTGCCTCGTTCCCAAATACCGATGTCACCACCTTGTTCCGCTCCTACGATATAAATCCGAGGCAAGAACGAGCCTGGAAAGAGTTGATCCAACCTACCTTAGACGCACTCAAGACTTTTGATGAGATCCGAGAGCAGGCCACTGTCTCGCCGCCACGTCGTCTATTTGAGGCGTCTGTGGCACACCTCTACCGCTTCAAGAGCCAAGTCTTCTACGTTGACTCTGCCGAGAACGGGTACCAGACATTCTTATGGACACCTGAGGAGTCGCAACGAGTCACGGACGAATGTTGTTGCGAATGTGGCCTGTCACCAGATCACCAAGCAGGCTCATCGTTTGTCCAAGCAATCCAAGGCCGATCTAATGTCCTTCTTTTGATCTTGCACGCAGCGCTCCAGGCGCTGGAGAAAGGTGGCGGCATCGGCTCAGGCTGGTACTGGTTCGTCGAGGGTCTTCTCCTGTGCTGTGCCGTCCATGCCGGTATCCAAAGGGACGCTGCCATTAAAGGCCACTATCCTCGCATTGAGATGTGTGCAAAGATGAATCTGCTAGACGTCCTCTACAAGCGTTTGAAATGGATCGGTCGCCGTCCGTTCGACAAGCGCAGTCCCGAGCAGCAGCAGCTCCGCCAAAAGGCTGTCGACGAGGTGCTCGAACAGTTCATGAACACACTCAAGGAAATCGAAGACAGTGACCAAATCGGCCTGCGTAATATGTGGTTGCCCAAGGCGCGCGAACTCGAGTCTAGCATGGTGACTGCCGTCAAGATTGCATTGTGTCAACTTGATCAACCCCTGACCCAAGCCGAGAAGTTTGAGGTCTTCCGCGCCATGCAGATCGAACTCCATGGTGCAGGCCATTTTTTCCGCTGCCCTAACGGCCATTCCGTACGTTTTTGACATTGCGTCTTCGGACAATCAAATCGCACAGGACGTGAAGAATGATGGAATGTTTACTGACCGCTTATTTTACTTTATCTCTCTTTCTTTGCTATGACTACTTTAGTACGTAATTGGAGAGTGTGGCGGAGCGATGCAGGAGTCGATATGCCCTGAATGTGGTGCGGGTGTTGGAGGTAGAAGTCACCAACTCGCTGAAGGCAACCAAGTGGACACAGAGTACGAAAGCTTCTACCGAAGCCGGTAACAAAACGCAGAACAATCTCAAAGAGGATTGCACTTTCCAAATACTATTAAAATTATATATTTAAATTTGAATCAAATCTTATTGTGGGCTTGTTGACCAGCAAAGGAAACTCCTCCGCTGTCACTTCATTGCTGCTGGTGTCAAAATTAGTGGCAGTGAGTTTGGTGGAAAGGCGTCCCTGAGATTCTATGTCACTAATAGGTTGTCCCCCGATTTATTCTCTGCCAAGCTGACATTGACATCGTCGAAATTTTCGACGGCGTTGAGAGTTATGGAGTTGAACCAATCGTAGTGCGAGCTGTTTTTCTGATGGCTGCATCTCTTCAGAGAGACATCGATGACTTGGTGCTCTCTAAGCATCTGGAGTCAGTTTCTTATAATCGTCGTCTTTGTTATTTCTCTCACTTTTATTCTCACTTTCGTTGCACATAGATGCAACAAAGAATGAGATCCCAGAAAGGACCGCGAGTTTTTCTATCCCATTGCCCCGAAACCTCATCAATGTGATTTTTTTGTCCCCTCTTTTTCCATACGAAAAAACACAATGACTTGCAAAATACATAGACGAGAAAAAGATGCATAGTGGAATAGATCACCAGCATGGATCCTGTCTAATCTGAATGTCTGGTCGCTGCTTCTGGAACCAAACAATATGCGGAGGCGAAAGATCCATAGAAAGCAAATCTCGAGACCTGTCTTGATCTTGGGCTCAGGCAAGAGCTCAATCACTTTCATGGGCCAATGTTCTAAACACAGCAAGGCTGGAAAGGATGCATCCGCATTGTTGGCGCGGAGTGCCTTAAAAGTCGAGTTTGGAGGGGTCAGTGTCGCCGTCGTCGGCACTCCAATTATCGTCATCGTCATTCTCTTTAGTGTCACCCTGCCCGAGTCGTATCTGGGACATCCTCCCTGCCGCGATTCTCGGCCTGCTGCTCGTTTCTAGCCACTGCATTTCCTTGGACCTGATCCCTAGATTCAACACCTCGATCTCAGACAAGGCCCTAAGCTGATGATAAAACTTCTCGAGAATGGTCCATGTGGGCTCGTGGACACCAGGCACCTCGGACATATCGACCGCAGAAGTAATCATCTGCCGTAATTCGAACGTGATCGCTAGAGTCCCGAGACCTCTACACACCCACTCGTCCTCCACCAGATGCTTCAGTCGCGTTGATACTGGAGGACCTCCTCGGATGACGAGATGTTGCAATGCGGCGCAGTTCCACAAAATCGCTTGGATGACACTCCCCCTAACATGGGGAGACTTCTCGATCAGGATCTCTATCACACTGCGGTAATGATCTGTGGAAACTTTTCGTAGGATCGAGTCCGCAGCGCTGGTTAAACAATGTCGGTCGTTCCTTAGATTCGTCAGCGTATGTGGACGGAGGACGCCAACGATGTGAACTGCTGCTTGACGGCAGTTGTCCAATGATCGCAAGTGGAGGCAGTTTTTGGCGACTGCTCCTGCAATACGGGTCGAGATTGGACGGAACCCACTGTGATTCCAAAAAGGCACAAAAAAGGTCTCCAGGGCGTCACAGTGTTCCAGAAGTGAGCACAACAGCACTGTATCTCCCCATCGACTAAACTCAACCCCGCAGCGTTCTCAATCGATCCAGTGGAACAAGCCGTCTCTCCAGTGCCTGACCCTCTGGTGGTAGGTCGAGTCCTGGAACGGACCCCCTGTAATGTCCATATGGAAGAGCGACTGCATTTCCTTTTGTGTGAACGCAGAGAGACACAACCTCGATAGACACTGGAAGCCTGTTAAACACAGACTGGACAAATGACACCCAGCTGAGAGGAGGCATCCGAAAGTTGAGATCTAGTTCCTTGAGCGACGTTAGGCTGGATATTGGTTGGATGAATATAGGCGTAGATGGAAGACTTGATGCTGCTCACGTTCAAATGAACGGAGGTCAAGGTCGTATGGGACTAGAGGAACCAGGCCAGTTGTGGCATAGCCTTGTATTCAGAGCATTTGACCTTGTGGAAACACTGGGCGCCTTTCGCCATGTCGTCGGTGCTGTAGTCCATGCTAGCAAGTCGGGACATTTGCGGTAGGACTGAAGGACCGGGAGAAAAAGGTGATGTTGGTTCCGATGCGGTTACTGAAGTGGTCGAGTGGGCTGAGTGGGTTGTAGTTGTAGTTTGGTCGTACGGGTGGTTATGAAGGCGCCGAATCATACTGTTGACCAGAAAGACGAGAGCTTTGGCTTGGACTTTGACTTCTCGGACACGGTGAATGTGTGTCTTCAAGAGCCTCAATGCGTTTACTGAATACTTGAACCGCCTTGCTTGCGCGTTGTTGACGAGACTGAGGGTGGACCAGACCATAGGGGCTACAGTCTGGTGGAAGAAGCGGTTGGTGGAGGCGAGATTCAGTTGATCGGTGTAGCGAGGAATTGAGTAATGAGCTCCAAGAGTTCTTGGATTGCAAAGACTGTCCTGCATGGTGACTCCATGGCGAAGACAGAGAGAGAGTGTGTGTGTGTTGCTGAAGGAGAGAGGCGGAGCGACGTTCAGGATGGTACAGTTGCGAAAGAAAAGGGTGGTTCTCTTTCGACTTTTGTCGCTTAAAGGCGAACAATCAATCAACGTCACACATTTCACGCCATCAAATATTTAATTCCCTGGCTTGCTCCTAATCAAATACCGTTGGGCGAAGTCAGCGTGTCGATTGCATGGATAGGGTATCATACTGAACGGAATTTCTGTCGTAGCTCCCGTTCACCTTTGCCCTTGCCTTTCTTGCTCTCCTCTCTCTGTCTTTCTCCTTTTTTTTTGATTCTGGCTGCTGTGAGAAGCGAGGGGTTGTCACGTGTTTTATTGTGTGCGGCTTTATGTATCTTTTCGCCGAGGACTTGTCCGACGACTTATAAACATTGTACGAGATGGGAAACCCACTTCATGTCTAACGTGACAATCTTTATTTTCTCAGCAAATTCAAAGATAAAAGAAAAAAAGTGCAGTACATAGAACCTCACCATCCGCGTAGGAACATTGCGTGATAGAAGGCTAAACTAAATGGGGTGGGATGGGCGGGACATGAAGTGGGTTTCCCATCTCGTACAATGTTTATAAGCCGTCGGACAAGCCCTCGGCGAAAAGATACATTCTACTTCAAGAGAGGGAAACCCACTTCATGTCACTCCAGCTAACTAGCCGGCCAGCGTGATCTGGGTCATGTTCTTGACGGACCGGCGAGACAAGCGATAAAAAGAATCATACGTCGCCGAGTGCGCCCAAAAACCTTGGGCTTGCACCTCGTCAGAGGAAGCACCATGCTCAATGGCCAGGGAACACCCACGACACTATCACCAACATCAACACCAGCAACCCCACTACCAACAACCGCACTACCAACAACACTCGCTTGCTCCACTCATTCAGCTTCGAGGGTTAATTGATAGTATAATCGAGCAACAGCAACGGCCGCACTGCCTTGCTCCAGGTTCATTGACAAATGCGCCCTTCCAAGGACCACAAAACCTCCCGCCACTATCGCAACCTCATGTGCCAGCTCCGCATCCACCGTATCAAGCACTCGCGCCGCCCACCACATCTTCCTTTTCCTCCCGGACGCTGTCACAAGCCAGCCCACCCCTCCTTTCTATAAGTCGAGATCCACAGCTGTCTTTGTCTCCATCACAGCGTGTGCCCATTCCCCGGTTAAGTTCACCTGCTCCTGTTCAAGCAATTGAGAAGGCGAAAGCCCCCAAGAGCAAGAGTAAGGAAAAACAATTTCGATTCGCCTTTTTTACTCAGAAAGAATAATACTCTTAAGATACTATTAGAAATACGCCCAGTTTGATGATACAATATAAAGATCAGAAAGGGAAAGGGCAGGGACGTTAGGACACAACGAAAAAACTGTTTTGTGTGAATGAGTAAGGTGGCGACTGTGCGCGAATGAGAGAGGAATTGGTCTGCAGATAGTGAAAAAGCAGCAAAGGGCCACAGTGCGACAGGAAGAGAGGGTGAGGGTGAGGGAGTAAAAAAGAGTGGGAAAAGAGGTAGGGAAAGGAAGCGACAAGCAAGGACATGTAAAAAATCACGAAACGGACGCGGATGTGAAGGAAAAAAATGTGCGCGTACTCTGTCAAGGAACATCCTTGTGATTCTGTAGCGAAATGCGAAAGGCAGTCACGCGCCACCAACTTGATGGGTTCTTGATCTTTTTCATTCCATGCAACTTCTTCATTGTCAACGATCCCACCCTCTTACTTCCGCACAGGCAGCCCATAGTCCCACCATGGCAACAGCAGCCTGCGACACATTCTTCGACCTCCCAGAGTTAGTCTGTCGCCTCACCCACTTCCTTCCACAACACGACCTCATCAAACTCCTCCAACTCAACCACCACATCAACACCATCTGCACCCCCGAGCTCTGGCGCACACTCGACCTCACCCCCCGCATAGTTTCCGAACAACTCTTGGACTCGCCCCTTGGTCTCCAAGCACTCAGTCGAAACATCAACTCTGTAAAGTCTATAGCATGGAACATCAACATTTCCACTCACTATATCAAAGCAGTATGGGCCTACCTCAACTCCGCTGCAGTCTTACCAGAACACCAATCGATCTCGACAGATGTCCTTTCATATCCTACGTGGGGGGGATTGACACTCCCAATCGTCACCTCAATCCATCCTCTGCCTCCAATGCTCCGTCTCACCCACTACTCAGGGGATCTCAGTAACGCCAACTACTTCGCAAATTTATTTCGACCAAATTCTCCACAACACGAAACCCACCCACATCACCCTCACCAAACCCTATGGCTACTCCAGCTCAACCGCTCAACATTGACACATCTTAGCCTTAATCGAGTGCCTCTTACCCCACTCCGGATCCTCCGCCATATCTGCCGCACCCTCTCCCAACTCACTCATCTCCAAACTCTGCGACTAGAGGCACCTTGGGGTCATTTCATCAATCACCAGAGCTTTAACGCCCTCTTCTCCAGTTGTCCTCGTTCATTGGTAGAGTTCTCGCTCCGAGCCGAGGTTGAATATTTCGGAGGAGGCACGGATTTAACACCGGATGAAGATGATTGGGACTTTGATCAACGGCCGTTGGTGCCGTCGACTGAACCGTTTCATTGTCTAATGAGGCTCGAGTTCCCGAGGATACGGAGCAAGGAATCCGCTCAGGCGGTTATTATTGTTCCTACCTTAATGCTCTGTCCAGCCCTCGAGACTCTAAAACTCCCAGCTATCAAGGATGCCCAGACGATCGAGTTGATCTCTATGACTCTTCGTCTCTTCTGTCCACTCGTCACCGACATGTCTCTTGCTTCCGACGCATCTGTGAGAGAGGGCGGAGAGGACGTTATGGGCATTATGCAGCAGATTTCACCAGGGCACCGACTCCGAAACATCTATCTCATAAACTGCCTCGACAACGCTTTACCTTCAACCACTGCTGCTGCATTCCTCCAACATGCAGTGTCGCTCCGCCGGGTCGAATTGAGTGCCACCCGACTACTCAAGAGCGCCACCATCCAGACCATCCTCGTATCGTGCCAGGGGTTGGAGTACTTGAAGATCGAGGAGAATGTATCGTCGACCGATTGCGCTCTCCACCTCGAAGATGCAGCCCTAGCAGAATGGGGATGTGCCCGGATCCGGTACCTGGAACTGACTGTTGCTTTTACACCTGATGGCCGGGACCCCAAGTACTTTGCCGCCGACCCAACGATGACTACATGGACTGAGGAGGACCACCATCATTGGGACTTGATGGACAGGTTATACACTCAAATCGGAGCACTATCAGAGTTGGTAGTCTTGAAACTCAAGGCTGCAGGTGTACCACGACCACCGCATACTCCAAGGAACCGGCAACGCGGCGATAACTTCAAGGACACATGCCTCCCAGGCCTCCTGTCCCTCGAGGACCCCACCTCCGGCAAGATCGGGTTCCTATCACGTCTCTCCGGACTCACCAAACTACGTGAGCTCCGCGGATCATTGTTCTGGACGAATAGGGAGGTGCTGGCCAGGACGGGCGAGCGAGAAGTGGAATGGTTCGTGAACCATTTACCGGCGTTGAGAAGGATGGTATTGTTATTTCGTTCTAGTCCATTTGTTGTTGTGCAAGGTGGAGAAGAACTGCCGTGGGTGGTTGAGGAATTACGGAGGCGCCGGCCGGGGTTGTTGCTTGAAGGTGACCAGCGGGATGAGGGTGATACTATCTTCTTGTAGTGTGTGTGATTCGGAGAAACTTATTAAACTTGATTGCGATGAACCCGGCTCGCCATTTGGTTTCAAAGTGTATGTGTGTTCATGGTATGTTTGTTTTAATATGCTACATGTTGATATATAAGTGAAGGTGAGGGAAAAAATCAAAGTACGGATGGACTGTCTTGGGTGATCTGGATATCGGGTCGGTGTTGTCGGAACCAGACAATGTGTGGAGGCGACAAGTCCATAGTAAGTAGGTGCCGCTTGACGCCACGATGGTCTTTCATAGCATGCAAGAGCTCGACAACTTCCAGCTTGGGCCAATGCTCCAACATCCACTCCAGCTCCTTCCGGCCTGTCGTCTTGGATGTCTCCGTAGTAGTCGCCTGGACATAACCCCGAAGCTCCCTCAGTTTCGTCAACCCACCCAACCAGCTCAAGTACCCCGGTCGACCTGTAGTTTCGTCGCCCAAGGAAAGCAAACCAGGGAAGGAAGCGTCTGCGTTTTGGGCACTGACGAGTTTCTGGTCTCTCTTAAGATGCGGCAAGCTTTCATTCTCATCTGCGCTCCAGAGATCAACATCGTCGAATTGTGCCGCAGGGGGACGAACGGTTTTGGTCCGTGTTGCTTGGCCGTTGGGTGGAGTAATTTCGACTTTGGCGACACTTCTCTCCTGCCCGTGCTCATCCAGCCACTCCAATTCCTTGGACTTGATCCTGAGATCCAGTACCTCCATGTCGCGCAAGGCCCCGAGTTGGCGGTAGAGTTTCCTAAGCAAGGTCCATGTAAGCTCCATGATGATGGGTAACGGACTCTTGTAATCCGTAGGAAAGACCTCCTGGCGCAGTTCCACCGTGATCTCCAAAGTCTTGAGTTTCGTGCACACCCAATCTTTCTCCACCAAGTGTCTAAGTCGTATCGACGGATTAGTTGGTCCCTTGACAATAAGATGCTCCAAAGCGGCGCACGTCCAGAGGATAGCTTGGAGGGCATGTCTACTGACATGGGGGCACTCCTCGATCCGCACCTCTGTAAGACTGCGGAAGTGTTTCGTTGAGATCAGTTGTAAGGTGGGGCCGACATACTCTGCCGCAAAAAAATTCCTACTCCTGATCGCTGTTAAAGAGTGTTCAGGGAGGGCGTCGATGAGGTCGATTGTTCCCACACCACATGTATCCAGTTCCTTTAGTCGGGGACAGTGTTTGGCAGCAGCCCGGGCAAGAGCATTGGAAATGGGACGAAAATCCGCCTCATCCCAACAAGGCGGCGAAAACGTCTCCAGCGCCGGACAATCCTGCAAGAAGGTATACAAAAGCCTCGTATCCTCCCACCGCCCAAACTCGACCAGGAGCCTCCGCAGCCGATCCAGAGGTGCGTGCCGCCTGAACAGCGCCCGACGTTCGCCAAGTAATCCTGAAAGTTCTGTATCCTGGATCTCCGACGAAGGTCCCGTAAGTGCATCCTCGACCTTTCTCGAACGAAGCGAGACGGCCTCGATTGAGACAGGGAGGCTGAAAAAGAGCAACTCGACGACAATCTCCCACCGGACAGGGGACATTCGAAAGTTGAGATCGAGTTCCTTTAGAGACTTGAGGCTAGGGATCGCTTGCATGAACAGGTGGGCGTCAAAAGGCGATCGGACACGGCAACCGCTCACACGGACGTGCGTTAGGGAGTGGTTGAGGTTGAGGAGCCAAGTGAGCCTTGGCATGACGGCGATCTCGGGGTAGGCGTCTGTAAGTTGAAGGTTCTTGTCCTGGTTCTTTTCCGTCCTGTACTCCAGCGTCGTGAGTCGGGTCAATCTCGGGAGGGTTGTAGAGATAGGGTTGGGTAGTGGTGACGAAGAAGTTGCAGAGGAAGTTGATGTGGAAGCAGTAGTGAGGGTTTGGTTGTCGCACTTGTCGTCCGGGTGCCGGATCATGCAGTTGAGGAAATATACAAGGGTACTGGTCTGAATCTTGAGTTCCCGGATATCTTCAAAGTTCCTGCTCAACGCCTTGTGTGCCTGCTTAGACTGTGCAAGCCTCCTTGCCCGTGCGGTGTCATAGAGGTCGAGGGAGGACCAGAAGAGGGGAGAGACGGTTTGGTAGAGGAGCCTGTTTGTCATGGAGAGATGGAGGAGGTCATCTTTTGAGGTGAGGCATCTGCCGACGGTTTCTGCGAGTTCGGGGATCGCAAAGAAGGTTGTTGCTGATGTTGGTTCGGGAGGTGGAAGTGTCGGTGTGGGTGTGTTCTTCTTGGATGCCTTTGTTGTTGGTGCCTTTGCACGTCGAGGGCGTTTTGGTGTTGCTGCTTCCATTGTTGATTATGTGCTTATGAATGTCGGAGAGAGAGGTGCGAAGTGTTCTTCCTTTGTGTATGTGAGTTTGCGGGAAAAAAGTGCTCCTTTGTTCCTTTGTGTCTAGGTTGACTGGAGCAGTCACAATCGCCAGCCAATGGCATGCAAGTTCAGAGTGGCGCAATTTGTGGAATGGCTTAAGAACACATGGCCTGCAGAACGTTGGGACAGTGTTTGATTGGCTGCCGATATAGACTTACAGGGGCCATGCATGTCGGACGCGAGGAACTCTCATCACCTGCAGCATCAATTCTATCAACAGAGCCACGCACTCCGCTGGCATCCCTACCTCGTATATATGTGGTGTGTTATGTGTGTGTCCTCTTCTACGCCTTGATCATTTTTGCATTCAAGTCGACCTGTTCACGTTAAGCTGTGGGAAAGCTATCACGTGCGCCGTATCTCTTCCTTTCGCACAGAATGCTGGGGATGCTTGAGAGTGGATCTGATCACCCGTCCTGGTGAACACGTTGCTAATGTAACTCAGATCGTTGAATCTACTCATGTTCATGTTTCGGATGCAAATTGACCAACCTTGATCACCTCAATCTTTCAAATCCTCTCAAAACTGCTGGTTCGAATTTTTTGTTCCGCCTTTAAAGGGTGCCTGCAACAATTAGATGTGAGGGGATAGAAGAGGTGCTCGGTGAAGTGACTGGGAGTTGGAGGGGTTTGTGCTGGAGGGTCTGGGTCTGGTCGTTAGATTTGTGGATCTTTGCTACCATGCAACTTATTAAAGCGTGGAATGAAGAGATGAAGATGTTGTAACTACGATCGGCGGTTCAAGTGTTGCAAGGGGATGACAGTACAATAAGATAGCTCGATTTGGTTTTTGCGATCTCGCGCGGTCAATCCATCGACTCGCCCAGTACACGAACCTTTCTCCTCCCTCCGTCCTTTCTTCTTCTTGCTCCTCTTTGCCCATCACTCCATTGTTCTTGTATATGACCGTGTGAACCGTTAGATACCCGCTTTGTCATAACGAAAAAAACGAAGGTTAGTGCCGTCCGGTAGAGAGAGTAAGGATAAGGTACATCAAAGAAACATCTTTTTTTCCACCTCGAGTTATCGGCATGGTGTGGTGTGGGCATAAGAAACGGCCTGGTGTTGTCTTTTTCGATTTTTCAGGACGTGCCTTTCTTTCTATTACCGCAATGGAAAACAAGGCTCATAGAAAAGCCGAGGATGAAAGAGGGCCATCGTTTTCAATGCCGAAAGGCGCCATTCGAACCTTCTTGCACCTTTTTATTTGTCGCTCTGAAAGATTTCTCGGAGGTACTTTGTATGAATCTTGAGGGGAAAACTAGCCGGGCTCCTCGCTTCCCAGAATGCCGGAGCGCCTTATCGCAGATAAGATACTCCCTTCCACGAAGAAAAAGGTATATATGCTCGCACTGACACTTTTCTCTTCGCCCCAAAGGAATAACTTCACCAGCCGGACTACATCCAGCTCTCTCCTTCTTTGCCATCCTTGGTTATCCATCACTTCCAGCGCACACACACGCATGACGCATAGACGCAGTATCGATCACCAACGAACAAAACACAAACACAAACAAATGAAATCAAAACACACACTTCCATTCCATAGCCTCCCAACCTTCTTTAGCACCTCAATAAACAGCATGAGGTACCATGGCGCCATCTTTTTCCCTCCTCGCTGGTGAATCCATGTCAAGTGCCCTTGCTGCCAATAGTATTTTACCAGACTTCCTCGTTCCTTTTTCTTTCTTTATGGTCTTCCATGCACGACGACATGAGAAAAAAAATAGACATTACCAATTTTTTTCGTACTATCCACACTCGCTTCCATTCAAAGAAATAACCTCTAAAACACCACCACACACAAACAAGCAAACAACTCCCCATATTACACGATTCCACCGTCACTACCAGCAAAGCAAGTATGCGAATGCGGATGTTGGTATTATTGACATGAATTACTTATTGATGCTTTCTTTCATAGGAAAAAAATGACCATCGTTTAAGAGCTTTATCAGCAGTAGCTATGAGAAGTTTTAGTGCTTTGGAAGTAGCAGCAGACAGTTGAAAATCATAGTTATAAGTCAATGAGCTTTGTCTTTAATGAAGCACCCGAGTAATTTTTTTGTGTCAAGAGCAACCATTTTGCGTACAATTCATTCTCTATCTCCAATCAGTCCTCCATCCTCTTCCTCGGACTAATCGTACGGACCCTCTTCCTTGGCGCGTGTGAACTTATCGAGCGATAACGGCCGTTTGGCAGTTTTGTTTGGTGTGTAGAAATACAATATACTCCCATTCCAGCGTTTCAGAATCGTTTTTAGGGGTAAATGAGATAGGATCTTCGTGTTCGCCCTTTTTCTGATACAGTATACAGTAATCAGGAAACCTTTAATGCAGATACTGCAGCATAACAATATGCAACGGTAGAAATGACTGACGCTTGTGTGTTTCTACCAAAATAAACTTTGGTCTCAACACACTCCTAGAACCTGCATCAGTTTGCTAGTAGGCTAAAAGTGAAGTAAAAGTATCAGATATTCTTAATGCTTCTTTTTTTATTAAGGATGAAAAGGTTAACAAGCATAGCGTTGACCCAAGACGCCATTAAAGGCGTGTCAGCGGGATCAAACCCGGCCTCCGAAGTGTACGGCGTTGTCTGAGAAATCGTGTTGGACGCGGGCGTTGACCTTTCCAACATCGCGCCAGTCAAGCTGACGCTTCAGCTCGCCAAAACCGTTAGCACCATTATCACGAAGGGTTGTGGCGAGACGTGTCCCTACGTCCCCCGTATTAAGATTATTGATTGGAAAATCACCGATCCTAAAAACAAGCCCATCGATGAAGCCCGCGAGATCAGAGACGAGATTGAGGCCAAGATTAAGGCGTTTATCGCAGAGAATAACAGCTAAGGTAAGAGCTGTCTTTAATATAATAAAACCTCATCGATTCTGTTATCGACGCTTCTCCGTTCAGGACAGTAATCTGCGGATTTTCAGTCTCTCTTCTCTCTCATTGTGCCTGTCGGTAAGATATTCGATATGGGGTCACAGAACGATGGTGAACTTGAACAGATCTACAACATCGACAATGCGCTGGAGTTAATCACTTGGATTCATGCGATCGTCGTCACCAAACTCCATCCAGGCCTTGGGAAGCGACGATTGGTTCTGGATCGTAAACATGCGCATCCTCCATCCCAAGATGCGGAGCATATTGACTGCATTGAAAATCTGATTGGGATGCCTCTGCCATACTTTGCAGTGCAGTTAATTCGAGGTTGGCTACCCAGTCATCAGCGGCATCATTTTTGAGGACTCGGGAGGGCTGGCAGGCACCATGTGAGATTGATTGAAAGATGAATTGCGCGATTGGGTGTGGAGGTGTGTGAGTGAACAGATGTGCGTGAGGAAACGGGTAAACGCTGATTACTGAGGCGGTCTAAGACTCTGAGGACCCTTTGGGAGGTGCTTGTGTTAAGCAAAGAAGCACAGGGAGCTCCGTAACATCACGTGAGTATCAAAAAGAAGCATTGATTGGCTCAATAATGACGAGTACCTTATGGGTTACGCACGATATATTTTTTTTGGAACCTTAAACCTAGATCTTTTAGGAGTACGTGAGGAGGAAATAGCAGATGACTGCATGTTCTTTTTTTTATATAAACTATCATTCAGCTCGCATCTCTCAACCTTCTTCCCAACTTCCGACCTTCCGTTTCCTACCCTCTCTCCTTCTTTCCCTCTCTCTTTTCATCCTTTCATCCATCCATCTTCCCCTCCTCCTTCCTTGCACTCGTCTTTTTCTCCATCCTTCCATCCATCCATCCATCTTTTCTTCCGTTACTGTTAAATAGCAGATACCTCAAAGTACGTTCTAATCAATGCGATGACCAGACTTGAACGTTTTCTCCGAACAGCAGTGCATATGCTAACCGCTTTAATGTTTCCCCTCTAGATATGTGGGGTCTTTCGCTCATCGATACACTGCTGCCGCTGTGGATCATCATTTGCATGGTTGGAGGAGTCTTGATCGGCTACTATGTGCCTAATGTCGAAACAGTGCTGGACGCTGCCAAGTTTGCAGATGTGTCGCTCCCCATCGCTATCGGCCTGCTCGTAATGATGTACCCGGTCTTTTGTCGCATCAAGTATGAGGAGCTGGGAGAGCTTTTCAAGGGAAGGTTTATGAGAAACCAACTCTTTTTTTCCTTAGCCATCAACTGGATCGTAGCTCCACTCCTCATGGTCGCCCTGGCATGGATGACACTGCCGGACCTACCAGACTACAGGAGCGGAGTTATCCTTGTCGGTATTGCCCGGTGTATCGCCATGGTCCTCATTTGGAATCAGCTTGCAGAGGGAAACCAGGAGTTTTGCGCAGTTACGGTGGCTGTTAACTCTCTTATGCAGATCATCCTGTACGGTCCGCTAGCTTACTTCTATGTCGTCATCGTCGGGAAAGGAACTGCATTCCATATCGACATGTGGGTCATTTTCAGGAGCGTCCTCATTTACATGGGAATCCCGCTGTTGGCTGGCTTTCTGACTCGTTGGATCTTCCGTCGATACGAGTGGTACCACAAGACGTTTGTCCCTGCAGTGGGAAAACTTTCGCTGCTGGCATTACTCTATGTCATCGTTGTCATGTTTGCTCTCCAAGGCCACGAGATTGTCGACGACATTGGCAATGTTCTCCGAACAGCTGTTCCGTTGATCCTCTATTTCCTAGTCGTGTTCATTGGGGTCCTGCTTTGGTGCATGGCGACGAAGGTTCCCTACGACATTGCCGTGCCACAGTGCTTCACCGCCGCCTCCAACAATTTCGAGCTTGCCATCGCTGTCGCTGTAGGCACCTATGGCGTCAAATCCAAGGAAGCTTTGGCTGCGACGATTGGCCCTTTGATCGAGGTCCCTATGCTCCTATTGTTGGTGTATGTGATCAAGTTCGTCCGCACTCGTTGGTACCCCTCGCAGCCGTCTGTTCAATCTGAACCCGAAAAGAACGACGATCTTGAGGTCTAACGAGGCTGACAGGATTAGCAATTGTAGTCAACTGTTATATTAATAATACATTTTAATATATTCTGATGTGTAAGCGCAATATGATGGGAAAATAGCGATGGCTTCTAATCAAAGCTCCCTCGCGCCCCATTCTTTTCATTTACTGCCTCCCCATACGCTCATCTCTTTGTTACCACTCTCACACATTCATCGCTTTTGTCGCCACTCCCATACCCTTCCCACTGTTGCCACCACTTCCACGCGCTTCTCGTCACCACATGCTCTTTTGCCACAACTCTTACGGCGCTGCCATTACTTGCCTTTGCCGTCACCCCCAATTGTTTTCTTTGCCATCACTCTCACGCACATGAAAAATCCTCGAGTAGTCAGCTCTGGCATAGCCTTGGATGGTTGTACATTCAGATCGGAGCACTGACGAAGCTGGGGGAGTTTTACCTGAAGGCAGCAGGCCAGTTGAACAATGTCCCCAATATCCCACACACCGACACGTGTCTCTCCGCCCTACTAGCCCTGGACAACCCTGCCAACAACAAAATCGGTTACCTATCGACACTTTTTAGACTAACAAAGCTGCGCTAGCTCCATGGACGGACAAACCCCAAGGCCAAGGCACGGATCGGTGGAGAGGAGGTAGACTGGTTTGTGGAGAACTTACCAAGTCTGGAACAGGCCATGTTTATACATAAGCATGATCGTGTTGATGGGGAGGATTCGCTTCCGGGTGTTCTTTAGAATCTGAGGAGGAAGCGACCAAGGTTGAGGCTAGTGCATTATGATCCTTCGATGGACTATAACCAGGGTAAGAAGGGATGGGATTGATGGTAGTATAACCGTTTGTGAGACGCTGCGGAGCACATTAATGAACACCATTCATTTTTTATTTCTTCTTAGCATTGACCTGTTTACCTTTCTTTCTGATAGCTAGGCAATTTTAATAATTGTGGAATGCGAATGTCAGGTCGCACTTGTGGAAGCCAAGCAATATACGGCGGCTAGGTGTCAATCTCACCGGCCGGAAGAACGCTAGGAGTTCTCAAAGATGGCAGGGGCTCAATGACTCTCAAATAAGGCCAAAGATCCAACATCAATTCCAGTTCTTTCCGCCCAACTGTCCAACTTGTCTCTGTCGTCGTCGCCTGCTCATGTCCACGCAGCTCTCTCAGTTTTATAAACCCGCGCAACTAAGTCAAGTAGCTTAGTATTCCTGTAGCCTCATCGCCCAAGGACAAAAGCCCGGGAAGGAGGCATCCATGGCGCTAGTGTCGAGTTCATCCAAGTCGCCTCTGCGGGTATTAGGATCGTCATCTTTCAAAGTCCAACCTCCGCCAATAACACCATCATCGTCGTCGTCGCTTCTGCCGTTATCCTGCGGGGTCCGCGTAATGGTTCTGGTGCCGACTGCGATCCTCTCCTGACCGCGCTCATTTAACCACTGCGACTCTTTGGACTTGATCCCTAGATTCAAGACCTCCATCTCTGATAGGGCTCGAAGTCGGCGGTAGAACTCCTTGAGCATCGTCCATGTAGATTCGTGAACAACAGACATCTCGCTCAGACAAATCGCCGGTTCGCTCACTTGGCGCATGTTGACAGTGATCTCCGAATTCCTGAGCCTCAGACAGACCAACTTCTTCTCCTCCAAGTCTTTCAGTCAGATCGACGGCCGCACAGGTCTCTTGGCAACGAAATGCTTCAACCCGACACAGATAGAACGGACTGGATAACTGCTTCACGGACATGTAAGGTGTATTTCTCCATTCGGATCTTTTGGATACTGTTGAACTGATGGTACCGAGTCCTAGCCAGGACCACCTTTTGCTGCAAGTCCACCTCTCGATCGCGGACGGCATGAACAGTATGCTCAGGGACCACTGCAACGACCTCCAGCGTGGTCGGACCGCAAGAGTGTAGTTCTCGAAGACGCGGGTAGTGGTTGGCGATAGTCCGTGTAATAGCCATCGAGGTTAAACGGAAATCCAGGTGATCTCAAGAAGGAGGAACGAACGTCTCCAAAGTAGGACAATCCTCCAGGATGAAAATCAATAGCTGTGTATGCTCCCATCGGCCGAACTCGACCTGCAACTTCTTTAGATGACTCAATGGGCTTGGTCGTCTGTTCTGCGGCGGCTCCATGTTGACTGCTGCCATCTCCGTATCGTTCCATTGTCCCCCTTCTGTTACCCATACGTGAAAGGACACTGTCTCAACCGACGGAGGGAGGTTGTAAAGTAAGTTGAGAATGGCCACTGCCCAACTGGCGGCGGGCATTCAAAAATGCAAATCCAGCTCTTTGTAGGATGGAGTGGCTGGTAAAGCGGCTCGTGTCGGTGGACGATTGGAGATTGCTGCTAACTGTATGAATGCGGATAAGGGAAGGGTCGCGTCTGAGGGGAGAAGCCACCATTTGCAGAGTGGCGGAGTATATGTAGTGGATGGGTCGATAATAATGTTGCTGCTGTTTGTGGTCTCCGTCCTGGTCCTGGTTCTGGTCCTGGTCCTGGTTGGCTTTGTACCCTAACTTGACAAGTCCCCGCATCATGAGTCCCGGTCCTCTTGATACTGGTGATAATGTAGAAGAGTGCATCTGCTGCGATCTGGAGTTCTCGGATATTACGACCATGCTCCACAAAGAGACGGTAACCCCTTGATCGTAGGGGTCATTTTGTTTGTGTTCTGTCATGAAGGTCGAGGCAGGCCCACAATAAAGGTGTGATGATGTTGTGGAGAGTCGGTTAGTCATGGGGAAATGAATCTGCTGCTGGAGGTTGTGAGGGCTCTCGCGATGTGTTCTGCCAATTCGAGGATTGAGAAGACGGTTGTTGATTCAGACATCTTGTCGGAGGTAGAGGTGTTGTTGAGTGTTGGTGTTGGTGATGTGTGTTCTGTCGGGGGGCGAGTTGTTGATTTCATTGTTGATGAACGCGTCGGGAAGTAGGTTAAGCCTTGTGGAATGCCTTTGTCTTTTGGGCAAGGAAATAGCAGTCACCTTGTTCATCTTTGTGACACTGACCTTGACGGCTTGAACCTTCCCCTCGCGTGTCAAATAAAAAGAAAGGCGGGAGGGAGATACTCAGGAGACATCACTCTCCTCTCTTCCCCTCATTCACATTCACTTTGCATTCCAACAACAACAACAACAACAACAACAACAACAAGACCACTCATGACCATGACCACTTCACCGACTGACACATTCTTCGCCCTCCCAGAACTAATCTCCATCCTCGCCCCATTCCTTCCCCCCCAATCCCTCATCCACCTCTCACAAACATCTCGCACCCTCCACACAATCTGTGTCCCCCTCCTTTGGGCATCCCTCGACCTCAAGAATCCCCTCCTCCTCACCAACTTCCTTCGTTCCCCAGAAGCCCAGCAAGCATTCGGCAATAATATCGATTCTATCCACGCCATTAAATGGAATCCAGATTTCTCTTGGCACTATTTAAACGCCCTTTGGGCCTACCTCAACACAATCGACTCGTCCAAAGTCCGCAAGGAGGTCTCGGCCGCTGCGCTAACACACCAGAAGGATGGAATTATGCAGTACCCACCGCGCTTCTCTCTTGTCCCATTAACGACACTGGAACCACCCGCCGCGCTCTTCCCACCACTACCTCCACTCCTGCGACTCACTCGCCTCGAGGCCCATATATGCTTCTATGCAAAGGACAACACCATCACCCCATGCATAGGATACAACCACGATGAACATTTACACCAGGTGCTTTGGCTCGTCCGTCTTAACAGGGATACATTGAGATATCTGGAGTTGACAGAGCTGACGCTGACCAACAAGGGCGTTATCCGCGATGTCGCACGGACACTGTCGCAGTTGCACCGGCTTGAGACTTTGAGGTTGACGACGCATTCGAGTACGATCTTTTCCCGGCAGATGTTTGAGACCTTCTTCTTTTCTTGCCCGGCGTCCTTGGTCAGGTGTCATATCGCGAACGCCCTTCATAAGGCGTGGATGCCTGCGGATTACCTTGATCCTGTCAGGGGCCAGGATTGGGACTATGATCAAGGACCCTTGGTACTCCGCGCTACACCACTTCTTCATCTCAGACATCTTCGTGTACCCCCTATGCCCCGTCAAGACCTGACCTCCGTTTTGACGTCTCTCATGCAGCATTGCCCTTACCTCGAGGACCTCCACCTCCCTTTCCTAAACAACATCGCTGACGGTCTCAACCCCGTCATCGAATCCATCGCCCAACACTGTCCCCAGCTCTCTTCCCTAACCTTCCGGTCCGGCTGTCATGGCGAGCGCCTCATGCTGATCCTGGAACTCCTCCCTCCTCAGGGTCTAAAAACCCTCTTCTGTCGACACTACTACGACTTGGCTTCTGCACGCTTGATTGCAGCATTCTCGCGGCATTCGGCAAGTCTCTGCCAGATCGAGTTGACACACTGTGCAGGTCTTGGGAGTATAGTCATCCAATCCGTGCTGACTTCTTGCAGGGTCCTGGAAGTCTTTCGAGTGCACGGACTGAAGGCACATATCAGAACCTCCTTGCAATTCCACCATGCCATCGAACACGACTGGGTCTGTAAGGATCTGCGGGAGTTAACCCTCCCTGTTTATATCACCCCGCACGGACGCGATCCCCAATACTTGTATATCTACAACAACCACCACCCGAGTAAGGCGCTCTGGACAGAGCATGATCTCAGACACTGGGAGGAGCTTGGACGATTCTACGCCCAGATTGGATCATTGACACGACTTGAGGTCCTGAATCTGAAGGCTATTGGGGCCTACGTGGAATTCACCGACTTTCTCTCGCCTTTTGAGACCTGTCTTCCTGGCCTCCTGGCTCTCGAAGATCCCTCTAGCGCCACCGACGGGCAGATCGGGCATCTGTCAAAACTCGCGGGGCTGACCAAACTGAGAGAGCTGCGGGGTTCATTCGTGTGGACGAACAAGGAGGCGGCGGTAAGGATTGGTGAGCGAGAAGTCGACTGGTTCGCTACACATCTACCGGCGCTCAGGATAGCGACTTTTGTTGCCCGAGTGGACGAGGAGGAAGACAAGATTTCCTCATTCACAAGATCAGAATCAGATTATCGTCGTATTGAAGGGTTGTGCCAACTCTTGGAGAGTAGGAGACCTGAGCTCAAGATCCGGTTCGAGGGGGCAGTTGCAGAAGTGATTGTGAGCCAAGAGGGTTGGGACTGATATGGTCTGGAAAAGAATGTTGCGGAGCAAATAAAGGACTGGAATATGCACCTTTCTTTGCACAGTAGCTTTGTGAGTGCGCTTGTTTGTGTTCTTGGCTCTTCTTTTTGGCTTGCAAATGAGCAGTCGCTTTTACTTGTAGAAGAGCCGGCCACCGCAGCCACTACTTAAGAAGCCTTGATTCCTTTTCATTCTTCTTTTCTTTTCCGCTCTTACTCCTTCTCCTTCTTTCCTCTTTTCCCCTTCCCCCCTCCCCTCCTCTCAACCTCATTTGCAACCATCAGAAAGAAATGAATGACATCATCAACAAGCGACACATTCATCAACCTCACAGCCGACAAGCTCCCTACAGTCGCGGCGAGCATACCCACCAGGTCGTCTGGAATATCCGGCAGAGCAACCCATTTGAACCTGAAACACATAGATCTCTCGGCCCCTCAAGTCGTACGTGATTTATTCAGGACGATCTCACAGCTCCACCGGCTCGCCTCTGTGCGCCTTTCTGCGAGAACAAGGTGACGACGTTTGTTCGCAAGGCTTCTGGTGATTTGTTGCGGCGTTCGCCTATCCCAGAGTTGTATCGGACTTCACAGAGGGGCGCGTCTTGGTTGAGGGTTTGTTATGATGAGCCTAGTGCCGAATTTTTCAAGGATTAAGGAATAAGGCATGAGTTTCAACGGCCACTTTTTCTTTCTTTTCATGTCTCAGCGTCGGTATGTTTTTGTTCTGAAGAATTATAATCAATTGTCAAGATGTGCGTATTTCATTTTCCCAAGCCAGTTTGTCCAACTTTTGGGCGGAGTTAGTAAAAGAAAGATCTTTCGCTTGGAGACGATCTACTCTCTTCCTTTCCTCTCTTGATGGAATGGATGAGAATGAAAAGAAAACAAGCAGACAACAAGACCAACAATGTCGGCACCAATATCCTGCACACAACACACTTGAAAGAATCACGAAAGAGTAAGAAAAAAAATGTGATACGAAGGCGAACAATGAGGAACATCATCGCTCGTTTCCCTACGCCTACACACAACAGGGGCATTGAGGAAAATGGATGGTTTGCAGTGAAAATGATAAAGGGGAGACAAGAAGAACTTTTACTAAAAAAATTGTCTTTTTGATAGTGGTTAAACTCATTCTTCGTCCTCCTCGTCCTCACCCTCTTCGTCATTGTCGCTATCGTGAGAATCGTTCAAACTCAAGCTATAAAAGTATTCCAAAATAGTGGAGTGAATGAACCGGTATTGATTTCCCGAACGCACCAGCAGACTCGCCTCACGGAGCAATGTCGTTTCAACATCAATACCGAAAAATTTCACCTTCCATGACGCCTTGTCTTGACGATGAGAGTACTCGACAACCGGGCGTCCATCTTGATACAGAAAGATTGCTCTGGCCAAATGCTTTTGAAAATCAATCACCATCGAGGTGAATCCTTCGTCGAGTAAAGCATCTAACGCCACGATCGTCACCTCCGATAACGGAATAGCCGCCAGTCGCACTTTGCTACGCTCCACCCATTCCGTTACGACGAAATTATACACCTCGAGTCGACCAATCACAACTCCGGCGGAACCTTTCAAGGGATCAATGAGATCAATGAGTCCAGGTAGCGCTCTCAAGCCTAGCGACAGTAGCAGTGGATTGGACATTAGGCCCATCAACCCGGGAATCTTGTACAAATTTTCCATGTAGGTCTCAACTTCCCAGGCTGAATGAATGAGAGTCGGCGACTGAGGTGGCATCTTTGAAACGAACTGCTTGACGTACAGCTGGATGTCGAGTTTGGAGAACTGAGTCAGGGCGGCTTCTTGAAAGAGGTCGCCGGTTGGTGGGCTGTATCGGTCAATTGGCTGCGGCTGAAAACGCTCTCGGTATGTCCGATTGAGATAGCCACTACTACAAGTGATAAACATCTTGACTTTACAATGACCGGGGAGATTGAAGTGGTTTGTACAGTGTAGGTTGGTTAAAAGGCGGCTCTCGTCATATCCGTCGCAGATGAGAATGAACTGCCGATCCTGCATGACTTCCTGAATGATGTACTCCGAAAAGTAAAGTGCTGCAAGGTGTTTGGGTATGAGGTTCTGGTCTGGTTTATCGATCATAGGCAAGTCGATGAAAAGAGGGATAGGGCCGCCTGGTTTGTATGACTGCAAGAGTGTGTGCTCCAAATATCGGCTGAACGTCGTTTTTCCTGCTCCTGAGTCGCCGAGCAGCAAAAACACCTCCCGATCGCTCTGTAGGAAACCCTTGACGTTATCCATCAAAGGAAACGTGTCGTCATCGGACTTTTCGAAATTGTTCTTGGCACGAGGGGGGACGTAGACTTTATGGCCAGAGCTATCATGGTGAAGCAAACGAGACTTGATGAACTGTTGAATGTCTTGTTCAGCAAAGCCGCGAAAGTACTCCAACAGAGAGCGGTGAATGAATCGATACAAGACACCGGCGCGCGTCAGTGGACTGGCATCTCGGAGAAGCTTGGTCTCTGGATCAGGTCCAAAGAACTTGACCTTCCACGTCTCTTTGTCGTTCTTGTGCACGTATTGAACAATGTGGTTTCCGCCTTGCTCCCGATAAATCGATTCGGCAAGATCCTTCAAGAACTGAATAGCGGACGGGACAAATCCTGCTTCCAGTAGCTCCTCCAGCGTTTCTCTTTCCTTCGGCGTCAATTGGATAAATCGTAACCGTCGCTTGTTGGATTCCAGCCATTGGTTGATAAAAGTCTCGTACAGCTTCTCTCGAGTCACTCCATCCTGATTCATGAGATGGTTTTCACGGACAACGGTTGGCAACGCCCTCAGAGATAAAGCCAGCATGAATGGGTTCTTGACCAGTTCCAGCAGGTTCGGGGTCGTCCTCAGCCTGTCCAGATACTCCTTCGCGCTCCAGACGGGTCGACCGTCAAACAGTTCATGTACCTCTTTTTCTTGCACAAACTGTTCGACGTAGACATTGATCTGGTCGCTTGAGAAGGGGACAATGACGGCTTCCTGGAGGAGATGGGGGGATGGCGGACTGTGTGCGGTTATTGGCTGCGGTTGGAATCGGTCTCGGTAGTCGTGACTGAGGTAAGTACTCCTGCAACTGATAATCATCTTTGTTTTCCATTGTCCTGTCCGGTTGAATGAATTTGTCGAGTGCAAGTTTATTGCGAGCTGGCTTTCATCGTAGCTATCGCAAATGACGGTGAACTGTCGGTTCTCTTTGAGGTACTGAATGTCGTCCTTGAGAAAGTTGTTGGTCTGGAGGTGTTCCGAGATGAGCCCCTTCTGTGGCTTCTCGATGGCTGGTAGGTTGATGAACAGCGGTATAGAGTCACCCTGCTTGTATGCCTTCAAGAGTACATGCTCCAAGTATCTGTTGAATGTCGATTTTCCAGCTCCTGAATCGCCCAGAACCAAAAACACCTGGCGGTCGCTCGCCAGGAACTCCATGACACTGTCCATCAGCGGACACGTTACGGAATCTGATGCCTCGTAATCGTCCTTGGCGTGAGGAGGAATATAAACAGGTTGGTGATACTCCTCGAGCCGCTGGAGTCTCAGCCGATGAATGTCGTACTCCTCGGAAGGGATCTTGAGGGCCTTGGCCAGAAGCGGGGATGTTGCTGGTAAGGACAAGCGGGACATCAGAGGGTACGACCTAGGGAGATCATTGACGACATCAGACGACAAACCCGCCAGCAACTCCGCAGCATGCGCCTTGACGGATTGTTCCGCTCGCTCGGAAATGTGGCGAATGATCGCCAAGATCACCTTTTCAACTCCAACATCTGGACTCCAACCTGCGCCATTCCTGTAAAAGTTGCTCAGGACATCGATAGCATCTTGGCGGATCTCGACAGACCAGATCGGATCCATGACAATCTCTCCAAGTAGCTGACAAACACCCTCCTGGAACGCACGCTGCTTACGACAAGGTGCCTCATAGACCACACGCTGGAAATCAGCCAGCCGTCCTTCTCGAATGAATACGCGAGCTCCTTGGAGAGCTGGGTACCATGCCCTCTTAGCTCCAGACCGGAAACCTTTCAACATACTGTCCATCAATCCTTCACCGCCAGATCGCAAAGCCTGCGCACCCTCGACCGCAGTCTTGGCGACATCAATCGCTTGTTCAGCAGCCTGGAACAATTGTTGAAGGCCGTTGAAGAGGTTCTCGGGGTCAAACTTGAAGACGCTGGCGACTCCTAAGGCACCCTTGGCCACCTCGTTACCAAAACGCAAGACCGCGTGCAAAGGAGATTCGTCGTCGCCAATGTATTGGAGGGCCTGCCAGGCGTAAGCAGCCTGGAACATGAGGTAGGGATCAGAGCTGTCCTTCAACTCGGCCAAAATGTCCAAAAGAGGCTGATGGTCCTCAGTGCGGTGGAGACCCTTGACGTTGCCCTCCATCATAGTGTCGAGTACCCGCGAGACAGTGGTGGTCAGGATGTAAATGTGATCCGACGCTGCCTGCTCCTGGTCGCCGAGTGCCTTGTAGGTGTCCTTGAGGCGCTGACGGAGTACACGCAAGATCCTTACAAGGTCATCGTCAATGAGGTAGCCAGGCGGTGCTTCCTGCAGGAGTTGGACGAGTCCCTGAAGAAGATTAGAAGAGAGCAGGTTTTCTCGCTCCACTTGATCGATAAGCGAGGAGAAGACACTGCGATAGTCATTACGGTCAAGAACTGCACCCAGAACAACGATCTCGGCGACGGCTGCTGCATCTTTGTGATGAGGCTTGAGAAACTGGGAGACCACTTGACCAGTCAACCAACGAACACGACCTTGCTCGATAGAGTCCTTCGCGACAGCTTTGATCCATGCCTCTTCGGCCATATCAAAGATCGTCTCCAGAACATCGTCTCCAGCAGTAATGAGAAGGCCTGATACGGGCGGAGAGGGTAGCGACTTCTTTGGCAGAAGCTGGTGAGCAAACGCAAGCTGATGTGTTGAGTGAAAGCGACCTCCCAGATTTGGCAGATCACTGCGGAAGATTGGTTTGGCGACGTTTTGGAGGGTAGTTGCCCGATGGGGTTGTTGGGTGGCAGGCAGTATGGAAGCGGCCTCAGTGTGGACAATTCGTGTAGCGCCGCTCGAGCTGGTGACAGTAATTGTCGAGGAGCTGGTCGAATGGGCGGGTATTTCCTGAATAGCAAGGTGAGCAGCGGCATCGGCTACTGAAGTTACCGAAACGTCGTCCCTAGAATTGAGATGTCCATCAATCAGTCCTTGGTTGTGCTGTGGATCCTCGATGCCGGGCTCATCCTTTGCAAAGCGGCCCAGGCGATTTAAGATCTTGGTTTGATCGACATGAAAAGCGGCGACCGCATTGGTGACAGAGTAATCCTCCTTGGTAGAAGGACGAAAGGCCTTCCTGGCAGCGGTCTTGATGTTGGAGAAGACTGATTTACCGCGAGGGGTCATCTCTCCACCAGACGGAGGAGTGTTCTTAGGAGAGTTGTTCATGTTAGGATGCTAAGATGGAAATATAAGCAATCGACGGAAGGGTCAGCGCATATTCCTAAATAGAGAGCATTGAACAAACGGCAAGCTCCCCCATTTACCTAGCTTGCGGTTGTTGTTAGTTGGTGCTCTGCAGATGAACAAGGGGAATGGAGATGGCTTGTGCGTAGGAGGCGTTGTCTGCACTCAGAGAGAAGGTGTTGGTTAGCAACAAACCAACAGCCGGCATATCCTTGTTCTGTAGCGCTTTGGCATCACGACAAACACATTTGCGTACCTGGAGGTCGTTTTGATTGCTTCGTAGGAATACGCTTTGTTTCGCCTGTTCTGTGGGCCTTTACTACTTCTAGAAAGGAGGAGAGATGCTTGCTATTGATAGTTAGAAAGTGCTGTTGTAGGTGTCTACGACGATAAGTAAAGACATTACGAAGGCAATCAAGGACGTACGTAGGCGAAATAGGTAGAGCTCTTTGTAGGTGTGGTATGTCTTTTTTTTTTTTTGGTTGTTGTTTTATTATTGCTCCCTGCAAGACCATAGGAGAAGCCGAAGGGAATGGGGAAAAAGATGAACAAGAGAGGAGACAAACGAGTGATTGTGTTGTCAGGTCGGGTGGATGCGAATGTACTGAAGATGATGATGATCCCGGAAAGCGGATGTGTGAGTGAATGAGTGAGTAAGCGGAAGAGTGAACAAAGAAAAGACAAGAAAGAGACCGACCACCTTGTTTAAAGTTCGAACACTCGCTTTCGATAAAAAAGTGTTGACGTCGACAGTTTACCTTTGCGCCCTGCTCCCCCACCCTCGCAACGGTCACACAGCCAAAAAAAATCGGTTGACAACGCCTTGCCTTCTGTGAATAAAAAGAGGCGGTCTGGGCATTATGTGCACATAGGAAGGGTCAATAGGTCACCGTCTAAGGGAAGGGGCTATGCTTTTCCTTCCAGGACACAGCCACGAGGTTGAGGACATGCCCAAACAGCGGAGTAGATTTCTCAATGTGTGACCGCACAGGCCAGAAGTGATTTCAGGAACGAACGAGATCCAGGGGAACTGATCATCGATCAATCAGCACCCAATCATCAACAATGAAACCTTCCATCAAACCGGTATGCAGCAAACCATGGACCTTTATTATCTTCTCCTCCCTCTCATTCAAACAACCCCAACCCCAATCGAGGCTACCGTCTCTTTCTTGGCCCTTTCACCAGCGTACAGACTAGGCTGGTACGCTGGCTTCATGGTCAGTTCTGTCAGATCCAGGGGCAAAAAATAAATCTGCGGTCGGTTACTGAGCATCCGCTCCTCGAATTTCGAGAATATCCATCCTGGTAGGTTCTTCATCACGAACCGCGTTATCCTCGCCTTTGCGCCCTATTTCATTCACCACCATTGAAGAGAAAAAGTCATGGTGCGATAAGTAGTTGTCTGGCAATAACCAAGTTGAAGAAAATGAGAGTGGGTAAAGGTACCTTGTCGACCATGTTCCTGAAGGTTTGACTGGTCTCGAAGGCAGACTGAACCCATTCGATGCGTTCTTCCTGGTAGGCCTTGAATGCACCTTCAATCTCGTCCGCGATTGGGTGGTCGGGAAGGGCGTGGATGTAGTTTGCAAGGACGATTGCGTCGTGGATCGCGTTTGTTGCTCCCGCTCCTCCCGATGGGTTCAACTATTAGTTGAAGTGGGTAAAAGTAAACCTAAGGTTAGAGTTTGGGAGGAAGCTGGGGGGAAGCGACACATGGGTGCGATTAACAATGAGGTGCGAAATGTTACCTTGTGGCATGCCAGGTGAAGAGAATAGGGCAAGAAGAGGAAGAAAATGTTGCATTAGAATGACATTCCCCAAACAAATTAAAGAAAAGAAGGTCGGAAAGATGCACAGATGAGGACGTACCATCGCCGATGAGGACGGCACGACAATCATGCCAAGTCTTGAAGACCTTCTCCTCCAACATAACCTTGGACATGTACTCCTTGGGCGCCACATCAAACAGATTCCCCAACGTCAGCTTCTTCTCACCAACACCACCACCGCTGATGATTGGGAAATGGCGCACCTCGTCACACATTGCCTGAGCAGCTTCCGAGCCCCACTCCGAGTTCCTAAATGCATCATTATCCCTGCTCGTTTCCGACGTCAAGAACTGGATCACTACAAAACAGACCGTGTTCTCCTTTGTCGTCAGTGTCATCCAAGCATAGGGCGTGTCTCTGGACAAGGTGTTATAGAATTGACATTTGACCTTCTCCAGATCCGGGAACTCATTCGGCGTTAGCGGTCGTGTCTGTCCAACGAGACACACATTCATGAAGGGTAATGGCAATGCATCAGATGCTGGGAGTCGATTGGCCTTCTTGAGTTGGATGTAAAGGTTCTGGCGGACGGCGCTGTAGGCCCCATCAGCTCCTACGAGGATATCGCCTTCAAATTCGGACCCATCTGCGCATCGGACGAGAACTCCATTTCCTCCTTGGTGAGTGGACAACACCTTTTTAGACATGTGAATTCGCTCCCGAGGTACTTGGCGCCAGAGGAGGTCGTACAGTTTCGGGCGTGTAATTAACCGACTTCCCGACCCATATCTAGCCCACATGAGGAGATAGGAGAAGGGTGAGACATTTGTCGAAGAAAACATGAACATGCAAGGCGCAAGGAGACCAAAAAGCCCAAGTTGGGGTGTTACCTCTTGGTAGGGTCCTCGTTGTCGGCGATGACAAACTCGATGCCTCGGTCCTCATTACTGATGTTGAGGGTATCCAATGCCTTGCTTATGGAGACGAGTTCATCGTATATGCCGCATTGCTTGAACGCAGGTGTTACCGTACAATTGATAGCGATTCCCGAGCCTGTTTTTGTCGATGAAGAAAAGCAAATGGGAAAACGATTAGGATTCCACGTCGCGATGACTTTTTCTGTGCAAATGAGATCATGTATGAGGTGGAAATGTGTGGGCCGTTACCGAGGGGCTTGACCTCGGAGGCACGTTCAATGATCTCAAAGGGGATATTGGTCTTTTGGAGGATCATGCCAAGGGTGAGACCACCAAGACCGGCGCCGACAATGAGGACCTTGGGGCGTTTTGCGTGCATGACGGTGCGGTCATGCTTGAATGTGACCACTGGGTTGATCTCCATTGCAGATGGAGGAAGGATGAAGGAATGAGAAAGGGGAGATGAGGAGTAAGCGATGAGAAAAAAAGGAAAAATAACGGGAGAAGAAACGGAACAAGAAGGAACGAAGAACTAAAAGAAAGAGAGAGAGGAGGGGCTCTGCCAATCCCATCCTGCGTAGTGCTGTGTCCCATTGAAAAAAAAAATCAAGGTTCTTGCCCGCACCCATTGATTTTTTTTGTGCGTTTTTTTTGTGCAACCATGGCAGTGTGTGATACTGGTGGTGAAGAGGTACATTTTTTCTGAGTTTGGGCCGAAAGGAACGTCGCGAAGTATGATTTTTAATTGCAATTGGAGGTACTGTACCTGCAAACGCGAGGTAAAGATACCTACCTTCCGTAGGCCAATTGGAGCGCGGGAAAAAGGCGCCCAGAAATCCATAATGCCAACAACATTATCCTTCGGGCCAAGACCACATGTGTGTTACTGCGCGTTTCAAGTAAAATAATTAATTCGGACAGCTAAATAGTCCATAGTAGTAAAAACTCATCGTTATCGCGTTTTATCCCTGTCGTTTTCTTTTTTGGCATACGTTCCTGAATGCAACAAGAAAAATGATATCAATCATAGGTCTCATTGAGTGAGTATCTCCTTTGTAACGCAAAGAGTGGGTCGATTTTTCCTGTAACTACAAAACATGTGACGCAGCTGTCGACATATTCAACCGAGGCCAACGCAGCACCATCCACTCCACCTCTCTCTGTCCAAACGTCACACTCGTCTCCGTAGTTGTCACTTGCACATGCCCTCTCAACCATACCAGATACCTCAGGTAACCTGACTTGTTTGTCTTCGCACTCCTAGAAAGAGTAAACCGGTGAAAGAGGCATTCGCAGTGGTCGTGGACAATTTCTCGAGATCTGCACATGTCCACATCCTGGAATCGTTGTCCACGCTCCAGTTGTCACCATCTTCGTCTTCCTCCTGCCCTCCTTCTACATCATAGTCTTCGCTACTATTATGCTCTGTCATACGTCCATGTTCATCCAACCACTCCATCTCCTTGGACATGATCCTTAGAACCAACAACACGATGGCCGTCAACGCTCCAAGCCTGCAATGAAACTTCTTGAGAATTTCCCATGCGGTTTTGTCCACGATTGGCATACACTCTATCGCGTACGCAGGCTGTCAAACTCGTCTCGTGTCGATCGTGATCTCCAATATTTTGAGCCTCGTACATGCCCACTCTTCCTCCACTAAATGCCTCAGTCGAGTCGATGGACCGTGGGGCCTTTTTATGAAGTGCTCGAGGGAAGAGCACGCGAACGGAAGAGCTTGAACGACGGATCTCCTTACACGGCTGCAGTGCTCCAGGCGGACTTCCCGAAGACTGTCGAGGTGGTTGGTTGATTCCCAAGCTCGGACCGTTCCCGTCTGTGCATTATATTTCTGATCACAGAGTTGTTGCAGACGGTGCTTGGGGAGGATGCGAAAGATGCTGAGCGTGTTTTGACCGCAATTCTCGAAGGCTCGAAGGTGCGGGCAATGGGTAACGACTGCTCGAGCAATCGCTACCGAAATCAAAAAAAGTCCTCCTGGTTCAACGAGGGAGAAATGAAGAATTCCAGGGTAGGACAATGATCCAGTAATGAGCACAGCAGCCGTGTGTCCCCACAACGACCAATTCGATCCGCAACCACCTCAGTCGATCTAGAGGGACTTGCCGCTCGTACAAGAATCCTGTTGTGAATTGCCCCGTTGCATGCATGCCTTAAATTTCCGGTTGTTGAAGCAGTGGGGTAGCATCCGGTGATATGTCGTGAGCGTCGAGTTTAAAATTCTCGAAGGATGTTGGAAGGCGGCATAATAACGCTTGAACACTCTCCTCTCACCGCACAGAGCAACTCCGAAATGTGAGGTCGAGGTCTGTAAGGCACTTGAGAATGGAAATAGCCTGCACAAGCGTGAGATCTTCGACCGATGATTGTATGTATCCCGTCAGACGAAAACATGTCAACGGGGTATTGTGTTGAGCATCTAGATCAGTTGTGGGAATCCAAAGATATCGGGGTAAGCATCTTGAGTAGTACAACATGGGTCGGGGATCAGCTCGGCCTTGTATTCCAAGATGAACGAGAACGAGTCGTCTTTGGGAGGCTGACCTTCCATGAGCGAGACTGTAGCGCCATAGGGACCCGGTGAGGTGACGAACAGGTTGCGTGATGTTTCTGAGGTTAATTCTGAAGTGGCTGTCTTCGTTAGCGCGGAAAAAGAAGACGTCGACTCTGGGTCGTGGGGGCGAGCCATGCTGTTGACCATTTACAGAGGACACGAGTTGAGACCTTGAGGTGGTCAGTGTAGAGAATGTTCCTGCTCAATGCTCGATGAACATCTGGTGGCTGAAAACTGATCACTGCTCATGCATCGTCAAAGAGGTCCAGGGTGGTCCAGAACAAAGGGATGACAGTTTGGTGGCAGGCGGTTGGTCATGGAGAGATGCAGTTGTCGTCGGGGAATCGATCGATGATGTCCAAGGGTTATTAGATCGCGAACTCATCATGGCTACTCTACGCATTGTGACGAGTGCAGGTAGTGGTGATTGTGTTGCTGCCGTCAGCTTTGTTGGTTGTTGCTGCCAGGTCTGAAGCTGTTGACAGTGTATGTGTGTTGTTGTGTTGTTGGCCCTTTGCAAAAGCGAGAGAGGGAGAAAAACAGAGGGAACAAGAAAGACAAGGGCCGTGCCACATCTTTTGTTTCTTAGGACTCTGGTAGGGTTGTTAACATTGGCAATCTTTTCCTTTACACATCAGTGCGAGAAAGCGACGCAAGGCTAGCATGATACGTGATGTAAAGTGGATCTTCAGATGGAGATCTTGCTAATGTAACTGGGATCGTTAAATCTGCTCATGGTCATGGTCAGATGTGAATTGATCAAACATAATCACCTCAATCTTCTGGATCCTTGCAACGAAAGGTTCGAAAGGACACGTCCGCCAGGGCGTATGTTGAACTACCCTTAACCCAAGCGCCTGAAGGAAAGAAAGAAAAAGAACAAATCTATAGAAAAGTGGGCTTAATCCTTAATCTCGGATCGTAGCAACAATCCCCCGAAAGTCGTTATCTCTTCCAATATTGGAAATTAACAATAGTTAGAACCTCATAAAGCCTTTCCACTCTTCAAGATCAACCCTTGGAAGTATGATCTTGGACCAGAGGGTCTATTCATATTCGACTAAAAATCAGGTAAGGGCGGTAGTCGTCGTGTTCTAGCACGGGTTCTGACTTGGAGGTATCCAGCCATAACCAACGATGATAGCTTAGGGCCATTGCCTGCTCAGGCAGACCCAAACACCAATTAGCTTTGCAACGATTGAACCACCTTCACATCTAACCACCTCTACACCCAACCACCTGGCCCCCAACCACACCGCCGTCACCATGTAACTTGGCATATATAAACATCATCACTACTTCTCCTCGATTCTTTCTTTTGTTTGCTTGTGTTCCCCTTTGACTGTTGAAGGTGAAGCGAGCAAACATGACAAAGGATGTAAAAAGATGTGAAAGAAGGAGTAAGGGCGTTCAAAATAGATGGAGAAGGTTAAAAGCGAGCAAGATAGGGGAGTAAAACTGATAAGACAGAGGGCAAAGATACCAGGGACAGAGGCAAACAAGATAGAGGGAAACGGATATCAGCAGCGTAGGCAAACAAAGTAAAGAGCGTTGAGCACATAACTTTCTATTACTCCTATATTATTTGTCGCACGCCCTCTTTTTCATATAATTCGTGTTGCGCCCTTTCCATTGTTTTGTTTACAACCTCTCATCATTTTTATTGGGTCAAGACGCGAAGCAACATGCATTAAAATGGATCTACAAAGGCAACTAAGGCAAGGCAACTACATGTGTAAACATAATGACGCGTCCTTTTTCAGGCGGTTCAATGGTGGTAAAAGTGTTGGATGTTTGTTGAAGAAAGTGTCAGTGATGAAAATCCGTGACAATGCCAAAATTGTGCAGCAGCGGTTATGTTTTGTTATTCCTGTTATTGAGGTCGCAGTCATCGCTAGTGATGCTTCTGTTATCATAGTTTTGCTTTTGTTATCATTGTCGTTGCTGTCGTCGCTGTTTCCTATGCTGACGGTGATGTTGCTGCTGTCCTTGTTCACTGCTATTGATATCGAGGTTGTTGTCCTTATCCAAGGAGTTATCAATCGCCCGTTTCCTTTTCTTGTTGTTTACAATATTGTCTGGGTCAAACATGTTCACAGGTAAAGCGTTATCAAGCTGTCGGAAATGAGTTGACGTTACGCATAATATCGAATGAGACGTCTTTTGCTATTACGGCGCAGCGAACTACACCCTGTTCTCTTGATCTCGTCCCTGAATAAACAGACCCCGCTCTTTGATTCGTTATTTCTACTTCCACAATCATAACAATACCTTCATTACTATTGCACCCCCGTTAATATTTTTCAGCATCCACAAAAAGGCAGTTGTTTTTACGCAACGTGGGGTGGCGATAACGTAAGGAGATGGCATGCAGAAACGAGGCAAAGGTGTAGGGATGGTCAAAAGTAAGCTGACAAAACATTGTATGGGTATATCCTCCTGTCTTTTGTGCCCCTTGCTCTCTGCCTTGTTGTTACTCCCAGTTTATTTTTGTTTATACATGCCATAATGTCTCTTTCGATAATTCGTATTTATTTACGATATCTCTTTTATTACCGCTTTCTTTTTTTGTTTCCTGTGTCTTGTGTACTCACGATTTGGTATGTGCGCCCCTCTATCTTGTTTCCTCATTTTTTTTGCTTTACCCTCTTTGCATATTTTTTTTCCGCTCTGCATACACGTCCAGGTAGTTGTGGGAAGATTTTTAGATTGACACCATATGTATCTGTCAGCAATTTTTACATGCTATTGTTGTGGCTCCCAATTTTGCATGATTATTGCTCACTGCAGTTTTGTTGACACAGAAAAAATATGCATGCAGAACAAGATCAGATCAAACCACAAGAGAAATGCGGTCAAAGAAAATGGCCAAAGAAGAGAAAGAAAAGAAAACTAAGGCGGTGCAACGGCAGGTGCTGTTGTCCTTTGTAGGAATTCTCATGGTAAGTTGGGAGTATGCTTTTTTTGGAGGAAAAAAAACTGCATGAAAAACAGAATGTTCAATGCAGCACAGTGGACAGGGCTCTGACGCTCAATGCCCTTATGATCAGGGTCCTGGAGCTCAGGGTCCTTGAAGCCCAGGTTGTTTGGGAGCAGCGAAGAAGTATATAAAGCCCTGTCAGAAACTGTCCCTTGCTGTCTATCACACAACTCAGCTTCTCCACCACACAACTCACCCACTCCACCACACAAGTCACCAACTCCTCATCATCCAAGACCAGTTCATCAAGTAATCACTCAAGTATGGCTTATCGAAAACATGTCTTTGCGCACGGCACTGTCTTCCCCGCAGAACACGATGGTGTCTGGTCGTTTGCCGATATTGATGGCAAGGGCACCCAGGACCTTGTCTATATCAAGACCCGAAACACCGGCACCGGCTATATCGAGATCCATGCGTCCGACTATGAATCCCGTTTCCAGAAATACGCCATGACCACTACCACTGTATTCGACATCGATGATAACGGCACCTATCTGATGCAGGATTGGACCGGCGATGGCAAGGCCGACTTGGTCTACATCAAGACCCGAAACACCGATTCTGGCACCGTCGAAGTGCACGTTGCCGATGCCGCTTCCGGGTACAAGGAATTTGCCTTCCAAGCCGGCACCTGCTTCGACTGCGAGGAAAATGGCGTCTGGACTATGTCTAGCAACGGCGACCTTGTCTATGTCAAGACCCAGAACTCTGGTTCCAACATGATCCAATGTCATGTTGCCACCAAGGCATCGAACTATCAAGACCTCACCCAGCATGCCATCCCCGGCCTTGATAGCGATGACAACGGCACCTGGTGTATTGCTCCGACCTGCGGCGACGATATTGCCGACCTCTACTATATCAACCCCAAGAACACCTGGAATGGGAAGGTCGATGTTCATGTGGCCTCCGTAGGCCGCGGATGGAAGAACCATGTGATCGAGTTTCCCTCCTCTTTCGCCCCAGAGAAGAATGGACGATGGCTCATGGTGAACTTCACTCACCAGGAGCAACCTGACCTGGCCTACATCAAAACGACGAACACTGTCTCTGGCAAGATCGAGGTGCACATCATTTCGCCCCAAGAAGTCGTACCCCTTGCATACACTCTCTCGTCGCTGAAAGTGAGACTCGACTCCGACGCCCCCAATGTCCTACGAGCCGATTTGCAACGGAACGACGACTCGTGGCGCGATGCTTTGATCGATCTCGACATGTTCCTCGGCAATATCGATGGTTGTTTTACCTGGGGAACGAAATTTTTCCATAAATCGGCCCGCCACATCTCACTCAACGGATCCCTACTGACTGCTGAGCTTCATACGAGGGTTGGCAGCTGGGTGCCGGCCAGCTTCGATCTTAAAGACAACCTCGTGAATGACGACGGCGTTTTCCGAGCAATCGACGTCCCTGTTTTCCTGTCGGCTCCGGCTGACCATCGTGATGCCATGCTTAGTCAGCTGAGTAAAGCTATGGATAACCCGAACTTTCAGATTCGACAGGTCGTCTTTGCACCGTCGGATGAAGCGACCTCAGACTCGGCCCGCTTTAGGACTCAAGTTGTAATGTATCCTAGTGGAACAGCGATGGGCCCTCCCCCCGTGATCCATGAGAATGCCGCGCACGATCCGGATGGTGTAACAACTTTCTACGCCAACGCGGGCATCAATAGCAGTGACACTGTCTTGTGGACTTGTACGGCCGAAGCCAAAGCCTCGATCTTCCATACGGCCCAGTTAAAAGGCAAGAAGATCCAGCAGGTCCGTCTCGACGTGTTGGGTGCCGATGCAAGCGCGACTGTCGGAACCTATCTGGGCGTTGATGCGAATGTCAGTCTTATGAAAGCACAGGCAAGCATCTTTGACGCGCAAATCGGGCTTGGCGTTGACACGGGTGTAGGTATCAAGGACGACTCCGTGCAGATGGAGGTGGGAGGCTGCGGCGTCACGTTGGGGCGCAAGGTGGCAGTAAGTGTCTTCGGTACTAGCTTCGGCGTGGACTTTGGTCGGCTTTTTGGTTAGCCTACTATACTCGCTGCAGTTCTTGTGGCTTTCACGTAGAATTGCCTAATTTTTTCGAGTAATTTTTATTGCGTTTTTCACACAAACAATTTGACTTGCTGGTGTCGTGTCTTCACTTTGTGTGCCCACTCCTCAGAGACAAAGACCCTTCCGCGATTGCCGTAGCTTTGGCCGTTGTAGTTAATGGATGTGTTGAAATGACGATAGGCGTAGTAATAAGGGAGGGGATGGTCTTTTGTCACAATATAACTTGTTCTTGTCGCGTCGTTCTCTAGATCTAAAAATGGTATATTTTTCTACGTTGCCAGCTACTCTACCATTCGAGCTCCTTTCCTCCACATGACCCGGTGGCGCACGATGACGGTGGCTGCACGAGCTCAATGCTGCTGGTCTGCCATCTAAACTGGTCAAACGCCTCTTGCGCATGGATCATAACCTTGTCCGTTGCCAAGATATCATCAAGGGCCCTTGTAGGCGGAAGCAGCAAAAATACTTGACCCTCTTCGTCAACCTTCACCTCGAATGTCTGGATCTGGTACTTGTCCTCGTCACCGGGTGTAAGGCACTTGCCATCTTGAAGCCCAAAGTTTTTCTTATGCATAGGACAAGACACGTATGGCTGTGACTTGCTGACCTCAGACTCGGAAACACTGTCGCCCAACAGACCCAGAGAAAGAACCAAGGCGCGCTTGTGTGGACACATGTTTTGGGTTGCATACCACGATCCGTTCGGCAAACGGAATACTGCAATCTGAACATCGCCATGCTTGACAGTACGACCAGCATCCACTGCAAAGTCGTCGGTCTTGCCAACGCATATCCATTTCTTGAGGGCTTGAGCATCGAATGGATCCAGAGTGGGCGAGACGGGTGATGGAGGCAGCTGCACCCCTTCCTTGGGCCAGTCCGCTGGTCGGCGCTGTCCACGCTCAGAAATGAACTCGATGCCATCCTGAGTGTCATCCGTGTTAACAAACTGTCGGAACTGCTGCCGGCGCTCTGGATCATCAACAACGACCTTCCATTCACACTGATAGGTCGCAATCAGATACGCCATCTGCTCCTCGAGTTCGTCGCAAATCCCAAGGTAGTCCTCCAGAACAACCTTCTTCAAGAATTCGATTCCTCCCTCCAGCTTCTCCAGCCACTTTGAGGTCCGTGTCAACTTGTCGGCGGTCGCAATGTAAAACATCAGGAATCGGTCCAGGTACTTGATGCAGTTGGCCTCCGAGACATCGGTAACCAGCAACACAGCATGCTTAGGCTGTGCTCCACCATTGCCACATACAAAAAGATTGTAGCCCTTCTCAGTAGCGATCTATTCGTGCCATGTCCCAGAGTTCATCGTCAGTTGGTATGAATTGGCACCCGTATGTAGACAAACATTCATTTTACCTCTGACTCAAAACCAAACAATGATGTACTTACAATACCAAAGTCCTTTCCTCGAGCCTCGGCGCATTCTCGGACACATCCAGAGACGCCTCCCTTGAGTTTATGGGGTGATCGAAGACCCTTGTAGCGGTTCTCGATAGCGATGGCAAACCCGACAGAGTCTTGAAGCCCATAACGGCACCAGGTCGACCCGACACAACTCTTGACAGTACGGAGCGACTTGCCGTAGGCGTGACCAGACTCCATTCCTGCCTTGATTAACCGCTCCCATATCGACGGCAGATCCTCTCGCTTGGCTCCAAAGAGATCGATTCTCTGTCCACCCGTAATCTTGGTGTAAAGCCCATACTCCTTGGCAACTAGGGCAATGGCAATGAGCTTGTCTGGAGTAATCTCTCCACCAGGGACACGGGGAACTACCGAATATGTTCCTCCTCGTTGGATGTTGGCCAGGAAGCGATCGTTTGTGTCTTGAAGAGGCGCATGGTCCAGCACGTGGTCGTTGAACAAGGATGCCACAATGGATGCAACAGCGGGTTTGCAGACTTCACATCCCATAGCACGGCTGCTTTTTCCTGCGTGTTCCATCACCTGGGCAAAAGTCTTGAGTTTCTTGACCTTGACAACTTGGTACAGCTCCGTCCGGGAATACTCAAAATGCGAGCACAGGTTCTGCTTGATCACTTTGCCCATCGCCTTGAGTTCGGACTCAAAGATTTCTCCGACTTGAGGAACGCATCCACCGCATCCTAGACCGGCCTTGGTGCACGTCTTGACTTCCCCGATCGATGAGCATCCCTTGGAGCGAACCGCAGTTTTGATCTGGCCTTTGGTGACGTTGTTGCATGAGCAGATCTGCGTATCGTCTGGCAGATCCGTGGCGCCTTGGCCTTGACCAGGCTTGAGACCCAAAATGAGTTCGCTTGGGGGGATCTGGAGAGACTTTTTCGACTTGGACATGCCCAGCAGCTTGCCGTAATCGGATGTGTCGCCGACCATCATGCCTCCTAAAAGATGCTTGCCGTCCTTGGTGAAGACGTACTTCTTGTATACAGCGCCGAATGGATCCCGGTAAAGGAGTTCTTGAGTCTCCCTTGAACTGGCGAAATAATCTCCAAAGGACGCGACGTGGACGCCCAACAATTTCAACTTTGTCGACATGTCTGCTGAGGTAAACACGCGAGGCTGGTGAGCTTTTCCGACGCCCTTGGAATAGATGTCACGAGTCAGGTTCCGTGCAACGACTTCGGCCATGTCGTATCCTGGTGCCACAAGACCGTAGGTCTGATCCCGATGGCAAGCAACCTCTCCAATGGCATAAACGTCCTGCATATTGGTCTCCAGGAAATCGTTGACCAACACTCCTCCGCGGGAATGGCACTCGATGCCAGAATCGCGCGCGATCTTGTCTCCTGGAAGAATTCCGATTGCAAAGACCACCATATCATGCTCGACAACCGACCCATCCTGCAGCTTGGCCTTTGATACATGTAAGGATTCTCCTCCATCCGTCGAGTCTGACATGAATGCGACAGGAGGATTGCCCAAGCTGTGTTCGATCCCAAGTTTCTCAATCTCGCGGAGAACCATGGCTGCACCCTCACCGTCAAGCTGACGCGACAAGACTTGACTGTTTCGCTCATAGATGGTTGTCTTGAGACCGAGATCCGAAGTTGCCTTGGCAGCTTCCAACCCCAGCAGGCCTCCTCCAACCACAGCAGCATGCTTGGCGGTCTTGGATCGTTCGATGATCAGATCCAGGTCATCAATGGTGCGGTATACGTAGACACCAGGGAGATCCAATCCAGGGACGACCGATGGAAGCAAGGCGGTTGATCCAGTGGCAATGATGCAAATGTCGTATGGCGTGGTTGTCACAGCTGCGGTGGGGGTGTTGATATCCTGGGTCGAGACTGACTGGATGATTTTCAAGTCAGGGTTGATTTTTGTTGCTGTTTGGTGCATCAAGAGGGAGATGTTGTTCTCTTTGTACCACTGCCTGGGCTTCATGAGCTGCTGGTCGACACTCCTGTGTGAGAAATACTGAGTTAAACCCACTCGGTTGTAGGCGACTATTGATAGTCATTTGAACACAAGATAAAGGTTAACACCAGCCATTTTCCTTGAGATGCGCTCTCACTCCCTTGGAGCCTTCGAACCTTCGAACACTCTTTAATAGCATGCCATATTATTGCTTACCAAGTGGCTCCTGGCATATTGCGGTGATTGTATATTTTTTAGCAGTGTCGTATTCGAGGATCTTTTCAATAAATGAAAGTCCGACCATGCCGAGACCAACAATGACGATGGAGGAAGACCCGGTATTCTTCTGGTTAGCTTCTGGTGCCATGACTGAGAGTATCTGAAAGTGATATGAAAAGAAGGGGAAGAGAGGCGGGGAGAGAGGCGGGAGAGAGGCGGGAGAGAGGCGGGAGAGAGGCGGGGGAGAGAGGAATATGTATATATGTGTGTGTGTGCGTGTATGTATGTGTAACAGCTGGAGGAATGGTTTGGACACTGGAGAAATGGCTTAGAGACTGTGGAATGGTTTAGAGATCGAAGAAAAAAATGAAGTGATGGCTGTCACTGATCGATATTCGACATATTTATATGAGCTTTTGTTTCTTCTATTGACTCATCATGCACATCATGCTCATTGTTTTTGTTCGGAGTAACCTTACTTTTTTTATTTTTTTATTTTTTTTCAACGTAAAGATGGTCGTCGTTCGGAGCAACCTTAACATGACGGTGGTTGGCAGATCCTGAGGGGCAATCTTGCCACATGTTTATTTATGCGCGGGGACAATTTCAGTTTGAGGGAGCAGATAGAGAATTAAAGTTTGACATACCTTCCACCCAGTGGCTTGGGTGACAAGACTGGTCACATGTTTAAATTGTTGAGGAGAGGTTGAGTTGGGACTCGGGAGGGATAAGCAAGAATTCTTGAAAGAGAGGGAAGAGAGGGAAGAGGTATTGTATTGTATGCTACGATGGCTGTATCTCTTTTATAAACATCTTCAAAGGACCTTAATCTCGATTCTCGCCCCCTTCGTTCAACCCGAGGCATGATGAGATGAAAATTCATTTTGGATGAGATGCCACCCCCCAAAAAGGTTTACTTACTACCGGACGTTTTCAGCCCGGGGCTTAGCACATGCCAGCTGAAAGAACATACGGTGCAAGCCTCGGTGTCGAGTAGATAGGGCATGTCGCGAGGGAAGGAGAGGGAGGGTTAGAACGTTGCAGATAAGGAAGGCACCCTAATTTCATCTTCACATTCGGAAGAATAATTAAAGTGACTGCTTCACGCGTTCGACCCCTCGGAGAATGCTGTGCATGTGTGCACGGATAGTAGACTCGTGGATAGTAGACTCGTGGATAGTAGGCGCGTGGATAGCAGGCTCGTGGATATTAGGCCTACGGACAATAGATCTATGGACAATAACCTCGGAGATTATAGGCTAGTGGATATTTAAGCTCGTGCTGATTAGAGCCCCTTTTTCTACTTGAGTCAGCTCAAAGCCTTAGCGAATCGACCATCAGTTGGCTATGTATGTCGCAAAGTAATAATGTAGATCTACAGGGACTAACTGAAAGGAAAATGTCGTCTTACTGGGACTGCCACAACTGATCATTGAACTGTGGAGAGCGGTTGAGCCATACTATTTGCGCAGGGTCCTGCAAACAAAAAAACAGAACAAAACAGAACAGAACAAAACAGAACAAAAAAACAGAACAAAAAAACAGAACAAAAAAAACAACAAAAAAAAAACAACAAAAAAAAAAAAAAAGAGCAACGTTGTGAAAGACAATAAAGATGCTGCAACCAAGAGAACAAACAAGAAAAAGAACAAGGGGAATAGGTGTTTCAGGTGGAATCAAGTCACGATCTCGCAGTCGTTAACCCTGGTAATTATTGACTACCTACTCAGAAAAGGATGTTTTCAAAAGAGAGGTAACGACTTCCCCGGAAAATACAATATAACGGTGTCCGTGGTCCGAGCATCGCACATGCAGTGTCAATATCTACTTTTATTCATACTTATTAATCCTTATCAGAAGCAGAATACATTGTTATCTACAAACTCCTTCCCGTAGAGCTCCGTCAGAGCAGGGAGACAGGAGAGGTTGATCATGGGGGAAGGGCCACAAAGCAGTACAATTCTACTTGATAGATCGTCGGTCGAGCCTGGAGCGCCCCACTGCCTTCCGAACAAGTGCTCCTCGATCATCTCCTTGTTGATGTGGCCCGTGCCATACTTCCAGCCTTCGGGTTGCTTTCCCGACAGCACATGCCAAAGTTGGAAGCGGTCGGGTCCAAGTCCATTGCCAGCGGCCTCAATCTCCTTGCGCATCAAGATATCCTCCTCTGTTCGGTTGCCAAAGATCAGCGACACCTTGGTTGCATCTTGCATCTTGTCGGCAAGGATGGCTTGTATGACCTGGTACATAGGAGTAAGACCCGACCCACCGCAGATCATGCCAATCTGTAGACATTGGCCCTTCCTTCCAGAGGAGTGCGAGTATCGACCTTGGCCGTTATATGTGAAGCTTCCGACAGGACCCTTGATCGCAATGCTGTCGCCGATCGCCATAGCACCGAGATACTGCGAAACAACACCACCGGCTGGGAATCGAGGATTGGTATCCTTGAAATAAATCTTGACCACTAGATCGAAGTGGCCTTGTCGATCCGGCAGACTGGTTGGAGTGTAGGCTCGGACATTTAGAGAATCGTTGGTCTTGATCCTCAGAAGCACGTGCTTACCCAAAGGAAGACCAAGAAGCTGATCCGGATGTCCAAACGCGAAGCGGAAGAGCATGGTGTCGTGGGTCAAATGGATCTTTTCCACCAACGCTATGTCTTGCCATTTCTTCGGATCCAAAAACGTCCGAGTGGTAGCACTTGGGGACGGAAGACCGCTTGACATCGGTGTGGCACTTGGGGACGGATCACGGCTTGACAGCGGTGTGGGTAGCCCAGTCGGAACAGACTTGGCTTGGATACCTCCTTCTCTTGGCTCTGGAATGCTTGCAACAAGTTCCCCACAGTAATACTTGGCGAGCTGCTCTCTGGCTTTGACCGAGTGGATCGCGTCGAAATCCTCAGTACAGTCCTCTCCAGCGTTCATGGTGATGCTGTCAGCGCCTCCTGGATGCTCTTTCAGGAACTTTGTGCAATCGTAGACCTTGCCATCATGAATGATCCAACAATCGTCCTCCGTTGAGTGCTTGGAAACCATCTCGGCCGTGTAACATTCGACCCCAGAAGGTACAGTGCCGATTTTGCTGGCGGCAGGTGTGTTGTTGGCGGCTTCGGGTATCCCATTCTCCACCGTCTCGCGCTTGGCAGTTGCTGTAGTCAGAATAGGGGCGGGTTTCGTCGTGTGCACGATTTTGTCCTTGTCCACTCCTTCTCCTTTGGGCCTCATCCAGCCTCCGCCGCTTTCCGATCCTGGCACTGTAGGGTGGTTGAACATAAGGACCAGTCCACCGTCATCCTCCCCAGAAACGGTCAAATCGACCTGCACGCGGTACCAGCAGTTGTTCATCATCCCCATCAGATTCCAGTTCAGATCCTTTGGCTGGGTGTTCATGGTGCTGTCCCAGGCTCGGACTTGGATATCCTTGCAGTTGAGTAGCTGGCGCACAGGGACCTTGATCGACCAAAAGCACCAGCACCAGTATCTTTGCCTCGGGAACGGGTCGTCGCAAAACTGGTACTCTGGCCATTCCTCAGGATGTTCAAGATCAGACACCAGCCAAGACTTTCCAGAGTCAATGGTCACCTCCACCCGAGTGATTTTCTTGCATCCGCCGTTGTAGGCATAGCCGCTGATGGTGATGTCGTTGGCCAAGGTTTGAGGATCCGAGATCGGCAAGGCTGATCCATGGGCTGGTGAGCAAATAGCACTGTTGATGTTGAGGTCGTTGATGGTGTATTCGGGTCGGGTCCACCATTGTTCCCGCTTCGCCATGTCGGCATCGCTGACAATCGACGGCAAGACTCGGTTATCATGGTAGTGGTACCAGCTATCGGATCGAGCCTCCGAGACGGTAATCTTGGAGAGGTACTTGACCATTCGACCACCAATGACGCCTGGGACGATTAACCGGACGGGGAAGCCATGGTCTGACGTAAGACGAGCCCCATTCATCTCGTATGCAATCAGCACGTCGTTCATCGGATTCAGCGCCCTCTCCACAGAAAGACTTGTGCCGTAGGTGCCGTTGGGGAGTTTGTCCGACCCGTCAAAGCAGACAAATCTTGCGCCCTTCCGAAATCCCTTGCAAACGTTGAGCAATAGGTCCCTGACAAGTACGCCTTTCCATATAGCTGTTGACACGGCTCCAGGGCCCCAGTTGAATCCAATCGTTTGCCTGAACATATTTTGCTCCTTCCGTCGGTTTCCAGCACAGACGAGGGTGACGGGTATAGTTATGCTTGGTAGTTGTGCGAGCATATCCATCGTCAGAGTCACCTCTGTATTTACAAGCCTTAACAAAAAAAAAAAAAAAAGGATCAAAAAAAAAGAGGTCAGATTTGTGACGACTGTGGGCTTGCACAGATATTAACAAGGATCTTGACAGGCCCGTACTACTTACCCTTCAATGGACAAGCGGTGACTATCCCAGGAGAGCTGAGGGACCGCGCCATGGTTCCGGACATAGTGTATTGAACTTGGGGTGATGAACCCTTTGCTTAGAAGGAGTGGTACTGGTGGTTCACAGTTAAATGGATGCTTTCCTATGTAAGAGGAAAATCGAGGTTTAGCCCATGGTCAGCGTTCAGAACATCCATAGACGATGGATCAAAAGTGTTTCTCTGTAGAATGGGTAGGAGGTGGTGACCGGTACCTGTGAGCCGGATAAGTTCTGGATGTCTCTTTATCCATCTGTCTGGGGTGTTGGCATCGCGAGGATCAAGTTGTATTTTTGAGTTGTCCTCGTCTTTGTGATCGACGTTTTCCTTGAGCATTTTGGTGGCGTAAAGTTGTGGGTGTGCTCTTTTGTGGTTGGAGTGTGCAGCAGCAAGAGACAAAGTCAAGGGAAGCAGGAAAAAGCGGGGATAAGGGTTGATTATTTTCTTTGTTGTTATGTAACAGCTATATAAATACAAGGGGAGAACTAAGTTTTAGTGTCAGAAGGTGATAGGAATGGTGGGGAGTGATTTTGACCCGTTGTAGAGATACAGATAACCTAATCTGTTGCAGACCCAAAGAAAGAAATTATACGCGTGCCACATGTGTTTCAGAGGGTGATTCAGGGTCAGTTCTTGAAAATCTCCTATCTGACAACCTACGCATGCACGTGATCCACGTGTGTACGTACACAAGTTTCTTTACACGTTGTTGGCTGTCAACGATGGTCCGTATCGGACAGAGACCTGATCCGGACGCGTCCTACGATGTAAACGGCGTGAATTACTCTCTTTGCCATCTGAAAGCAACGAGAGAATCATAGCGGCCAAGTGGGCAGAGCCATTCCCTTCTTTGAGTCATTGTCACACGCAGGAAAGATGGCTCTAGACTGAAGCGTTAGAATAGCGTTTGTTTACTATCTTCTAGCGCTCGATGGTCCCCCCCACACACTTTCAAGACTTGCATAAATATTTCCCGAACATTCTAAATGCCTTTTCAAAATCATCACAAAAAAAACACAACCTCGTCTCTTACATATCCTACACGCAACATGACGCTGGCAACTAAGATCTTCCCAAAACATATCCTAGTGGATGAAGATGGAAAGGCGACCAACATAAAACTCTTCTCGTTCGCTCGGCCGCATATGAGAGCAATGCACCTCTCATGGATGTCCTTCTTCATCGCCTTCATAGGATGGTTCGCCATCCCTCCACTGATGCCTACCATCAAAGCTGATCTGAAACTCACTCCCAGCCAGATTTCAGACGCCAATCTGACCAGTGTCAGCGCTACTATTCTGGCCCGACTAACGATCGTAAGACATGGAGCCAAGTCTTGCAAGGGTAAAGGAAAATTGAAAATGGAAAACGATTTTGCGATTCATGAATCTAATCGAAAGCATCTTCCTACTGCCTCTAGGGACCAATGTGTGATCGCTATGGGCCAAGGAAAGCCATGGCGGGATTACTCCTTATTGGAGCTATTACCATTGGATTGGCTGGACTCGCTTCGGACGCCAACGGGTTGATCATCACCAGGTTCTTTATTGGCATTATCGGCGCCACCTTTGTGCCATGCCAATACTGGGCCTCTCGGATGTTTTCGTACGACATTGTCGGAACAGCCAATGCGCTCTGCGGTGGATTCGGCAACATGGGAGCAGGAGTATCCTACTTCCTGATTCCATTGATTTACAACGCCATTAACCTCGTCTTACCTCCGCACCAAGCGTGGCGAGTCACTTTTGTCGTTCCAGCCTGTCTCTGCATTCTTATGGCCGTAGCAGATTATTTCTTGGGTGATGATTGTCCAGGCGACGAATGGAAGAACCGCGACTCAAGCCCAGAGCGCCATGATGCCGATGTCGAAAAGCACGGACTGCCACGGACTGCCTCCGACTGTGATTCCATGGAGATCGGCGACTCGGACGATGAAAAGCCCACCGGCCAGAAGGAGACATCAACCAAGGCCGTCATAGTTCCCGGCCTTGTCGGGCAACCATCCGTCGTGGTCGACTTGCTGTCACAGCTCAAGAACCCAGCTGTGCTGATCCTGATGATCCAGTATGGATGTTCCTTCGGAGTGGAGTTGGCCGTCGACAACATGATCGGAGAATTCTTCCACACGCATTTCAATCTCTCACAAACAACCTCCGGCATGCTGGGATCCATCTTTGGACTGATGAATTTCTTCTCTCGCGCGACCGGAGGCATGTTGGCTGATTATGTCAACACATTGATCGGCGAGGGCAACCAGGGTCGCATGCTTGTCCACTTCATCGCCTTTTTCTTGCAGGGAGCCTTTCTCATTGGATTCTCCTTTGCGCTTGGAACATTGAGCTCCTCCATCGTCGTCTTGATCCTGTTCAGCTACTGTGTCCAAGCCGGATGTGGCACTACATTCTGTAAGTTACTATAGCACAATCTGTTGCGTCTGTTGGTCTTGTTTATCGTTCGACCTCTATCGGGTGTATATTAATTTACACTGACATTTTGTATTTTTTTTTTTTTTTTTTTAGCCATTGTCCCATTTGCCAATCCGAAGAGCATGGGCACTGTCTATGGCCTCGTTGGTGCCGGCGGAAGCGTTGGCTCCATTGTGTTCAATTACGTCTTCAAGGTATACGGCACCAACTACGCTGGTGCCTTCCGTGTTATCGGCTATGCAGCGCTTACAGCAGCAATGTGCACCTTGCTGCTAAAGATTCAAGCTCGAATGCTTCTCGGTCTACTTTTCAAGAAATTGAACCCATAGAATTGTAGTGTCACTTATTTATTTAATACAAACGTGGGACTCTATGTTGCAAGGCGGGAAGGCCTTGTGGCGTTCCACCTAATGGTAATTTCCAAATATCGAAATGGGGTATCGCAATCGTGTGAGTAGCTCTGTCTCTACCAGACGATCAGGTTCAAGTTTTTCTCCTCGCATCTTTATCCTCCTCTCGCTTGTGACAGTGATCTTAATGGCAGGATGCGACAAGGTCAAAAAACCAGCAAGCGCAAATTTACAACCACCACACCATTAGCCCTGCGGACGACATCGCTACCTACTATAAATAAGTGTGCGAGTTAGATAGGTAAACTGGGACAGGAGAACCGACATATGTGGTACAGGTGCATGATTAAAATTGGTGCGGGTTCAAATGCAAGCACATTGTGGTACAGGAACAAAGTGTAGGTGTATATTATAGGTGTATGGTCAGGGCGCCGTAGTAAGCGTCTAATGCTCTAATGCACCTCCAACGCACACATAGCCCACCATCTATACTTTTGCCACTGTCATTGCCCCTTTCTCTCGTCCCTTAAGTACCCCTCACCCTCCCTGTTATTTCCCCATCCTTGACCCTTTACTTTCCAATCGTGCACTCTATCTTATACTCCATGACCATCAACACTTCATTTCTCTCCAAACCACCGCACGAGGGCTACAACCACTTGGCTACCTGGAAAATGCATCTCACGACGTCTGACCTCCTCCACCTCAAACTCCCCACATCGTTCAACAAACTCAAACCCAAACATAATACTCTCAATCAACCACTTGTGCCCGCTCGGGAACACTGCCAACGTGCCACGTTTAGCCGCAGGTTGTCAGGTTTAGGTTTTGACCGAACGTGTCTTGCATTTTGATTCGGTCACGTGACATCCGCCACCAACTTGATTCTTGCAACCAGTCCGGCTGAAGCCCGTGCTCAGCTGCCAGAGAAGAAGCGCCAGAACGAGAAACGCCAACCCCCTCCCCCGATCGAACCACCCCCGACCGACACTAAGAATCCTACCTAACATTTTTAGTCTATTTTCTCTGTATTTTATTTGCCCTGCCATTTTCCGGTTCTCTGTTTATCTGTTTTTCCTAGTTTAGATGTAGTTTGTGTGCTTTCTTGGAAAGTATTTTATTTTTACATCTTTTGATTTGGCGGTTACTCGAAGTTGACGAGTATTGGTTTTCTGCAAAACAAAACAAAAAGCGACCAGTCCGGCTGGATTGAGTTCCGTTAACAACCATCTTTGCCTTTTTGCCTCATCATCCATTTGTCTCTGTCATTCGTTTTGCCATTTGTCGTTTGCCTGCTCCCATTCCGGTTCCGTTCTAGGGCCCGTCTTGGCCCCTTTCTGTTTAACCGGTTCCTGGCAACATAAATAGACCCCTGCTCACCCTGTCTTGTTCTTCAAACTACAACAACTCATTTCCATCTGTACTCTGCCTTTCTTCTGCACATTATTCTTCCTCACCCTTTCCTCTCTCTTCATAATAAAACATAACAATACACATTCTTACGAGTCCTGTCTGATCACTGCCCAGCGGTATGGACACCGTCGTCCACTATCCCTTGACAATGCCATTCGTTACGGCAACCTATCTCCAGCCTTTACCCTGGCGTCCTTCAAGTTCCTCAAAGGCGTCTACGATGTTTTACATGAGCATCAAGAGCAGTTCCAAGACTTCCTCGATTGGGTGTCCACTGTCCTCCACAAGCATCACCCAGATTTAGCTGCCCACCTTCAGCACGAGCTCGACCACAACATTGGAGAATGCCTCACCACCATATTCCCATCGACCGATATGACCATCCCGGCAACATCCTGTTTCACCAAGGAGCGTTGGCTAGATCAAGCCTCCATGGATGCATGTCTCGATGCATTCTACGGTTTATTCAGCACCAATGCCAACATTTTCATCTTCACTATCTATATCAGCACTTTGGTCAGCAGCGACAACGACAGCTCCGGATGGCCTGCCTTTCATAATTGCATCTTTGACGTCTAGTCCTTTACTGACATCATCGGTGCTCTCCCTATGAGGGTCGAGGAACGTAAAAGCAGTAAGGGCTGCAGTTACCACAAACGCGGCGGCTGCAAGAAGAACGAGCACCGCTGCGAGTGCGACGACCACTGCGTCTGCAATCAACGTGACGGATGTGAGCATTCTGATCCCTGCGACTGCCTGCTGGTTTAATTACATCAGTAATGAGGAGCGAGGTGAGTTCATTACGAATAACCGCTCACATTAACAATCCAGGAAAAAAATGATTTGAACTGATACCTGAATGCGAATAGCTCGAGGTGGTGCTGCTTTCTTCTGGGACAGAAGACGCGTCAGTAGATACCAAGGATGCGACAGCTCTGTCTGTGTGGGTAGCGTTGGCTATTGTGAGTTGGTGTTGTCCGATGAAGACGCCAAATCCAATGTTGAATTCAAGTACACAAGCGTTCCTTGATCCAATCTTACTCCTCTCTCCTTCTCTCCGGCTCTTTGAAAGGTTCTCGCAGATCTGGATGACGAAAGGAAGGCTTACCAACAGTGGTCGAGGAGTAGTGACCGTATGCGATCTCTGACTGTTTTAATCCGACCTTCTGCGAAAGTACACCAGCTTGCTTGGCCGTGACTTCAGAGAGTTGCAGGCTACGTTCGGCCCAGAACTGCTCTGCATGATGGTCAAAGAAGGCCACGTAGACTTGTCGGATCTTTCCCGTCTGTCTCGGTTAATCTCATCAGACTGAATGAGCAGAGTAAATGTATTTGGCGCTGACTGTCGATCAGTAGGGTTGAAGTGGCGGGCAAATTCCTAAACGTGACATGCTCTTTGTTCAGAACTTCTGTCACAGGGCCATCGGAGGTGAGTCGGCGATGCAGACATGTTAACGATTCGAACGGGTGTGCAGGGCGTGTACATCCGCAAGTGGAAGCTTAAGTGAAGATGGGGTTCAGGCTGTCCGTTGCAGAAGTCATAAAAGAAAACAAAAGAGAGGTCAATAAGAGAGACTTTGAAAATATCATCAAAACGAAGAGCAGGTCATTCATAGTGACAATGAATCAAGCAGAGAGATCCCATGGCGCCTAAGAGAGCATATGCCACACAAGCCTTTCTAAAGACCACCATTGTCGCAGCCACTCCTCGCCCGGCAGAGCCCAGAAGTATATCCACCAAGCTAAAGAAGCAGGTCGCATGTGACAAGGTGTTGCTGCATGGGCTATATTAAGAATCAGGTGATTGCCTTATAGAAATGCAAAGATGGGTGAGTGGGTAATGAGAGTTGAACGAAAGCGAAATGTGAGGTGACGAAGGTAAGAGAATGAGTGCAAATGGTGGTGAAAAGGGAAAAAGTTGATGGTGAAAGAGAAAGGAGCCGAAGATGCAGGAGCAACAGGGATGATCAAAGGTAGAGGAAACAGTAACATCTCCTAAGGCATGGATATAATTGATTACAATGGTTGGTGATAACGGATTTCCTTATATGGGAGTACTACACTTTGTTCCTGTACCACAATGTGCTTGCATTTGAACCCGCACCAATTTTAATCATGCACCTGTACCACATATGTCGGTTCTCCTGTCCCAGTTTACCTATCTAACTCGCACACTTATTTATAGTAGGTAGCGATGTCGTCCGCAGGGCTAATGGTGTGGTGGTTGTAAATTTGCGCTTGCTGGTTTTTTGACCTTGTCGCATCCTGCCATTAAGATCACTGTCACAAGCGAGAGGAGGATAAAGATGCGAGGAGAAAAACTTGAACCTGATCGTCTGGTAGAGACAGAGCTACTCACACGATTGCGATACCCCATTTCGATATTTGGAAATTACCATTAGGTGGAACGCCACAAGGCCTTCCCGCCTTGCAACATAGAGTCCCACGTTTGTATTAAATAAATAAGTGACACTACAATTCTATGGGTTCAATTTCTTGAAAAGTAGACCGAGAAGCATTCGAGCTTGAATCTTTAGCAGCAAGGTGCACATTGCTGCTGTAAGCGCTGCATAGCCGATAACACGGAAGGCACCAGCGTAGTTGGTGCCGTATACCTTGAAGACGTAATTGAACACAATGGAGCCAACGCTTCCGCCGGCACCAACGAGGCCATAGACAGTGCCCATGCTCTTCGGATTGGCAAATGGGACAATGGCTAAAAAAAAAAAAAAAAAAATACAAAATGTCAGTGTAAATTAATATACACCCGATAGAGGTCGAACGATAAACAAGACCAACAGACGCAACAGATTGTGCTATAGTAACTTACAGAATGTAGTGCCACATCCGGCTTGGACACAGTAGCTGAACAGGATCAAGACGACGATGGAGGAGCTCAATGTTCCAAGCGCAAAGGAGAATCCAATGAGAAAGGCTCCCTGCAAGAAAAAGGCGATGAAGTGGACAAGCATGCGACCCTGGTTGCCCTCGCCGATCAATGTGTTGACATAATCAGCCAACATGCCTCCGGTCGCGCGAGAGAAGAAATTCATCAGTCCAAAGATGGATCCCAGCATGCCGGAGGTTGTTTGTGAGAGATTGAAATGCGTGTGGAAGAATTCTCCGATCATGTTGTCGACGGCCAACTCCACTCCGAAGGAACATCCATACTGGATCATCAGGATCAGCACAGCTGGGTTCTTGAGCTGTGACAGCAAGTCGACCACGACGGATGGTTGCCCGACAAGGCCGGGAACTATGACGGCCTTGGTTGATGTCTCCTTCTGGCCGGTGGGCTTTTCATCGTCCGAGTCGCCGATCTCCATGGAATCACAGTCGGAGGCAGTCCGTGGCAGTCCGTGCTTTTCGACATCGGCATCATGGCGCTCTGGGCTTGAGTCGCGGTTCTTCCATTCGTCGCCTGGACAATCATCACCCAAGAAATAATCTGCTACGGCCATAAGAATGCAGAGACAGGCTGGAACGACAAAAGTGACTCGCCACGCTTGGTGCGGAGGTAAGACGAGGTTAATGGCGTTGTAAATCAATGGAATCAGGAAGTAGGATACTCCTGCTCCCATGTTGCCGAATCCACCGCAGAGCGCATTGGCTGTTCCGACAATGTCGTACGAAAACATCCGAGAGGCCCAGTATTGGCATGGCACAAAGGTGGCGCCGATAATGCCAATAAAGAACCTGGTGATGATCAACCCGTTGGCGTCCGAAGCGAGTCCAGCCAATCCAATGGTAATAGCTCCAATAAGGAGTAATCCCGCCATGGCTTTCCTTGGCCCATAGCGATCACACATTGGTCCCTAGAGGCAGTAGGAAGATGCTTTCGATTAGATTCATGAATCGCAAAATCGTTTTCCATTTTCAATTTTCCTTTACCCTTGCAAGACTTGGCTCCATGTCTTACGATCGTTAGTCGGGCCAGAATAGTAGCGCTGACACTGGTCAGATTGGCGTCTGAAATCTGGCTGGGAGTGAGTTTCAGATCAGCTTTGATGGTAGGCATCAGTGGAGGGATGGCGAACCATCCTATGAAGGCGATGAAGAAGGACATCCATGAGAGGTGCATTGCTCTCATATGCGGCCGAGCGAACGAGAAGAGTTTTATGTTGGTCGCCTTTCCATCTTCATCCACTAGGATATGTTTTGGGAAGATCTTAGTTGCCAGCGTCATGTTGCGTGTAGGATATGTAAGAGACGAGGTTGTGTTTTTTTTGTGATGATTTTGAAAAGGCATTTAGAATGTTCGGGAAATATTTATGCAAGTCTTGAAAGTGTGTGGGGGGGACCATCGAGCGCTAGAAGATAGTAAACAAACGCTATTCTAACGCTTCAGTCTAGAGCCATCTTTCCTGCGTGTGACAATGACTCAAAGAAGGGAATGGCTCTGCCCACTTGGCCGCTATGATTCTCTCGTTGCTTTCAGATGGCAAAGAGAGTAATTCACGCCGTTTACATCGTAGGACGCGTCCGGATCAGGTCTCTGTCCGATACGGACCATCGTTGACAGCCAACAACGTGTAAAGAAACTTGTGTACGTACACACGTGGATCACGTGCATGCGTAGGTTGTCAGATAGGAGATTTTCAAGAACTGACCCTGAATCACCCTCTGAAACACATGTGGCACGCGTATAATTTCTTTCTTTGGGTCTGCAACAGATTAGGTTATCTGTATCTCTACAACGGGTCAAAATCACTCCCCACCATTCCTATCACCTTCTGACACTAAAACTTAGTTCTCCCCTTGTATTTATATAGCTGTTACATAACAACAAAGAAAATAATCAACCCTTATCCCCGCTTTTTCCTGCTTCCCTTGACTTTGTCTCTTGCTGCTGCACACTCCAACCACAAAAGAGCACACCCACAACTTTACGCCACCAAAATGCTCAAGGAAAACGTCGATCACAAAGACGAGGACAACTCAAAAATACAACTTGATCCTCGCGATGCCAACACCCCAGACAGATGGATAAAGAGACATCCAGAACTTATCCGGCTCACAGGTACCGGTCACCACCTCCTACCCATTCTACAGAGAAACACTTTTGATCCATCGTCTATGGATGTTCTGAACGCTGACCATGGGCTAAACCTCGATTTTCCTCTTACATAGGAAAGCATCCATTTAACTGTGAACCACCAGTACCACTCCTTCTAAGCAAAGGGTTCATCACCCCAAGTTCAATACACTATGTCCGGAACCATGGCGCGGTCCCTCAGCTCTCCTGGGATAGTCACCGCTTGTCCATTGAAGGGTAAGTAGTACGGGCCTGTCAAGATCCTTGTTAATATCTGTGCAAGCCCACAGTCGTCACAAATCTGACCTCTTTTTTTTTGATCCTTTTTTTTTTTTTTTTGTTAAGGCTTGTAAATACAGAGGTGACTCTGACGATGGATATGCTCGCACAACTACCAAGCATAACTATACCCGTCACCCTCGTCTGTGCTGGAAACCGACGGAAGGAGCAAAATATGTTCAGGCAAACGATTGGATTCAACTGGGGCCCTGGAGCCGTGTCAACAGCTATATGGAAAGGCGTACTTGTCAGGGACCTATTGCTC